TGGTTTGTACCACTATATCAAATAAATGAGCTTTATTTTCTGGAATACGCTAATATATATCTGTATTTTTTCTTTTCAATATTTAGAAAAATTCATTGCACAAATACTTCACTCTAAGGTATGATATCTAAACTCATGTATAACAATTTCACTTTTTTCACATCTTCGATGCATAGAATTTTTCATTTTATGTTGCCGCCTTGAAGCACATGCCCTCTTATGCTAATGGAAAACTACCAGGTGTTCCCGAACGTAGCGACTATCTAATGCACTACCGAATGCACGCTCATCGAATTTAAAAATTTCAGAATAAAATCCTCTCACATTTGATATTTCATTTAAGATTTATGTAGACTTTAGCAATCACGTTGGTAATGGTTTAATTTGAGATTAATTGATTTCTACTTTTAGAATCATTTTAATCTTATATATTGCGTTAAATCTTATCGAGAAGTTAGAAATTTATGTTTAAGGAGGAAAGGTAGGTAAACATGCTTTTCAATTACCTAGTTTCTACTACATACTTGTTGACTGTATTTTTGTGACGCAATACGCTTACATATTAACTTCAATTATTTTATTTTGTCCATGTGAAGACAAAATCACGCTATCTTTAGAAAGTTGGAATAATTAACCCACTGTGATTTCGTTTTAATGTTAACGCGCAATCCCCTAATAACGAAAACTATCGAAACAGTATCTCAAAGGAACCTGTCTAGTAAAATTAGAACAAGCTTGAATGACATGACATTTAGCGTATGCTTGAAGCTGTAGTATCAGTTTATATGTTAAGCCCATATACTTTATTCTGGTTGCTGGCCAAGCCAATTCGCCTGTCCATTATGAGTCATATTTTGATCTTGTTAATTATTCGCTTACTAACCTTGACTACCTTGTTATATGAGCGCATGTGTATGTACCCTTCTTATCCTACCTATCACATGTCTGTCATTCATTTTTGTCCGACTATAAATGTTGATTAACGCTTGCTTAAATCGAGTTGTCTTCCCAGCCATCTCCCATGCGTGTCATTTTCGCCTCGTTCGCTTCCTTCGCTTATTCGCCTGTTCACTCGCTCGTTATTATTCCCTCAGGTGTTGCTAACTTTCTGACCTGAGTTATTCGACAATAAACTGTAGTTGCTACTATTCTTTGTCTTTTGATTTTATACACCGTTAAAATTGGTATAATAACGGTTATCGAAGTGAACTGTTATCGAAGCACGGCACTACAAAGCCCCTCAATATGAGATCTGAGAATAATGAACTGGATTTATAATTACCAATGATTTCATGGTTGAATAGTAAGGTTGTTTAACTTGCACGTTATCTGGCTGGCCAGTGTTTATGATGAGATTTCTGAGGAATAGTTCATGTTGAAATGTGTTCGTTCTGGGTGCCTACTCTTTTAACTTAGATATACAGGCATCAAAGAAACTAATACTAAGCCAATTTAGCGAACCTGGGATAGTGATACGCCATTCCAAAAGATTTGCTTTCAGATAGAATCAGCAGTTTTTTATCTTCAAAAATCAGGAACAAGAATCTTATTGTGATGTAACCGACATTACTAGGCTAGGTATGTGGAGAATGCACATAAGCACCGCTCATTTGTGCCGGAATGACATTGAACACGGACTTTTCTCCACTTTAGTCAATAAAGTTACTCATTATGGAGTGGCTACTAGTGAGTTTGGTTGGCTTACGACCAAGTACTGAGGAAACTATGTGTTTAGATTCAACGGATGGTCGCAACGCGGAAAGAGAAAAAAGCAAATACTGTAAATACAAACACTTGCTGAAAAGCTTGCTCGCGCACGAAACTGGGTTCGAATCGCGCGAGGCGAGATCGCGGTGCATGCTGTTGTAGCTGTAAATAATTCCTCAAAATCAATAGTTCATTAAGTGTTCGACATTGGATGCTGACCACGTTGTTTAAGTGGACTTGGTTAGCTGAAGGCTTTCGGTCATGCATCCGTACCAGATCACGTTTCGACTCGGCGTGGGACACAGCTCCTACGTTTCATTAGCCAGCTCATAGAAAAGGTCCTCGATATATTGGTAACGAATCAAATATATCTTTCCTGCCTCTTCTCGTCTGACTTCTGATTTCTATCTGACTGGGAACAATCGAATTTAGAAGGTGCTATTGGTATCTAGTTGTAAAACTAGAATATCCGTTGCATCATCATTGGTGAGACCGACGTGATCTGGTACACCAAGCCAATATACTGTGAGTCTGTTCCATTTTGGAATATTATTATTCATTGTTATTCTTTATTTGAATTTTATATATTGTGATATACTTTTTTTCGCGAATTTTTTTTCTCGGATATATTTTACTTAGACATTTTTCGTTATCTAAATTACTATGACGGAATACTCTCCTAAGGTTCTTAAGTTTAAGTCTGTTCCCTCTATTTCGATTCAGTTAACGCCATTTTGGCCCGACAATATGGAGTCCTGGTTCTGCTATGCAGAAGCCGATTTTTGCATGCACGGAATCACGGACTCGCGCACACGTTTCCTCGCGGTAGTTAAGGCGTTACCGCGCGAGTTTAACAGGTACGTAACACCTAGTATGTTCACTAGTGATGTTTCCGAACCTTACGAAACGCTTAAGCTATCGATTTTAAAACGAGGAGACCTAACTGATCGACAACGGTTAGACCAACTCCTTAACAATATCGACATGCAACATGGTTCTGCGACGGACATGTTGCTTAGAATGAGAGACGTCATCGGCCAACGAACTTTCGATGATGGCCTATTTAGACAACTTTTCTTGTCTAAACTCCCTCAACAGGTGCAGGCAGTGCTTGTTTCATTTCAAAACAATGCCATAGATGAACTAGCTGCATCTGCCGATCGAATCATGGAAATCACTAGATCTTCTAAGGCCGAGGTTTTTTCCGTCAAAGAAAAGCCTAAAACAACGCGTTCTGGAAGACGAGTCAGATTTCCAGAACATCTTAACGAATATTGCACGTAGGACATAAGCTTTATCTTGAATTACCCTTCCATAGTTCATTATAAAAAAATTTTAATATGATAATTTTTTATTTATATAAAAAAACCAAAACATTTTAATCTTTTTTTGAGCGTATATATATATACTTTTTATATATAAAAGAAACCCAAAAACAAACCATTTATTTTCCAATCGCTTTTACGCTGTTTGTAAGTGTATCAGTTTATTTTTTCCGCTCATCTTGTGTCCTTACGCAAGTACGAGTGTATTTTTCGACATGTACTAACACGTTTTATTTTTCCTCTTTTCCAGGACGGCTGGAAAAGAACGACGAAGTTTCGCAAGAAACAAAAATTTTCATTGTACTATATTTCTTTATTGCTATGATGTACATTTTGGTCCCATAGTTTAAGGAAAGACGACCAGATGCTGCTAAACGAAGCAAGCTATCAGAAGAGTGCTTACCAGCGACAAACTCGTTGGGTTTAAACTTCTGGCTGGTCACGTCTTAGGGGCATCACTACCCCACTAGGGGGGGAGTGATCTGTAGCTGTAAATAATAACTCAAAATCAATAGTTCATTAAGTGTTCGACATTGGATGCTGACCACGTTGTTTAAGTGGACTTGGTTAGCTGAAGGCTTTCGGTCATGCATCCGTACCAGATCACGTTTCGACTCGGCGTGGGACACAGCTCCTACGTTTCATTAGCCAGCTCATAGAAAAGGTCCTCGATATATTGGTAACGAATCAAATATATCTTTCCTGCCTCTTCTCGTCTGACTTCTGATTTCTATCTGACTGAGAACAATCGAATTTAGAAGGTGCTATTGGTATCTAGTTGTAAAACTAGAATATCCGTTGCATCATCACTGTTGAGGAGTCCCATAATAGGACGACGCGGCCGTTCAGTGCTTCCAGGTTTTCCATGGTGGTCTAGTTTCAATTGACTCACTATTTCAACTAGTTTCACAATATTGCTGTTTTATTTTCCACAAACCATCGGTTTATTAGAGCTGTTTTATTGTCTGATAAACAATTGCTTAAGATCCTTCAGTATCATTTAAAGCTTTTACTTACAGGATACTTTCACCCACTTTTTTACATAACCTGTTTTCCAGTAGACATCTCATAGACGAGATCATTCATTCACATATTATTGAGGATACGACTGGTGTTCTAATTTGACAATTAGAGGCCAGTAGCACCTTCTATAATCGAAACCCTTTTGGCCAAATAGAAATCAGAAGTCAGACGAGAAGAGGTAGGAAAGATATATTTGATACGTTACCAATATATCGAGAGGCGTTCGTTCTTAGCTGACTGTTGAAACGTGGGAGCTGTGTCCCACGCCGAGTTGCAACGTGATCTGGTACGAATGCATGACCGAAAGCCTTCAGTTAAAGAAGTCCACTTAAACAACGTGGTCAGCATCCAATGTCGAACACTTAGAAAGCTATTGATTTTGGGGAATTATTTACAGCTACATTATGCCATATGTCAGTGTTTACTCTGAAATCATATACAATATAGACATTAGTGATGAATTAAACTGGAAAAATATAGTTTCATGAGCATACTGCCGCAAGACAATGTCTTCGGCCGTCATATGGTGCTTCACATCTCACATACGTTAAGGATTGATGGGAACTATTGATCGGAGAGCACTGAAAGATATCGAAGTGCATATTAGATGAATGAACGTCATGAAGATGTTGTTACACATCAATCAATGAGTATTCTTTCTAGAAACTATTTTCGTTCTTTTCTGCTTAGGTTTTGAAATTCTATCACTTCAAATGTTAGTTGGTGCCCTATCGCACCTCAGAGTAGCAACGTGCTATGCAGTCTAACTCCAATAATACCAATCAGGTGCTCATATCATTTTTATGAGATACTGAAGTATATTTAAAGTCGTGCCTACATATGAAGAAGAGAATCAGGAAGAATCATTTAGTTCGAACATTCTCGGCACATAAATATAGATGGCTAGACATTTTGTTTTTACATAACAATGTAGTTGTACTTTCATTTTAATAACGATTTGAACTCAAGGTTGGGTTAACGGTAAAATCTTTTACTCCATGGATTATTCTGCTCGAGCTTCCTTGTTTATTTCCGTCACTGCTCTGAGAGGAAATGTTTCTTTGGAATTACAAAATGATAATATTTTGTGATTTGGGAGAAATATAACGCCTTGAAAAATTATTCCCGAGGAGACTAAATTACGTATAATCTCCAAGCGATAATAGTGACAGAGATCCGCAAGATTTTTATTAGGTTTCAAATAATTTCATAACTGATGTGAGGGTTTTGTGGTTTTGTCATTCTGTTGGTTATCGACAGCAAAATCTGTACCATATTTCACCCTACCTAATCATGCTCTCTGGTGTACTCCTCAGCTAATTGTTTGCATAGTGACTTGCCAGTTAGGTAGTAAAAATTCAAATAACTAGTAATCACGAAGCCTTCACTTACCATGAGCGAATTCTTAGTGGTTTCTTTGATCTAGGCAAGTACATATTAAGTGCTAAACATCTACGTCGCTGCTTTTAAAAAGTTATGTTTTCTTAGCTCGCAGTTTCAAGCCTTGTTTCTTGGATATTTTATGTAAATTTGATTCCTTAATGTTGCTGGAATCAATATAGTGTAGAGCTTTATCTCATTTTTAATGCTTTGTTACAATCGTCCTTTGACTTCACAATCTGTTGATTAAAGTTTTGTTTGCATCTTTATGTGTTAATAATGGTCTTCAAACAGTAGAAATAAAATCCGATTTTAAATGAAGTGTTTATTTGATATTAACGGTTATCTTTATAAGTGTTTCAGAAGTTTTGAGATTAGCTTCATCATAAATATCCTAGCGACTCACTTAATTGAGTTTCTTGATTATTATGTAAGTAATCATGACAACGCTTTCTGTACGTGGTTTCTGGGAAGTACCTTAGTCTAGTAACTATCATTATGATTTGAAACTAGTATTTATCTTGAGGTATTGGCTCCTGAATATGTATATCCACTTCCAATTGTTGCCAGGTCGCCTTCCTCTGACACCATGTATTTTATGGTCCGTTTCTTCCCCCAAGCCATGAAGATTCCAGGTTTGGGCTTGGTTTTCAAAGGATGTGTCCTACCAACCTTCATGATCTTTCCCTATTTACCTCCTAAGATGGCGGCTGGTTTTTTCTCTATCACAGTCAGTTATTGTAATGGCCTCTGAACACTGGATCTGGTGTATGTTGAATAGATGGCTGTTCATAAATGTACGCACTTTTTGGGTGATGGTTATGGTAGTTATGTAAGTTTCAACGTCATAGAACTTCCTTAACGTTAGTGACGAGAATTCTGGTTTTCTTCTCTAATGACAGTTCTTTGGATTTCCAAACGTTCCAGAATATTAGGAATATTGCGATTGTTTCTCCAATTCATGCGTTGACATCTACATCAAATCTCTTGTTTATTAGTGTTGTTCAGGCACTTAAAGGCTTTCATCTCTTCCAGAGTCTTGTCATTAGAATGAAACTTGGTTGTTTTTCACAATGTTTCGCTTCAAGACCTTGTCTTTGTGCTTGCGAATACTGAGGGATACTTCTGTAGAAGCAGCCACTTCACTGGCTATTATCATTTGCATACAAAGTGAACACTGTATTACATACTCTTCCTAAGTTATTAAGTTCATCAATCAACCGTTAGCAGTATTAGAAAAATCGAAAAGAGATAGCTTTTTAAAACCCTACTTTTTACTTTAAAATGCACACGTGAGCTGCTCTATGTCCACAATTTTGTAATTCAGTCCTTTCTATGTTCCTTTTATAATGGTGACTATTCTCTCAGGTATTCTATGATATTGAAGAACACTTCAATCATATGTAGGCTGTATCATCTCATTTATAACGCTACTTGAAAGACTTTTCTGGTTTCATAAATTGTTCTAACACTCCATTCTTATATGTTGATTGCTCCCGTGTTTATCAAAAGGGACCCATGACTCCTGGTAAGTTTTGGCTTCCACCGTGAGGCGTCATAACTCTTTCATGTTTGAAACCCTGAACTTCCAGAACATTGGATAAATAGTTTAAGTGATTTTCCTGGGTAAGCGCCTTTTAGCTAAGCTGTTCTTTTCAAACCAGGGTTACTAATGCTACTCTAAATTATCCTTCTTTACCCGTATTTTGAACATATAGCAACCATACATTGGTCTAAGATGGATTTGGAATCTATTTATACGGTGGTATATTTCACTGTAGTTTGTCATTAACTGTAACGTATTTGAAAAAGAAACACTACGTTATTTATTACATAACGTGATCGTTTTCGGATGTGATAAGTTCGAAAAGTTTTCATGTTTAATATAACAAGATCTTAAAATGTGGTTTCGTGTTTATAAGAAAAAAGTCCATGGATGTGTGATATTCGTAATGCCATAGAAAATACGCAAAATTTTACGTGGAGTTTATCGTTTTTTTCCAAAACAATAGATATTTTCTTGGCAGCAATAATAAACGTTTAGTGAGCGGTCTCTTATAATGCATGGTTAAGTCGCGCATAATGTCAACGTCTTCTTGCAAAATATTATCAGAGAAATCTGTTCTTACTGACAACAATTAGTGCTGTAATATGTGCTCTATTGAGGCATGTAATCTTTATCAAGGAGTTTTACAGGCCTCCATGGTTTTTGTGCGATAGAAAACTGTTTTGACTTAGTGTTTAGTTTCAAAAAAGCTCCCATGTTTTTCAATGTACGATATTACTTTTCAGTTATTCTGGGATGGTTCATGAAAGCCAAGGGCCTCATAAATCAACTCTTATTGAACAAACTGTAAAAGGAGCCATAGCAGGTACGTGAATGTTTATTAGTCTGCTAAGTTTATCACAGGTGGAGTCACTGGAGCAATTGAGATTTGCATCACTTTCCCAACTGAATATGTAAAGACACAATTACAACTTGATGAACGTATGGGTAGTGCCAGACAGTATTCGGGGCCCATCGACTGTGTAAAGAAGACTGTAGGATCTTATGGTTTTCGTGGTTTGTATCGTGGTTTACCTGTCCTCCTATATGGTTCAGTTCCCAAGTCGGCTGTTAGGTGAGTCTGTTAATATATGAAGCATTGAAGTTTAAAAGTAAGCAAGTTGAAGAGAGACATAAGGTCAAAGATATGACATATTCCTCGGTATTAACATTTGATTTACCATCAGTGCCAACCTCCTAATCAGAATTTTAGAGATTATTTCATGTAAACGTTAGTTGAATGCACACTCTTCTGTAAGTTCTTTAGTATTAAAAATGGTTTATCCCCCAAGTTAGCTGTGGTGAGCTATATTTGTCATCGATGTTCATTATCCATTCTTCTAAAGTATTTTGTTAGTACTGTAATACTGGATAACTATCTTTGACTTGAAAGATATATGTCTTCAAACAATGTGTCTTTTAGAGGACCGATATTATGTTCAGAACGTTGCAAACGAAAAATCAAATCAAATTGCTTGCAAAATACAGACTTATAAACAATGTGTTTATGTTTATTGTGTCTACCACTTAATATGTGGTTTGTTTGTATTTATACATCGCTTAACATTTTTGAGTAAGTAGTTGAAAACTTTGATAGTTTCATAATCTTGTGTCACAATTAGACCATCGTTCATACCATATATATGTATATATATATAAATGATAATGCATGACTGTTATTTTTTCTTTTTAACCAACTGCACTACTTTAAAGTGTATAGTTATAGCTAAATAAATAACGCCTAAATTAAGTTTTATATAATGATATGTACCCTCTTAGAATTCTTTCATTGTGATTGCCTTATTAGGAGCCGAAAACGTTTATCCATATAAATTCATATGTAAGAAATAAAATCATATAAAGATGGATTGTTTTGCATTGAAAACGGTTACTCCTCTGTCAGGTATGACAATTTATCATCTACGTAGAACAGTTTTTAGAGCAACAATAATGCGAAAGGCCTGAAACTTGATATAGCATTCTATCAAGTTGAGTCATGTGACTTGCCCGTAGAATTTTAGGTAGAGACATAAATCAAGTATCACTAAACAAAACTACTCGCCATTAAATATACTTATTTATCCGCACTCATTCTCCGTCACATATTTTCCTTATATCGGTTGGCTTCATATTAAAAATAATAAGAATTATTGTTACTATGGTTATATTCGGAATAATTCAATATACTATATGTTTTTTGGAAGCGAACTCGATCTCTATATTCTAAAATCGCGGATAAAGTATTAGTTTGGCTATCACTTGCTTTTTTTGAACTTACTCCTACCCGAGTCATCACTAGACTTTGAGGAAAGATTACTTACTTATACCTCCTCAAACTGGAGGTTGATCGTTAGCAAATTATCTTAACTGGTATGTATTAATAAACGATTTTTGTAACTATCTTGAAGCATGCGATCTATTCTTTCAGTAAGCTCATTTTTCAACTGATAGTCTATAATCCTTGGATAATAGTTTTTAAGTAGGGGAACGTGGGAAATCGGATGGGGTCATTTACATTTTTCTGTAACGCTCAACTCTGGAATGCGTTGGGATTACTTCTGAAACTAGCAAAATCACTTAAAATAATACGCAGTTGAGGGATTTAAACTTCATACAATACAAAAAGCCACAAAAAGCACATTGTTTAACGTAATCTTTTCTTGTTCTCTATACAAACTTAAATACATGATACTAATACTAATATTAAAAATAATAATAAATAAGTGGATAATGATTTCATGAAACCATTTTGTAAGATGATATAAATTAAGATTAGACAAGGTTAGTAATTCACTACATAGAAATTGGTGATATACATTTCTCGTTTTGATAATCACGTTAAAATTTCGCACCGATTCGATTTTTTCTTCATTTCTAATTGTTAACTTCCTGTCGTATATATACGTGACTACTTGAATAATTTCATTCTTCTTAATTGTCTGTTATTATAAGTTATATATTGGACGACGTACTAGTGGCTCACATACTTCAACAATTTCGTGTTTTTAAACAAAATGCTTTACTGTTTTCGTATTACCCTGTATAAAAATTTGTATTCAGATTTCTGATGAATTTAGTTAAATAAATATTTTATTAATGTTAGTTCTTTTACAAAGCTGTTGTGGATTTATGATATCTTACTAGCTGCTTTGCCTTTATTAAGCTTTCTCAAATGGCTTGTCTTTTTTGAATCAAATAGGTAATTGAAAAATACCTGAGCAAAACACATAACAGTTCTTTTAAGTCTTAGTTACGGTAAAAACAGATATTTTAGCCCTCAGTTTAATCATTTCAGAACTCAAGTTTGCGAGACTACCATTTATAGACAAATCAGTTACGTATAAGATAACGGGTCTCGGATCTTGGCGCGAAATTCACTCATCCATTTGGATAAATAGAGTTTTGGCATTAAAGCTGATTTCATTTCGTGATGAAAACCCTAAACCTAATTCCTAACCTTAGTCATCAACTGTAAATGATAATTTTAATTTCTCATATTGTTCTATAACCCTAATTTGGTCCTGGTTATTAGGTGGACACTCTAAATGTCAGTCTACCGTCGCTCAAAGGTTGTCCATAAATTATAGTCTCACCCTCAAGTCCAGTCAATTTGTCGTATATGATTGTGAAATATTATTTTATAAAAGATGTATTAATAAAATTGAAATACCACTAAAAGGTTTTCATTATATTTAAAATCTTTTAAAACTGATGTTAGTATTTTCATATCCTCATTTAGATTTAATATGTACATCTGAATATTCATATCCAATTAAAAATACAGAGCTAACAGACTTACCATATTCCTAAAAGTCAGTTAAATTTTCTTGATACATAGTAATAAATCATGCTAACGTGTTTTTTGTCCATTATTATCTTATAAGCGAAACAGTTTTATTATTCAATTTTAAAATTATTCCTTAGATAATCTGAATATACACTTTCATTTGCTTTTCATGGGTTCAATTCATACTTTAATTTGTTATCTAAAATCGATTAAATTTCATAGGTTTAACTTATCATATTAATATGGAAATACTTAACGTTTTCACTTATTTTTCTAAGAAGAAAAATCCAATTTGTTCGTAGCTGGTAGTACACCATAAACTCTTGAATGTTACAGGTATATATACCATGGTTGAACTTGATAGTTACAAATAAATTGAGCATTGAGTAGAGTGTTAATAATAAATATATTTTAGTTGTCCCATTAAGTAAAATAATGTTTTTCTGACTTTTCACTGACTTTATGTAATCTATTTCTTCAGAGTAAATGAATAACCGACATTAAACTTGTTTTAGTTTAATGCCGGTTATTCATTTACTCTGAAGAACTAACTTACATTAATTCTTGAGTTTTACATTTTATGATGTATTTTACTACGTTTGTTAGATTTGGAGCATTTGAAGAGTTTAAACGTCATAATTTATCTCCAGATGGAACTCTTACAGCTGGAAGGAAACTTTTATGTGGTTTAGGTAAGTGTTGATGTCATTTTAATCCCTTTTGATCAAATACTCAAAATATTTCCTGTTCATGAGATGACTGAGATTAATTCTGAATATAAGATCAGTTTGGTATATCAAAGAATAACCAGTGAAGTGACAGCATTGTCCCAATGCCTATTTGATGAATGTAAAATAACTTGGATGAGAGAGATGTTACTCCCATAAAAATTATTTTCTAACCAATGAATAGAATTGTGCCAAATGTCTTGAAAACTGTTTTTTATAAAGGAGGAGTTCAAGATCTACCTATGAGGAGGATAAAAAGATTTCAATCGAAAATAACTTAACATAAAAAACATAAGAATTGTAAGGTATTGATCGTAAAAATCTCATTTCTTATTGGATAGGTTAATTCTGTAGTGTTATTCAAATTTATACCATATATCAGTTTACATTCCTTTTTATACATAATTATTACTTATAGGTGCAGGAGTTTGTGAAGCTATAATGGTAGTCACTCCGATGGAAACAATTAAAGTGAAATTTATTAATGATCAAACATCTAAAAATCCGCATTATCGTGGTTTCTTTCATGGTTGCAGATGTATCATCAAAGAACATGGTAAGAACAAAAGCTGTTAGTGTTAAATATTACGTATTGATTGAAACAATACTTTTTATATATAAAAAGGTGAGGGAGTCCAGCAGTTGTTTAAAACTAATTTGTGCTACAGCCCTACTGGGAAGTCTGAAAGGTCAACATTCTCTGTTTCCAAGTTGACTAATAATCAACATGGTAGTCACATTTTTATCTGTAATCTGTAGGCAAATCACAACTTCGTAGTTTCGTAAGAAATAACTTCTAACCCTAAAATAGCGTCATTTTGTCAACCTGCCTAGAAAGCTAACTAAGAAATAACAATGTCACACATGGTTTAAGAATCTTTTGCTTATGTTAGCTAAAGGGAAAAATGTGGTAAGATTACAGCTTCGATCTACTAAAATAGTATGGCTGGAATGTGATCTGATGGGCCCAAATAAATTAGGCATTTCAGTTTTTCTCTGGAAGTCGCAGTATTTTTCAGTATTTATTCGCCTGCTGACTAAAATATTGGCATTTTTCAAGACCCCTTACTTTCTTTGAATTCCTTAAGTTCTCACTTTGGACCCAAACGAATACGAGGCTGACCCAAATGTTGCTTGGAAAGATATACAAACAGCTGTGGAAACTGCAGTGACATTTATTAGTGATTTAAACCAAAGGGTTATAAAAAACCAATGGATTTCCACTAAGTCTATTGCACTGATGGATTGTCATGAACTCATCTCATCAGGCTCTGAACACGATGAAGAACGAAAAAAAGTCAGATCTAGGTTAACCATCTGACTGGTCTCAATCACTGATTGCCCCAATATATAAGAAGGGGGCGAAATCATCCCGTAATAACCATAGAGGGGTTAGTCTGACTAACATAGCATCTAAAATACTAGCCTCAGTAATTTTCAGGCGCCTAACAAAGACTCGTGAACCGCAAACACGAGAAAATCAGGCTTGCTTCAGACATTGTCATGGCTGTATCGACCACATATTCACCATTCGTCAGATTTAAAACACAGGCATGCGTATCGGCATCCAACAATGACAGTTTTTTTTTACTTAAAAGCAGCATTTGACTCTGTAGACCTAGCAGTTCTGTAGCAGTGCCTGTCATTGAAGGAAGGCTATCAGTTGGTTATGTGTGGTGAAAGATATGAGGATGATTTGAGGAATTGATTTCACTGTATGATTGTGATTTATTTTTCTTTATTATCCGTTATTTTAAGTTTCATAACTATGATTGTTACGCTTCAGTTCTTTTGTAAACGTATTAACTGTGCAACATCCTGACAATATAGTGTGGACTTTAGATAGTATAAAATTGGAATCCTCTCGTTAAGAATTCGGGTGCTGAATAATCGACAGAATTGTATAGATATTTGTTCTTTTCAAAATACTTATTGTAAATGATTGTCTAGGCACTAAAATAATGTTTGTGCATATCTGACAGCGCGATTCTGGATTTTTGTTTTGGAGTTTAATATTTGGCATAAAAGTATCGTGTCAAGACATGTCAACCGGGGCTGAAAAATGAGGTAATGGTTCTCGCGGGAGATTTAAGAAATAACTGATCTTTACTTTATATCATGTAAAATGAGGAGTGAATATTCCTTTGTATACTGTTTAGAACATTGAAAATTATAACAAAGAGGTCATTTTTGTTACCTAAGAGTAAAAATGACAGTATTAAACTTACGAAATCAATTTTTTTTTTAATGTAGATGAGATATAGTGCACACATTAGCTCTGTTATTATGATCTTATGTAAACATTGGTTTGGAAATATTTGAAATTCACAGGATGTAATGTAGAATGATATTGTTATTGATAAGATATTCATTATGCTTTAATGTAATACATAGTACTATTTATATGCATATATGAAAAAAAACAGTCTAGGTAATCTGTCGGTTAATAATAATAATGGAAAGGGATTATATAAATAATCGCAATATGTAAACATTGTAAACTGACATTAAGGCGATGGGCATTGTCGTAAATATATCAATAATATAGACAAAAAATAGGAAAATATCATCAATATGAACTTCAGATTGAAGTGATGCATTCAACTGTCTGCATATATTACTGACAACTTGTTCAGTTGATGTTTATTTGTTGTTTTTGATACTTATCCTGTTATCGTTTCCATATTTACTTTGGTTATTACCTTTTCTGGCCTGATAGTTGTCCACGATTTTTCTGACTGAGTGGTAAATTAGATCGATTTCGTAGTGTTTATTGACTATAGACTGGCTTGGTTTATCAAGCTTCAAAATGTTTCATTGTCTTCTTTATACGATATAAGAATAACTTTTAAAATCATTATACAACTCCTTTTAATCACATTAAGTTCATCATGATCACGTGGTAGGTAGAAGCAAGAGTGATTTAACATTTTCTTTCAAATTTTCTGGATATAATTTGTTCTCGAGCAAACCAACCTAGTCCTTGTGTTCTTAGAAGGCTTGTAGTATTTTTGTTCCTTTCTTGGAGAGAGCAGAGTTTGATAGACGTTATAACTCATTCCTTCTACCCTTTCTCTTCTTTACTATCGTACGTACTTTAACTAAATATTCGCGATGTCTTATTACTTCATTTCCAAAAAATGAATTTTTTGGAGCTTATACATTCTTCCTATGTCAACGTATTTTTTCATTTTTATTTTTAGTGTCACATTACTAGTTAATTCATGCTCTTTAACTTATTAGGATTAATTGTGTAATAATTTTCGATTGTTAACATTGATCTACAGAGTGCCTGGATTGATGCATATAATTAAACTCAATTAGGGTCTGATTGAATTCTAGTCAAAAACCGTGATTAGTGGAGTTCAACCGTATTGAGTATGAGGAGGTTACACTATGAAGACAGAGAAAAAATGTTGCACGATGTTTTAGATTGATTAAAGCTAAACTTTTATGCCGTTGGATCTTGGCTCAGTTGTCTAAAAGTTAAGTTTTTGACTCCTTGTCCTGGAATCGCACTGCTGAGGAGTCCCATACTGGGACGTAACGGCCATCCTGTTCTCCCAAGTTTCCAATGATGGTCTAATCTAGATCAATTCATGATTTCAGTGACACAATATCGTTTGGTTACATGTATTGTTCTGATGTTTTAGATTTCCATAAATGTTGAATAATAATCGATAAGTTTACTCCCAGATTAGATAATTAGTTAGATTTCTTCACGTTTCTAATTTATTTATTTTCATATTGCTTAATAATACTCTTCTATCAGCTGTTTCGATTTCTATGATTGTTTAGATCATATTAAACATGTAGAATTCTAGTGATGTAGAAATCATTTTGGAATTTAAGTTTGTTTAGTGCTTCACTTACTTTCATCTACCATATACACATTTACCTTAGTGATTCTGTGTACATTCAAAAACATTAAATTGTTAGACGGATTCGCTTTAATTAAACTTAAACTTTAAGCATAAATAAAATATTCACGACTTAGTTATAATGTACAAGTCCATTTGCTAAGCATTTTTATTTAGCCTCATTGCTATGCTGTTTATAGAAAAGTAAATGACATAATGTTTGGACATACAATATATTGACCAAACTTTATGTGCCTTAAATAATGAACCACACCTACATATTAAACAACTGGATTAAATAATCTTTTCCGTTCAACCGATACAGAAAATGCATAAACATGGGAAAGTATTAAGTGGATATTGTTAGCGGGACATAGATTGGATTAAAGCATGTTCCGTGCACGATTGTGTTGGTCGATACTTGGGGAAGACTCTAGAATCTTCTCATGTAAAAAGTATAAATATACTAACAAATTTCTTATTGTGCTTCTTAATTCTATCTACCCTTGTTAATCGGAATATAATTTCTTCCCTGTTCGACCGTATTCTAGTTTGGGGACTTGTAGAGTGAATTGTTGTCAAAGCAATAGTAATAGCAGGGTCATAATAAGAGAAGTTATAACAGATGTACTCGACTTGAATTATTACCAGTAATTTTTCACATGAAAGTTCAATTATATTAATGTTATAACGCCTGTTTTGATGATATTTTTTTACCAGAGGCCAGACGATTGTAACTAATGTTCTTTAAGCTAGCATCCCTTCCAAAATTAGCCCCGTATTAGGAATAAATACAACTCAGTCCAATCAGTAGCAGAATTAAAATACGTTGTTCTGATAACTAACACATTATATAATCCCTTGACTGTTATTGGGCTGCAGTTCGATAGATTATTTAGACAATGAGTTGCATAAAGAGCACTATATATACTCGATGAAATTTATTATCAGCCATCATCAGTAATCCCAGCTACGTGAATATGTAATTGTAATCTCTCCCATACCTCATGCCATTACTGTGATGTATAACAAAGGTTGAAGGAGCATACTAAGTAGATGTTTTCTTGAAACCTATGAATAACGAAATTTGGAAATGTCATGGTAATAAATTGCTCCGTTAAAAGTCATATTATCACTTCCCGTGAATCCGTAATTGATAATATTTTTTTCTACTGAGAAATCAATTGAAAATTTATATTTCTTTGGTGAAAACTATATTACAGTATAAGAAATATACCCTAATCGGTGACATAATTTAGAAAACAAATTTGCTGTTATTTTTAATATCCTGTTTAATTTTCCAAAGACTGGTAACATCAGATAAGTATTATCATGTTATGCCTTCACATTTGTCTAATTAACGTTCCATATTAAGTAAATAAAAGAAAGGTATGCTTTGAAATCCATCATTTCGGAAAAAAAGATTACTTGGGTTATATTGAATCCTTTATGATCGAAACATAATGACCAAAAAAGGAGTTGTATGACCTTTCACTCTGTTTCTCTAGTCCAATTATCGATCAGTTCAATTATATTACTTTTAGGACAGATGACCTTCTACCTACCAATTGATACATCAGCCAGTGAATAACAATAAGATGTGTGACAACCATCTACAGGTCAAACAAAGGATTAAAAATTAGAGAATATTTAAGTACAATTAGGCAAGCGTCTACCAATTATATTAGAAAAATATAAATAATAATCTTTGGTATTATATTCGCATGAATTGTACTTCCACGCCACCATAATATCAATCGTTAAAAATGTATTTTACAAAACACTTGTTAAATGAAAACTAGAACATTTGCTTATCGATGAAAAGAGTGCTTTTGCCATTAGGTAGCTGTCACGATGATACATTTGATCACAAGCATTTATGATTAACGCTTAACAGTATCAGTCCCCTAATTTTGCATAGGCTCAATGGCTGTTGATATGATGTTACAATTAAGTGTAGTTATTGGTAAACTGGTCTGGATCTCACTCTTGAAGTACTGTTACTTGAGATAAATCATATAATTCTCATAAAGCATTCGGTTACTGATTAAAGCTCCTAGTTTCAGAAAACAGAACTACTATCCTCATGGATTTGTTTCCAAAAGATGAAACTGATATCTGTGTTCAAGATAGCCGACCACTAATCATGATTTGAAATAAAAGGTCATACGAATACCGCTCAGATTTCACTTTTATCTATCTTGATTCATAAGACTAAAGTTTCTATTCAAAGGCTTCTCAAAGAAAGTGCGTTTAACGTTAAATGACTTATGACTAATTTCTACTGAGTCTGTTTGACTTAATTTCATGACTTAAACTTAAGTTAATCGCCCAATCTTTCAGTTTTCAGAACAGTGTCTTGGTTCAGAACGGACTAACATACACATTAATAATCAATATTCATTTGTAAATTAAATAAAACATCTGTCACTCACCTTCTGTTGTAAGACTGGCTGCTGATGTGGCGTAAAACACTAGAGAATCCTAGTGTTTTGTTGACAGATTCTTCTACTTAAATATCATATAGAAAACCGCATAAGTTCCAAATCTTCATTACAAAATATAGCTTATATAATAAATTTGTAAACGTGATGATCGTGTAATCCACGGGTGTACTTTGAATTCCTTGCCTCATTCGAGTATTCACGCAAGCTCACCAAAACTACATTCATTTGTAAGTTTCAGGAGATTACGCCCAGAAGAATCGCCAACCAATTCTATCTATTATAAATCTCTGTAAACTTTTTTGTTACTATTTCATTTCCCTATTAGTCCTTTATTTACTAATTTTCTTTGACCAAATTATTATTATTAAATGTGTGCGTATGTGCATACAGCAGCTCAAACTCAATATCTTTTTTACATTTGTTTTCTAAATAGAAGTTGAAGATGCATTTTAAGTGATTGCTTTTGAACTAGTGATTTATTTTTATGTTCTTCTGTGTACAATAGGTTTAAAAATGTTTTCGAAAAATCAGTTTGATCAATCATTGTATTAAGTCAGTAATTGCTTTTATAAATCATGTAAATTATATCGAAAGAATTTCAGAATATGAGATGGAATTTTCAATTTATGATTTTCATGCTCCCTCTCAAAACCCCCTTAGATGGTCTTATGTTCTATGAACTTTAAACCAACTGCTTTTAATGAAAAATATGTAGGTTGAAACCAGAAATTTGACTTTTAACGTGTTAGTGAGTAGAAGACAATCTTGATTTCAAACTAGTGGTGAACATCAAAAACAAAGGAACGTACATCGCTTAAACTAAATATAACCATCAATCCATCACTGGAATTTATTTTACATTATTCATTTTCCTTGTGAAACACCACTCTCGATACAAGTACTGTAGCTTAATTCTTGCAGAAGATCATGCACTTATATTCGACTTTGTTCACTTAATTCGACCTAACATTCTAGTTTTCTTTGATTAGTCTATTTCAGCCAAGCTAACGGAAAAGGGAAAAAGAAACGTCATAATGATCGGTAAATATGACCCATTTGAGACAGTTCGAATCACAATGTGAGACATTGTTCAGTTTAGGAGTAAATGTAAAAATGACTATAGTAAGTTCCGAAACTATTGGAAATTTTTGAGATGGAAAGAAATTCATCACGCCATCATTCTAATACATTTTTCATAATTCTCTTTTTAAGAGTAAGATCAATAAGGCAAACTAAATAAAGTAAAGAAAGTTTTGTTGCTTCTACATAACTCCATATCTTTATCCCGCATCCAACATCTGATAGGCTATCCCACTACTTGATGAGTTTAGTGCCGGAGATGTAGATTCCATAAAACATACTCGGGGATACCTGCAGACATGTCTTCCCTTTCGTGTGTATGGAGTTGCTCTCATTTACCAATGTAAGCTGATCAATCGGTATAAAGTTTTATAACACTCCTGTTCATGGTCTAGCTTATAAGTGATACATATTTATTGAGTTCATATCGTTGTCTCTTAATGCACCTGTGCTGATCATGGTCGGTAATACAGTAGGCAAAAGTCCAACATTAACTAACCGTTTTGTGAACATCATTTGCACCATTATCTATTATCTGATACGTAATGTATTTAGAAAATCGATCAGTGTTTCCGCTCAGTTATGATTGTGAGTAGAGATATTCAAGGAAATTATTAGTTTCGATACATTCGTCATTCTAGTAATTTTATAAGTATTCGTCACATCATTGTCAATAGATTATTATTTGACAAAAAGTTCATTGTTTTAGTCAACTTTCTTGCAATGAGAATTATCAATTTTAGCGTATTGTATTAGACTTATGAAACAAACATGCGTTGTGTTTGTAGGAATATCCAACGAACATTGAATCCTACATCATTTACTTAGTGATTTCAGAGTGCGCATCGAATCTTATCCCAATAGATGTTAATGGATTTTTCACACCTTAATCAGTTCTGTTTAAATTTCAAGAAATTATGTTAAATCATATGAAAATGAGTAAAAAACAAATCATCAGTTTTCTTTTCTTGTTGTAGGGATTACTGGTATGTACAAAGGTGTAACACCAACAATTCTGAAACAAGGAAGTAATCAAGCCATTCGTTTCTTTGTAATGGAAACTTTGAAAGATGGTTATCGACAATATCGAGGTGACAAAGCTACTGGACTACCTGTCCCAAAATTACTAACTGGATTATTTGGGATTGTTGCTGGTGCAGCATCCGTCTATGGAAACACACCTCTAGATGTTGTCAAAACTCGAATGCAAGCAAGTGTACTTTTTCTCACCATATTTATCGGTCATGTCATTATTAACTAGTATTCAGTGCTGATCGTGTTTTGTAGGTCACGTTTCCATAATAGCCACTTGGTTAAGTATGCAGATATCGTGGTCCACGCTTACAATATCAGATCGCTGAGAATAGTCTTGCCAGCTACATCGTAGTAAGTTTAACCTATACTCTGGATCAAACGGATCCTTATCTCTATTTACCATCAGTTAACTATCACATAGTTTGGATTCAAGAGCTTCCTACTGGTCGTTACCAACTAGCTAACACGACTACAGTGTAATATCAAACAAATTATTACAAATTCAACCGATAAATTATATCATGACATATGATGTCTGTCTGTGCACTGTCAAATCTCCTAGTTGCTCCCTCAAAATGGATCAATGAATTATTGGTATAAACGAAATCGTCTTGACATTTTTCTGTCCAGTTTTCCAGTGAAAACTTTGAGATTAAAACGCCTTTAAAGTCCCGAAATAAATCAAAATAACAGGGGACTATTGACAAATGAATAAATAATAAAAATGAATAATCGATCGAAAATTCTCATCATATTAAAGCGATTACATGAACGAAGAATATTCTTTTCAATTTTGTATCCAAATTAATAATCCATAAAATCGGTCAGATGTAAAGCAGAGTACATCATTTAAAATTATAACACGTTAATCAAGGGTTGTTTGTCATATAAATTCAAACAAAATCGTTAAAGTTAGCGTGACTAATATGAAGTGTTAACTTGAATAAGCTTGTAAATTAAATGAAATTGTGATATAAATGATCAGAATAAATATAGTCAACATGGGGTGAAAGAGTGAATGATGTAATCACAAATCAGAAATCACTTAATATGTAGAACAATATGAATTAAGTACAAATTAGTAAATAGGGTTGGATGCTGAATAAATTTCACGAGGCAGGATCGTGGATGTTCTCTGCTGAGGAGTCCCATATTAGTACGAAACGGCTGTCCAGTGCTTCCACGTTTTCCATGGTGGTCTGACTTCAATTGACTCATGAATTCAACTATTAAACTGTCGTAATATCCACAAAACCCCACTCTGGTTAATAGGTGTAATAATAGTAAAATTAATAACAATAGTAATAATAATAACAATGATATGATGTGTGGATAAGTTTAAAATATGGAAATGAACTCTGATCAAATTACGCCACCATATCATAAAATTGATTATTAACTAATTAAGCCGGAAGTTTTCAAAGTAAGAGAAGCAACTGAACATATTTCTTTGGAACGCGAAGCTTTGGCTTTTTGATGCGAATAGAAATTGCTTCAACCGTCTGCAGGATTTTTAGTCTGACGGATTTAGGCAGACTGCTGTTAACACGATATATTATTATGAAAGATTACTCCATGATGGCTGTATGGCCGGTTTGAATTAAATGAGCTAAAATGAAGCTGTTAACAGTTCCAGCTACACCTTTTCTTAAGCACACTGGGAGGTACTCACGAGCCCGAAGATACAAATTCCTAGAACATCTGACAATATAACTTGCTCCACGGGAGAAGTTGAATTGATGGATATAGAAAGAAGTGTTTAGTCTGGGTAATTTATCTTTCAAACTTAGAGTGATCGTCAGATATGTAAAAAAACACAAATTATAATTTGCCTGCATTAAAAGTTCTTTGGATTGATCAACGTAACTTTAGTATTAACATTTCACTAGGTGCATCGCCTCTAAATTGTAAGCGCATATACAGAGGATTTTCGCTCACAGTTATGCCCTCATTTATTGGTTAAATGTCCATTTATAAACTTCTCTGGACATTCATTTTCTTTCATGGTTGTATACAAGGCCTTTGTTTTGTCTTCAACCGCATCTAGAGAGCATGTGATCTTGATTCTGTAGTGAAGTATCGTAATCAGGTTCTTTTTGTATCGTAGAGGGACAAAACTAAGAACATTTCTATATTGGCCAGTCCAAGTAGTTTTCTTGTTCACGTTTCTTCTTAGTGACCCATCTTTTCTCCTTGTAGGTAGAACCTCTAGAAATGCTATTCTACCTCCATTTTCTCCCTCACATGCGAATTTTATAGACGGATGAACTTCATTAGATCGTTCAACTGTCTCTGTCAAGTCAGTTTGGTCGTTACAAAGGATGAACGTATCGTCCGTACATCGATAGTGAAATGGGAACTTGTCAATCTGCTCTACCAGTGGACCGTTTTCTAGTTTAGCGGGAAAAATATCAGCCAGTATGGGACCTAGGGGTGAACCCATCGCGACACCATCTGTTTGTCTATACATTTCATCATTGAATCTGAAGTGTACATTCATAGTACATTTTAGTGATAATTTCTTGATCTCTATTTCTTTGTTCTCTAAGTTGTTCACAGGTATATTCTACAGTATCCCTCAGTGGTACATTTGTAAACAATGACATTACGTTTAACGACATCATCGTTTGTCACATCAGTTCATTTTCCGTCGTATTAATAACGTATTTTGATCAGTCAGTTTCTGAAACTTTAGGTGATCATTCAGGATGTTATTCATCTTGTCAAGATAGCCATGTTTCCTAAGTAGGATAGTTCCTGTTCCTTTATCAAGTTTCGTAATAATGGAATTCTCTTTATTAATAAAACCATTTGAAAACCACTCCACAAACGCCTAGTGAAGCATAGTATTAAGAATGTATTCCAGTTAGTCGACAAGATCAAAAACATAAACACGAAAGTGTATTTCGGTGTAATTGTATTTTGTTAACAATTACAATAATATAAGCAGTTTGTTTTCTGTCAAAGACATGTTAATCATTTTACCCATTAAAAATATCAATACAAATGTAGTTTTTAAAACGTCTAAGTGTACGTAAAATGAGAAAAGTTAAATACACAGCTGTGATATTTGAACATTAAAATTAATTGTTGAAATAAAGCAACTTGTGATACAAACTGGGTAGGTAGAGACAAAGTCCAATTAACTTGCTGATAAGCAGCTGCCAAGACATAGCTAGTTGTTTTCATTCATTTCTGCTCACGATGTCCTTATTCGTCCACATATACAGCGCTTCTTCTGTCAGTCTTTATTAATGGGTGCCAAACCCTTTCTGAAGTATTTTAATCCTTTTCAAGTTGATCTTGTTGTCCGTAGCTCTAGTAAGGATTTACTATCAGGTTTCTTGAGATCAAACGATGATATAGAAACATATTTCAAACATTGTTGTGTTTCTTCAACCTCATATTCAACCGTCAAAAAGTTTCACCAGCATGATATTTAATTTCATATACAACGTCCTGTTGTTCTTCTTTTATTAACCTATCTTAATCTTTAACTAGAGTTGTTTATATAACGATCAGGAAATAAAGTTTTACGTTTATTTAGAATTTCCTTAGTTCCGATCTGTTGGCCTTCCCTGTTGTTAATGAGTTTAAAACTGTTACTTGAAATTTTCACACCTATAACCTTCGTAGAACAAGCATGTCCTCGTTGTTAGCCTAATTATCTTTAAGAATGTATTGATTTTCAGATAACGATAATTTTTATCGTTTAATTAGGTCTTTTTTCAATCAAACAGTTGAAAAACGCCAGCTCATAGTCAATGGATCCTACCTCTTGGTTCAATACAATACGATACGCTGTGTACATATTCAAATATCTCGCTTAATAATGACAAAAATCTCATCAAGTCATTACTTCCTGATTATTCTCCACTTCTTTAATTTAACAAACCTCAAAAAGCACAAATAACTTATATACAGGAAAAAATAGGTCTCATTTCAAGGAATAACAATTATCAACTTATAACATGAAGAAAAATATCGAGATGATATTTATATAATAGGGCATCTTGCTACATCGACACTGGTTTTGAACAAAATCGTCTAAAATCTTCAAACACTGATTGGAGTTGATTGGATCTACCCCACCCACAGATTCTGCACCTTCTTGAAATAAACTGTTAGTAAATTCATAAACTGATGTTATTTGTGATGTTACTTTAGGTTATAGTGACTATACATTAGAAAACTACGGCTTCAAAGCATTTATCGTCGATTACGTGTTGCTTGCTTATGATAATCCATTTTAAAGATCATGTCCTACACATGTAAATAAATACAGTGATAACCACTCTAAAGAATATTTGATCTTCCATAGACAGTCAAATATCTTTCATGTACTACAAATACTTTATGTTTGCAAAATATCACACAAACGTTTTGTTTCTTTGAATTAGAATTATGCTTAAGGAGTTAGGCTTTTATAAATATTATTGACATTTTTTATTGTAGTTCCTATTTAATTCAGTCCAAAATGGCTTAATTACTAAAATTCCTGGGTTTTTTTCTGCATAGGGTCTCGATGCACATAAGTATAAAAATACACTTCATTGCGCTTGGAAAATATGGACTGAAGAAGGCTTTTTTGCGTAAGTTTTTTTAATTTCTAACGGGTATTTCAGTTTAAAATAATTTTATCTGGCAATATTTGAACGACTAAGAGCTAAAGGACTGAGCGTTTAGAGACAGGTATCTACCTGAGACAACGGATGAATGGTTGCACAAGTTCCTGGATCGATTAGACATTAACACTGTTGGATGCCGGCTCAGTGATCAAGAGGTTAAGTGTTTGTGTGCGAGACCGAAGGTTTTGGAATAGAGTCCCGAATGCTGGGTTGTGGATGCGCACTGATGAGGAGTCCCATGCTGGGACGAATCGGCCGTCCATTGCTTCCAGGTCTTTAATGGTGGTCTGGTTTAAATCGACTCATGAATTCGACCACTGAAGATTTGTTATACATTTTTTGTAATATGTTGTAATCGTCTAATAAGATGAAACCCGTTGTTATCTGAAATGACGCTCCCATTTCCATTTGGTTCCTTGGTTACATGGATTTGACTTACAATAAGCTGTTTTATCCTTAATAAGCTTGTAGTTTAATGTTGGGACAGTATTCATTCTCTGACTTTTTTGTTGAATCGATTGTACAAGTTTTTGTGAAAATCCATGCAATTTATTCATCTCGCCACAAATGTTTGGTAGTAGTATAGTTATTTCTTCAATAGTTCTTGATGTTATTTCTGTATCGCGAAAGACAAATGTCGTGTTATCAGCGGAAGGTAATTCATTTAATGTGTATTTATTTAGTTAGTAAAAACTGACATTAACATCAGACAGATTGTTCGTGATAGTTTACTTTTAAAACAAAATATATTGTATCTCTGAAACAATGGGACGAGTACTATTGAATTATTACTCATAGGAGTATCACACGAAAGATTGCTATTTATATTTTTATTGTACAACCAGCAAATTCTTGTATTGTTGTGTTTTTATCTTCTGTTCATAAGCTTTCATTTGATCCACAAAGCGTTGTCATGTCTTGCAGTGTCTTAACTTCGTTAACTTTGATTACTGTGGCACAACGGTAGCGCGTTTGACTCCAGATCAGAAGGCTGTGTGCTCGAATCACGTCCGGCTCACCATTTTTGTAGTGGCTTAGCTTTGTTAGTCAACTACCTTGTTAACCATTATTATATAAATCCCAACGGTGTTTGAAGTCTGAAGTCAATAAGAAGCGCCGACTACAATTTATTAGCAGATAACACGGACAACAAAGCTATAAACACATCAAGCTTATTTGAAGCCGAGAGGCGAATGTATGTATGTGAGCAAATACAGAGGCGAATTTATAGTCAAGTCGAATAAGGCTCAGTTAGGCAAGGCAAAGGCTAATAAGATGATTCGAGTATATACATACGTGGGAAAGAGAATGACTCATCGAGCGACATTTAAGCGATTAACATTTTAGCTACGAAGAGATATGTGCGTAGACTGTCACATGTAATCAAGCGTACACGTTTATACAGACAAGATAATGATCATATTGACTCCGCCTGTAGCTCTTCTAGAGATACTGCTGGTCCCAAGCCCGGGTAAAGGAGGAGAGTTGGGCATGGTATTGGCGACCTCGTCCCGTAGAAAACAACTTTTTCAAGAAAGGCTAACCAGAATAAACAAATTAAAACATTTAAACTCTGCCGTGGGAGTTGAATGAAGAATCATGATGAATTCAGGTATTCTTTAGAAGTAACGAGACCAATACCCCTTCTAACAACCAGATTAACGATTAATATAGATGCATGGAATGTCCGGACAATGTGGAAGACCGGGAGGACTAGTCAAATAGAAACGGAAATGAGGAGATCCATCATGGAAGTACTCGAAATAAGTGAAACCCATTAGACCCAAGCTAGACAACAAAGGTTAGGTGCAGGAAAGATGCTTCTGTACTCTGGTCACAAGAGGAAAATGCTCTTCACACTCAGTGTGTTGCTCCAATGCTGTCCAAAAAAGCAGGTAATGCACTTTTAGTATTGGAATCTCATGGATTCAGAATCATCAAAGCATCCTTCAGAATAAACAAGGAGGGAATCATAATAAATGTTATCCAGTGTTATGCACTCACTAATGATAGCAACGACGACGATAAAGATCAATTCTACGAGAGACTAGAATCGATCATAGTGAAGTACCCAGGAAAGGATGTGACCATCCTGATGGGAGACCTAAACGCCGAAGTCGGAATTGACAACAACGGTCATGAATATGTCGTGGGACGACACGAACTTGGAGAAAGAAACGAAAATGAGGAGAGATTTGCAAATCTATGTGCATTCAACAAATCGGTTATAGGTAGCACAATATTCTCACACAAGCACATACACAAAGCTGCATGGGTCTCACCGGATTACACCACGGAGAATTAGATGGATCATATTTGCATCACTACAAAATTCAGAAGGTCAATAGAAGACGTGAGAACAAAGAGAGGAGCTGACATAGCTTCAGATCAGCATCTGATTGTGGCCATGATGAAAATGAAGTTATAGAAGCACTGAACAATTAAGGAAACGGAATTACGAGTGTTTGACACACAGCCTTCCTTCGAGATACTGAGAAACTCAACAAATTCAAGATAACTCTCAACAACACGTTCCAAGCCTTACAGGATCTACTCAATGGAGAAGAAACTACTACGGAGGACAACTCGAAAGGGCTCACGGAAGCACTAACATCAACGTGTCAGGAGGTGTTGGCCCGCAAGAAACATCATCATATAAAATGGATCTCTATCGAAATCCTGGACAAGATTTAAGAGTGGAAGAATAAGAACAGAGCAAGTCAAGTCACAAGCTGAATACACAGAAGTAAACAATCGTGTGAGGAAGAGCATTAGAGACGACATGCAGAAATACGTAGAAGAGCTAGCAAGGACAGTGGAAAAAGCTGCAAAAGAAGGAAGTATGGAACAACTATATGACGCAACGAAGAAACTGGTAAAGAAATATAATAAACCAGAGAGACCGATCAAGGACATAGAAGGCAAGTCAATCACTGAAATTCAAAGATATAGGAAGAAATGGGTGGAGAACTTCGAGGAACTCTGAAGTAGACCAGCTCTAGTGAATCCACCTGAGCTTATACACCTTGCTGACGAATGTCAAATAACATGAAACCTGAGCGCAGGATTTTCTATCGACTACTCCCATCTACCTCTTTGATCAACTATCCCTGTTTTAATCTGGTTTGTATCACTTCGGATTAAGTTACGTACACACTGTAATTCCTTAATCGCGTTACCATGTGGTCAAACATTTCAGTCATAATAGTGTGTGTTTTGTATCATGATTGAAGTAGAGTACAACAGATAATTGATTTCCTTTTGATATTTGTATTGTGACTGGACACTGAGTTAGAAAGAGCTTAAGGACAAATTAGGGTCAACGTTTTTGTTATTGTTCATTGGTGTACGTGCCAGGTCACCGGTCCTACTGGCATTATGGGTGAACTAATTGATAACCTGACTAGACAGATAAAGATGTCACACATTTGCTTCTCGTCTTATTGTCTGAGCACATAGAACATGGAACCCAATATAACCCAAAGAAATCCGTTTTTTCCTGAATAACCAGTGTTAATGAACATCGAGAGTTATGAATTCATTTAAGGTGACTTGAACATATAATGTATTTTTAAAGGCATGATGATGTGACCGACTAATCACTAATGAAGATCCCGTTTATATTTCAAAAGTTACTACTTATCGAAAAGTCTATTACAAAGGAAGACTCAATGACGAATCGTCCCGAACTTTTTGTGATACAATCCTCATGTTATCGACTCATGTTATGGAGTCGAATTAAAGTTTTCGTTTTAGATATCGCCCATTAAAACAATAATAATCTTGAAATTTATTAGTTTAATTCAGAAATTCCTTAAAAACCTGTTTTAAAAGTAACTAAATAATGATCAAGAATAATTAAACGAGTTGTTATGCTCATAACAACTGCTTTTGTAGTCCTTTGTATCTTTTTATAACCTTGATCTGTTAAAAGTAAATCAAGTATAACCTTAGAGATTTTGAAAAAGATTAACTAAATTTAATAAACAGTAAGACAATATTTATGTAAGATTAAATTCGAAATAATCTCAGTGATTGAATTGTGTATAATTCCAACGTTTCGTTCAGTAATCTTGTCTGGACGTCTTCAGTGTATCAGTCAAAATTATGAAAGAATATTTAACGCTTAAAAATCGAATCAAATCTACACTAAATGCTTATCCAATCATATTTAAAGGGTAACGTTAGTAAGTAGGGCAACATGGGTCAGTGAGATTTGAATCATGTGAAAATAAATAAATGTGTTTGTGTAACTTTAGACTAATAATAGTTAATATCCGGTGAATGAATTCTAATCATTTGTTTATTAAAAGTAATAATAAAAGTGCATATTGAAAATGTTTTCAAGATTTATCTTTATGTGAAAAATAGAAATCATCAAATACGTCAGTGTTAATGCCAAGATTTGACATGATTGTTTCGAATAAATTGATCATTGGGTAGAATGTTAATAACAAATATTTTTCGTTATGTCCCAATGAGTAGAAAAATTGTATTTCTGACGTTTCTTGATTTGATGTAAGTCATTTCTTCAGCGTAAATAAAGAGCTGAATTCGGTTATTTATTTACGCTGAAGAAATGGCTTATATTAAGTAATTAAACGACAGAAATACAATTTTCTATTTGTTCGAATATAACAAGAATATATTTATTATCATCAAATACATAGTTATGATTTTCAAATATTCAAATTAATTTCGGTTGGAACAGTGCTGGATCTGGTATAAACAGGGTGGATATAGATAAGGTCCAATTACTTGTTAATGATCATTTGTCAACGGTGGGACTAGTTGGATACCATCTCAAGCTGTTCTGATTAGCCCATATATACTGCGCTTCCGATGTCTATATTTCTTTGTCCGTGTCAAACCTTTTCTGAAGTATTTTTTCCCTTCAAAATACTTATGTTATCCTTATCACTGAAGCCAGTTTCTAAATATGATTGGATAAGCATTTAGTGTAGATTTGATTCGATTTTTAAGCGTTAAATATCCTTTCATGATTTTGACTGATACACTGAAGACGTCCAGACAAGATTACTGGACGAAACTTTGGAACTATACACAATTCAATTACTGAGATTATTTCAAACTTAATTTTGCACAAATATTGCTCTCCGTATACTCTGTCAAAATATTTGTTTAAATTATAGTAAGAGGATTTTAGTGTGAATGTTTGAAATCCCAAAAACATCAAAGAATATTTGAATTGACTTGTGCACATTGTTCTTCTACCTTATATGTATGTACTATAACGAGGAAGACCTGTAACATTGATTGTTATCATAGTCTAAAAACGAATATGTCTTCACGGGAGCATGTACTTAACCGGTTCCAACTCATTATTTATCAATAGCAAATGACTGAACAGTAACAATTTTGTTATTTTTACTCATGTTTAATCAACTTTTGAAGTGAACGATAAGTATTTCTTTTTTGATATGCATTTTCTTATTGCATACTTATTTTTTTTTCTGTTTATAGTTTCTATAAAGGTACTGTACCTAGATTAGGTCGTGTCTGTTTAGATGTTTGCATCAGCTTCATGATTTATGATTCATTTATGGAGAGTTTTCACAAAATATGGGACACAAAGAAACCTTAAAATATTTTCATATTTATACATTTATACTATACTTGGTTGTGACGAAATTCTTCTCATTAAAGTTATATATATTTATATATATAGAAAACAGTAATTTCAATGCACAATAGTCCATTCACTTTTTATTTACATTTGAATCTGGTTAAAAATATTTGAATAAAGAAATAGATAGAGAAGAATAATACACTTATTGTATTCACTTACTTATTTCTGTATTTATCCATCTATATTGATAAACAAATCATTCCAATCTTTATTTATATATTCTTTATATGGTTGTGTTAGTCATCTTTGGTTGTGCAATAATTCATGCAAAATCGGTGATATGTTATTGTTCTTTTAAATTAAAAAAAAAATATTGTCAAATTTATTTCTGTTTATCTATAACCGATTGTTACATGTTTTTATGAGAGAAAAAACTTTACTCTTCTTTTCTATTTTTTCTTGTTAATCATTCTATCATTTCTTGTTTGGTTTATCCCTTTTCTCAGTGGATTTTTCTTTTATTTGAAGAAGAAGAAAATCTGTTGTTCCCTTTTGAAAAAACGTATTCCAATTTGATAAAATCGATTTTTATGAGTTGACTGATTTTCACTTTGATTAAATATGATTGGCGTTTTTTGTTGTTGTTGTTGTCGTTGTTGTTGTTGATCTCTTTCAATATGCATATCTATGCCATTATTTATTTTCTCTGTGACCTGTATTTCGAATTCAAAAATAATATTGGTTATTCACTAAATGATTATTATTATTGATGTATGTATTTTTACTTATAAACTCTTCTAATCAATGGCAAATTTCATATAATAATTGTTTATTTCATACATCGCATGTCTAAACTTGTTTTACATAGAGGGTTACTGTTGGATACCTTACATTGTTTTCGTGTATTCACTTTCGTTTACTTGCAGTGAGTCATTATGATATGACAGGGAGTGGTGCATTATCTAAAAGATTAATATCAGCATTGGTAATTTGATAGAATCTACTAAAATAGTTGGAGTGACAATTTCCAGTTGCTAGTCATCCTTTTCATGTCTACTTGCGATTCCCGACACAGTGTCATCCACTTTCCTTTTTTTCTTTAGGATTCCAAGTAAGCGCTTACCTCGTGATGCAGTTTGATAATTTCCAATTTGTATCGTACTCACCACCAACGTTGTTAACTAATTTCTTCCCCAGCTGGAAGGTAGTTTGTTTTCTCTCACAGTAGACCGTTGCGTTGGTATTTGGTCAACGAACAATGAGTATCTTGCGTAGACATTTGTTTATAAATACTTGCACTTTCTCGATGATGGTTGTAGTAGTTTTTCAAGTTTCATCTCCGTACATTGTGATTAACTGTTTCGACGTTTGTATTGAGGATTGTGACTTCGATGTTGACTGACAGTTGCTTTAGATCTCATATGTCCCTCAACTGTAGGAATGCTGCCCTTAGTTTTCAAATCTTTATCTTCGCATCTGCATCTGATTCTCCTTGTTCATCAATGATGCTGTTCAAGTATGTAAAAGATTCCAGATCTTCCAGCATACAATCAAGTGTGATCGGTTTGATGCTCTCCTTAATGCATTTGAGAACCTAGGTTTTTCCCTTGTGTATATTAAGGCCTACTGTTGTAGAGGTTGCTGTTACACTGGTTGTCTTCGCTTGCATTTGTTGGTGTGTATGAAATAGAAGAGCTGAGTAATCTGTGAAATCCAAATAGTCTAGTTGCATTCAAGCTGTCCATTGTATTCCGTGTTTCCCCTGTGATGTGGAGGTTTCATAATTCAGTTGTAGTGTAGTGCTTCGTTAATCGATCGTCTTGATAACCGTTATTATAACAATCTGAACGGTGTATAATATCAGAAGACAAAGGGAAGCAGCAACTACATTTTTATTGATAAATAACATGGGCTAGAAGGCAGTGAGCACATTAGCAAATGTAAGTAAGCGAAGGAAAGATGACGCAGAGTGGAGATGGCTGGTAAGCCAACTCGTTATAAGCAAGCATTAATCAACATTTATAGTGAGACTAAAATGAATGACAGACATGTGATAGGTAGGATAAGAAGTGTGCACACACATACGCTCATATGAAAAAATAGTCAAGGTCAATAAGCGAATAATTAACAAGATCAAAACATGACTCATAACGTTATAGGTGAATTGGCTTGTCCAGAAACTAGAATAAGCTATGTAGGTGTAATATAGTACACGACGTTACACTACTCCCCACACAGTCAATCACCAGAAGAAAGAGGAAGGGTGAAAGTAAGCGACCTTATCTGACATCGATCTTCACTTAGAATGAACGCTCTATCCAAACTGAAAACGTATTGCCGGACAAACCGAAATGATAAACACACGAATGTGGTCTGAATAGTACTAGAATTTGTAAGTTCTTTATTTGCTCAATGAACTATGCGTGATTCAGATTAAATAGTCTGTAGAGCCAGTAAAATGTCCTTGAACCCTAGTGAAATCATCCGGCAGTTCGGTCACTTAATATCGAACAGTTCATGGATCCACATCAAGTTCAAAGACAACCGACGCGCATCAGTTAATCGTAGGCCATGTGATGGTGGTCACACTTTCTCTTGTACTTACTATAGCTAATATATTTTTATAAAAACGTCCCTTGTGTTATATGGTCATCAAAGCGGCGATAGTACCTTGGTACGATGAAGGGTAAACCACGTTAGCTGCTGAACGCGAGATGTGACTTCGAAGTTAGCTGTTGGTAACACCATTCTCGTTTAACTCGAGTCGGCCGTCAATCATTCGACATAGATCATTTACGTTAGTGATCTACAAGCCAGTAAACGATAGCCGTAAAATGTGGATAATTACATAATGACACGTGTAAAAGAAACTGAAAAGATGTATTGCACATGTTTGAATAATTTCACCCGTGAAAATGAGCTCATTATTCCTGGAAAAATGACAAACAATGGCTTAATAGCTAGATTTATACATAAAAGCAAACATTGCATATGTGTGTGATAGAAACCCTTAAAACAATAATGCTAGTTTCGTTAACTAGTCCTGCCATCTCTGTCGGAGTTCAAATATAACACTCCTTTAACATCCAATAATTCATCTCTTGTTTATCACTTTTGAATCATATATGAGTTGTCTGGGAGCTGGCAATGACTAATTCCATCTTATCTGAGGTATTTTTAAGACAGTATAGCCAAACAAAATACTTGCTTGTTCACAAAGACAAATCTAAGATAGGTCACTAGTTCAGCTGTCTAAATGATATGGTAGAATTATTTATTTTAGAGCAATGGTATAAACAAGCGTTTTGTTACTGTTGACATACACCGGTACGGTTAATACAATAACCTACACTATCACTACATAGACGAATCGCTGAATTTGATATCCTGATTTATCAGTTTATAATAAGTTGGAAATCCTTGTTTCTAGCAGCAGGATTATAAGAAAGCACAAGTTTACACCAGATAAAGTAATTCAGAGTGATATGTACGACGCTGATCACCTAACTCGAACACTAAAAGTTAATCTTCAATATCATAATTAGTACCACATTCCTATCCAGGTTACCTACTACTAAGCAAAACAGAAATATGTGAAAAAGCGTGTTTAGATCCCATCGTTCCTGATTACTTGTGAGAAACGACGCAAAAACGATAATTTCTTTGCAAGTATCTGATCAATACAACCAGTGACAGCATTTGAATGTGATTTATTTAGTGCCTTGGTTCGTTGCTCCTTCATTCCTGTGGTATCTAGGCAGAGCTATGAGTTTCTAATAAATCACCCTTATCCCCAGTTCTGAAAAGATCGCCCAAAGTATAGAAAAAACACCTTATAAGAGTTAACAAACGACAGTTTAAGATCTCATTGTAAGCGGCTGTATAAATCCCCATCTGGAAATTGAAATCTTCAATCACTAGACCAGAAGCGAGACTTTAATGATATCAGTATCTGACTACACGACCTCTGAAGCTGAGTGTAGAATTACTGAGAAGATTTGCATTCAACATGTAACTTTAGGAGATGGTCAGGAATGATGGGCGCGGCAGGAACCAATGGAAATGTTATGTATCGGTAATGCAGACGTGATCATACCATGCAACCCCGTCCTTTTTGTATTGAATATATTACTCCCATTCCAGTTCAAATATATTATTCAGAAGCGTTAGACGTCATATTGCTGATCGTCACCATAGTACTGGTCAGTGAAGACTGTGATGTTACTTCCACGTAAGATCTTATAGATGATGTAGTTGCATTATGACATATCTACAATCTTACGATTAGGTCAATAAACAAGTTAGAGAGTACATATATGAAGATAACTTCCTCCATGAAACACAACAAGTGTTCAGGAAAGGTAGGTCATGTGCTTACCCGTTGGTTGAGAGATCTGGGAGACCTATTGGAACTATATAATACAAGTTCACCTAATATTCCACGACTTTGCAAACGTCTTTGACACAGTACTCCTTGCACTTCACATAGCATAGGTTGCAAATATACGTTTCTAAGACCCGATTTTATCGTTAGAGAACAAGCTGTTCTTCACCAAGGTCAAAGAGTGGACACAAGTTGGAAGGTCTCAATATCAAGATTTTTAAGAGCAGCAATCGTGTCTTCACTACTGATCTTAATCTTTATTACCGAGTTGTGAAGTAAAAATATCATATCGGTACTATTTAATGCAGACAGCACACGAATCTGAAGGCACATAAACAGCGGGAAGAATACATTTGAGGTTCAAACGGACCACACAACAATAGAGGGATGAGCAGTAGACGCTGAGTTTAAAATTTTCATGTCAAAATGTCATGTGGACATTCTGTTCCATTGATACAAAATCTTAAGTCTTCTAGGAGGGTTCGTTCTTGATTGTCAACTCAGAGCATGATCTTGGGCACAGTGAACTCAAAAAAGCAGTTGAAAATACATGGAGATACAGACAAGGCAGACTAAGTCATTCACGTTATCCAAAGACAAGTAGACTCAATCGCCCAAGAGTTGTTTCCTAACTCTATTTTCAACTTACACAGTGTCTCACCTTCAAGTTCACAATTTCACTGAAACTTTTCTCTTCAAATCGTTTGTTCTCGTCAGCGTTTTTCTAGCATGGTTGATTTCTACGGCATGAAGTTTTTGAACGCTTTCCAACTTTTCTGTTTTACCTACGCTAGGGATCGGAGGTAACCTTAGGGGACATGCAGGCGGAAGAACATACCGAGAAATGAATAGCTACTAGGAGCAACTAGAAAGGATTGCTCAGGACAGAGTTCAATGAAAAATCTTAGTAGAAAGCCTACCCTCCTCTACGAGGGTTAACAGTCGTAAGTCAAATAGCCTTCTCCGCAAAAGACATAAATGTCTTAGACCTTGCACAAACATGGACAACTACTTGAATGGTGAGGTTAGAAAATAAAACTTACAGAGAAAAGCCCTAGTACATGAGGTTATCCTGGTTGGGTAGTGAGAGAATAAGAAGCGATCTAATAATGGTATATATACTAAACATCACAAGGCATCCCAACAATATCATTTTACTAGAACGACATAACGCTCCCTGTAGCAACCCCCCAAAATTGCACACCAAGCAGCAAAATACAAAAGAACACTATAACTTTTTTCTCATAAAGAGTTTGCCGTCATCGTAATGCTCTCTCGAACGAAGTGACCATAGCGCTCACAGTGACGTGCTTCAAGAAGAGACTTGAAAAACCAGTACTATTTCGCTTAGATCAGTTGTGCCCGATGGATATCTCATACTTCACTTCTGTTGTCATTGCGTCATATCAGTGATTACATCCTTTGTCTCCTAGTTGCAATTCCGTTTCCCTTCCTGTCCTAAAAAATCTGTCTTTTCCCGCTGTCTAAATTTCCGAATAATTAACTTATTATTTTTGAGACAATGATCTCTTGACAAAGAAATTATCGCTTTATTACTTCCACATTACAATTAACCAAGTTTTTGCCTGGTAATATGATAGCTGCTGGTATCCAGAAACTCTACCTTGAATCAAACGCATTTCTCTGAATCAAAAAAGAGTGTACACACCAAAAAGACTTGAATTAATGTCGTCGAATAACACTACCACTCGTTGGACATAAACGAATGACCAGAACCTTACCGAATCAACAAAAAGCTAGCTTAAATAAATTTATCAACTCATAGAAGCTCGCGAAAAACATGTTATCTATTGGATATTAAAATATTATTTAAATGGTTCAATGATGCATGTAATCATGACAAAATACTCGTTCTTTTACAAATGGTGCGCAATATGTTATGAAACACCGAATAATTTAAGTGCAAGAGATGAACTCAGAAGACTCTACAGATGATGATTATTTAAAAAATTCGAAATCACGCTTTTCGTTTCACAGAAAAGAAGGAAAAGAACATGAAGGAATAATATGCTGTGGTCACAATACATGTCATTTAGACCGCTATAATCTCATTAGCAGTGTGAAACCATTCACAACTAGACCATATACATTGTACAAAGTAGTTTTGACAACAGCTGACGTTCCTGGCGCTGGTACATCGGCTCAGGTATTGAATCTATATATTTTCATCTTTGAAGATCTACATTACACTTAAAGGTGAATGGGGATCCTCCACTCGTCAGAAGCTCAGGAAGGTAAAGGTTCCAACAGGGAATCCCCGCTTTTATTTATATCCTGGTTCAACAAACACCTTTTCAGTGGTTTCTCCAGATTTAGGAGGTTTACATTCTGTGTTTATTGAGGTAATATAGTATATATTTCTGTCATAAATAATTACGCATATGTGATTCACTTTTTGAGATTGATTTAGTAATGTTATAGGACAGTTACAGTTTCAAATAAAGTATTTATTTCCTCAGCACTTTTTCATTTATTTGAATGGTTTTACTGGACCTTTACATAAATTTTCAGGGTACATTTACTCCTAAATAATCCTTAAACATGACTCCATCTGTTTACAAAATAATTCTTTTCCCTCAGCAAACACATGCTATGTTAGGTCACTTGTTTTTGTGACTCACTCCTGATGTGATCAAAAAATAGATGACAATTTTACTTTCTTCCCTCAGACAGGGGTTCGTGAAGTGTAATTTATTCTGTACACCATTGTGCATGGGCTTAATTTTATCAACACATTTCTCATAGATTTCAGTAACTAAGGAGTTATATTCTTAGTCAATCCTAATAACAGAAATGGACTACTAGAAGAAATTAAGGATTTAATAACTGATAGTAATGATGGTTATCTAAAATAAAGTAAAGCAACAATGCCACTAACATTTTATAGATTTAACTTATAATCATAGTGAAAGTAACTCACAACTTATTGGTTTTTTTACACATTAGCATGACAGTTTGAGAAAATCCGACAGCTGGCTTCTGGAAAGTGTACAAGTCTTTCATCCTCTTACTAAGAAGCGTTACATGTTTATGTGTAACCATTGGTTTTCCTTGTATAAGGAAGATGGCCTCATCGCACGTGAATTATTTGGAATACGAAGCGCAAAAACAAGTAAATTGTGAATAAAGCAATCAAACACTGCTGTATATCAATTTCTTAACTTTTAGAATACTCTATTGTAACTGTGACCGGAGATCAAGAAGGGTCTGGAACAAATAGCAAGGTATATATAACAATTTATGGAAGGACTGGAATTACTCCCAGAATAGAATTAAGCCAAGAAAATAAAAATACAGGAAAAGATATCTTATGCGCACCCTTTGGACGTGGTACAAGTACAAAATTTATCGTCAAAGCTCCTAATGTTGGTGCTATTACAAATATCCGCATTAAGCAAGATGAGTCGGGAAATGAACCACATTGGTTTTTAGAACGTGTTGTAGTTACTGATATGTCTTATCCCCAATGGACTTATTACTTCCATCTTTCGTGTTGGCTTTCTAGTAAGTATGGTGACGGTAAATCATGCAGACTTGTTCGAGGTTATAGAGAACCTACTGGAACAGGTGTTGGTGAGTTGCACTTGTAGCAAAATGAAACAATCTTTCAAATCCACGACTAAATAATTTCTTGACTATGTGTAGAAATTTATTCTTTTCATAAGTTAACCATGTTATTCAAGATAGCTTTTATTCTTTCTGGAATATTATATTAAAACTCGTTCAGTGTGCACGTTTGACTCACGAGGTATTGTGCTGAAGAAACAAAAATTTGAATACTGGCTCGAATATCCTAGTAACAGTGTCAGAATGTCTGGTATTAAACTGTTAGATATTTAAGAGTCATCATATACATTGCAAAATAATGAATGAAGTGATAATTCAGGAATAATAAAATACTATTATTTGTCAGCTTTTGTCTTGAGCACTCAAAGTCGATAATTCAGAGGTTTCTAATTTGAGGGAAACCATCATACTGTGTTTTATTAAAATTTAGTCATCAAATCTAAGTAATTATTGTGCAAACTTTGGTAGGTTGAAGAATCATAGATAACAAGGCAGGGCTGCGCTTTTACTTTGGTAGGCTTTTGCAATCATAAGTAGTGTACGCTTAAGACCTTATTGGGGACAAAGTCAAGGTTTACAGATTTCACATGGATCGTTATAGCCATAAACATCTGAATTATTATATATTTGTCCTCTTTTTTAGAACTTCAATCTCTTATCAGATATCTGGTTAGCGAATTGTATGCTCTTTCAGTTAAATTATCTTTATCTTCTTTTTTTTAAAATTGCCAGTATTAAGTGTGCAAAAATCTAATTCAAAAAGTTTGATTGCCATCGATAGAAATAAATGTCAATCAAATTTTCGAAGCAGATGACTGTCTCCGGTATTAAAGATAGGGTTTTCTCATTTATGTTTGGAAATGGAGTGACTGGAAATGATTTATTTTATTTGAAATCAATTTATTAAGTCTTACTAATAATATATCTTTATGTGTTTAGTGTCTTTTATTTATTTCCTGTCCTAATAATAATAACATAGTTAAGCGCACAAGTAAATACTACATTTTCATACAAATACTATAACGTATATTTAATGTTCATATAACACTCAGCTAATTAAAATTGATATTCTTTATTTGAAAAGATGGGTCCACAAATAGTTTCCTGATGAAGTAACAGATCTACTTAATCAATTTTAGTCAACATCTAAAACCTTCGATGATGTCCAAATTTGATTTTTTACTGAGAGATCAACGTTCGAAATAAGTATATAAGTAAATTAAACTAATTATAAAAAATATATTTCGCTTTTCAGTAAAAACGGTAACGTTTGAAAGCAGGCTTGATTTCTAACTTTATTTTATTAATTATTTCAGAAACAGAATACAAACTAACATTTTATACATCTGACCAAAAGGATGCTGGGACAACGGGTGAGGTGTATGTAAAACTTTATGGGGAGAAAGACTCTAGCAGAGAAATATGGGTTAATTCTATCAACCAGAAAAACAGAAGACAACCAACATCTTATCATTTTACTCGTGGATCAACTGTGGAAGTTTATTTACCACCATGTCCCCAGTTAGGTGAGATAACCAAACTTAAGGTTGGACATAATAGGGCTGGTTCATCTCCTTCATGGTTTTTAAACAAGGTAAGACGTTATACTTCATGTAGATCAACTATCTATTTAATAGTTCTTAAGCAGACAGTTGAGGTATAAACGAGAAACATCATTTCAGATTCCATGTATAATTTGTCGCATTTTCGAGAAATTCCAGTTGCCAATTGTAGTCTATTCGGAAGCTCAACAATATTGCATAGTTTAAATAAGGTGCATGCGATATTTTCAATAAGAATAGTCCGCTACCGTTTATCTTGTGTCCTAAAGGAATGACTTTTAATTAACAATGCATCAGAAGCTGGATTTATCCAACAACCATATTTTTAGGGATATGCTGAATTCAACTGCTCAAGTTTTAACAATTCAACAAAATTGTATCGAAGTTTTAATTATTCCCAGTTGAAACAGACACAAAACCAATGAACTAATTCCTTGATGATTAATTTTTGCACGCATACTTTTAAACAACCGAAAACATCATTTCAACTCTTCATTCATTCACTCATTCTTTTATTTACTTATAGAAAATAATAGTCAAGATAAACTGAAATTTCTTTATTAAAATGTTAAGTTTCCATTATTTTAACGAGAGTAATTAACTTGTAACTTCATTTTGACTGTTGTAATTTAAGGTGATTGTAGATGATCTAAGAATGAATCGTGTATTTGAGTTTCCTTGTTATGCATGGATTACTAAACCAAGTGAAACGATAATTGTGTGTCAAAAATCAATCAAAAAAGAAGAAAAGGAAATTATTTGGCAAAGTAAGTTCACTACAATTTATGGATATATATATATATACTGGACGGCCGTTTTGTCCTATTATGGGACTCCTCAGCAGTGCACATCCACGAACCCGCTCTCGTGAGATTCGAACCCAAGACCTACCAGTCTGGAGCCGAAGCCCTTAACCGATAGACCAGCTCAGTGGTCTATCGGTTGAGGAGTCCCATAATAGGACGAAACGGCCGTCCAGTGTTTCCAGGTTTTTCATGGTGGTCTAGCTTCAAATGACTCATGCTTTCTACTATGAAAAATACTAAATCTCCACAAAACCCATCCTGATAATTAATATATATATACAACATTAAACAGCTTAAGATGTCTTCAGAAATAATCTTTTGTTTGTTTGGCCTAATTCAGTTGGATCTCTGTTCAACAGAGCAGAATGATATTTTATTACCATCTAGAATCAAATGAGTGCATTTAATTTATCAGGAGGGGTTTCGTAGAGATTTTAGTAATTTTTTATATAGTTGAAATCATGAGTCGATTAAAGTTAGACCACCATGGAAAACCTGGAAGCATTGGACGGCCGTTTTGTCTTATTATGGGACTCCTCAGCAGTGCACATCCACGATCCCGCCTTGCGAGATTCGAACTCAGGACTTATCAGTCTCGCGCGCGAGCACTTGACCGATAGAGCACTGAGCCGGCATCCAAAAGTGTCAATGTCTAATTTCAACCAATCCACGATGTTTGAGCAACCGTTCATCAATTGTCTTCAGTGAGTTTATATCTCCCAACAGACCCGGTTGAACTCCACTGGTTACTGCTTCTCACTAGAATTCCAGGAAATATCTCATGGAGCCAGTCACTAGTGAGCATATGATCATTATCAGAAGGGGGTTTTGTGGAGATCTTAGTAATTTTATCTAGTTGATATCATGAGTCAATTGAAGCTAGAGCACCATGAAAAACCTGAAAGCAGGTTTTTCATGGTGCTCTAGCTTCAATTGACTCATGATATCAACTACATAACATTTAATTTTGTTCAAAGAAGCTATTTGAACTAATTCAAGATGATTGTAGTTTAAAACTAAATCTATATCTTTTCATTACCGTTTCTACACATTGCAACTTCGAGTCTAGAGCATTTGTTTTATAATGATTGGAGGTGTCAAACTATTGGTTGTATATAATGTTACCTAACTTATCATAAGTAAACTAAAAATATTGAATTTAAAATCACGAGAAACATTGGATCTTATGAAGTACGAACAAATTTCGTCTTAAAAGTACTAATTAGGTTGAATTTATTTTTGTAAAGAAAGATGCTCCTTTTTTCGGAACGAGACGTAAATGTTATGAAAAAAAAATGGCATGCATTACTGATTTGAATTCTTAATTAAAATTGATACTAAGTTACTTACACTTGTTATCAACGAAAGACTTGTAACTCAGTCAGTTTCCAACCAGCACTTTAGGTCAGCTTATAAGCCAATTACTTTTGATATAAAAATTAAATCATCAATAAATTTTATCACTATGGGATGTAAAGTTTTCTTATTGAACAAGCTTCATGTATTTTTCGAATTAAAAAAAAGTTTCTATCTACAAATAGTACGATGGTTCGAAAAGGGAGATAATTTTATTGTTTTGCATTTTACGTATTCTTTTCTTAAACAATAACTCTCAGTTTGATCGTATGTTTATAAAATGTCATTGAAAAGATAGGTAGCTAATTTGACTTTTTGTGCATTTCCAAACAATTCACATTTTTAAAAATCTTTTACTGATATAACAGAGATACCATTAGAAATTCGCTTGTACACTGGTGACGTACCAAATGCAGGAACGACCGCTAAAGTTTACCTTCGTTTAAGTGGTCCTGAGCAAATAGCCATTAGCAAACCTCCTTATCCAAATTACCAGATAACTAACACTACTGTACAGAAAGGATTTGATAAGACACTGGATCATGCAGATCAGAAAACCACTTTTGAAAATAAAGAGGATGTATATACAACTCCATACATATGGCTGGAAGACGGTAATTATGACAGAAATGGTGTTGCATTATTTTCTATTGATTTACCAGTACCAAAGTTTATCAGTCCTCTATCCCAGCTGGTAATAGGACATGACAATACTGGTCATTCTCCATCATGGTTCCTTGATAAGGTAGTTTGATATGTCAAAGTGAGATTTTGTTGTAACTAAACCTTTTAATAACTACCTGAAATTATTTTGCGTAACTTTTACATTATAATATAGTTTTCAGTCGAGGAACTTTACCGTTTTCTCTTATATATTTAAAATATATATCATAGTAAGAGGAATAGAAAAGGGGACTCTACAAATCTTAGTGCAATTGTTTTACATAAGGTTTTGTTCTTTGAAACATTTATTCATTGGAGTCCCATAATCTTTGTGGTAACTACATAAAACAACATCTTGAATAGCTACTTCACAATGTAATTCTCTCAAAAGTATGATTTAGTTCAGTGACAATATGGAGAGTATTCGATCTAGTGAACTCAAATGTGACATTTTTATGAACAGAAGTACAATAGTTTTGTTGGTATTCATCAGATCATGATCTATAACTAACTTGTAGCTAATCTCTCCCTCATTAACATGAGTATAACTGTTTCTTGTTAATTAGTAGGAAATTTAACCATTATCCAGGATACGGTCTTACCTAAATTGAATGATAATAAAACCAGAGCAAATACACAGTTTCAAGTTACCACATAATACGGTATTGTTGTCATAAACTGGCAACTATCATCTCGAGTTTAGTTTTCAGTGAAGAGTTATAAACAATTCCCAGAGGCAAACAACCAAGAAAAATTGAGATTGGTTCACCTAACAATTTTATGTAATGGTATTATAAAAATACTGAAAAGCAACTGGTTTCGAAATTTTAGCTAGCTATTATTTTAACCTTTGTACTTATAAATAAGCTATTTATTAGCCGATGAAACAAACTCTTTACTACTTAACTTTTTATGTTGGTGTTTAGTGTTTTCTCATTACTAAGATCTTTGGTAAAAGTGATATTTCAATATTGATAGTTTATTTAGTATAAGGTTGCGCAAGATTAGCTTTGTTATTCAATATGAAGCTGGATCTATGTAATTTGAGCCAAGTCATTAAATCTCTAGTAATTTTTTTCAAACCAACATCTTAAGACTCATATCTTTATAACATGCCATATAGAAAGTAATGAAACTTATTTTGTTACAAATTTAGTAAAAGGTTGTGAAGATTGTTGATTTTCCATTGAGATCGTGAACCGATCAATGTTAGACCACTGTCGAAAACCTGGAAGCACCAGAAGACTGTTTTGTCCCAGTGTAGGACTCCTGAGTAGTGCGCATCCACGGTTCCAAGATTCAAACCCAAGACCTCTAATCTCACGTGTGAACGCTTAACTTCTAGACCACTGAACCGGCGTCTGATGGTGTTGATGTTTAACTTCAACCGATCTACGAGATTGTGCAATCACCTTTCATTGTCTTCGTTAGATGAGTACTGACAAGGAGTACATTACTAGGCCGAAATGGCAGTCCAGTGCTTCCAGGTTTTCAATGATGGTCTAGCATTAATCATTTCATGATCCAAATTGAAGTTCCAAATATATCACAGTCTAAAGTAATTTTTAAAAAATTATTTTCTATGATTGGTTGTAAAGGTTCAAATATATTGTCCACTGAACGGTGTTGAACAAACTTTCTTATATCGTAAATGGTTAACAAGTAGTAAACCAGGCATGAAAGTTGAACAGATACTATGTGAAGAAAAATCTTTAAGAAAATGTACTGATAAAAGTAAGTTTAGAAATGTTGATAAACCATAATCACAATAAATTCATTTATGATTGTTTGTATGAATCTTCCCATCGATGTGTTAGAACTGCAACTGATCAGTCTCTAATTGGCATATGTGCATACTGTGCGTATTGCCTCGATATAGCCTTAATTCACAAGCATGGTAAGCAAAGATGGATAGTGGCTAGCAGTGGAATCCAGGACGCGTTTGAAGCGAAAGGCACTGGGTTCGATTCCCAGAGTGAACATCAACTCTGAGATGCAGGTACATCCAGCTGACGAGTCCCAAATAGGACGAAACGTGCGTCCTGGATTCCACTGCTAGCCACTATCCATCTCTGCTTATAATCACAATAGTTAAATGCTAATTTCTTCTAAAGAAATAATCCTCACCGATTGAATGACATTTACTTAATTGTATGTAATGACAATTATATTATCTTGGCAATTATAGTTTCACTTTTGATTTGATTGATAACCATGGTAACAAAAGTAATAAATTGTTCAAACTTCTAAAATTGGTGAATGATCTACAAACATGTAGAAGCAGTACAGTGAATTCATTCATGTTAAACTGAGAAGGATTACATAAAAACAACAAATGCAACTGCTTACTAAATATGGAAAAAGAAATATTATTCAGATGTCGTATAATTTAATATTTCTAATCATTTCAGATATTTAATTTAAAGTGATTCGATGCCACTGTATTGTTTTAAAAAATGAAATTGAAATAGTGATTGTACGTTTTATGTTTACTATGATATAATGTCGTTTGCCTTTGACGTTCATCATTAAAATGGCTAACCTATGGTGTTTAGAAAATACACACATCCATATAAGTTCCCAACAGAAATAATTACAGAAAGTATATCCGATTAGTATACATCTTCATGATAAACATAGTAAAGGTAACATCAGACTTAAGATGACTAAAACATACTACAAAACGTTTATCGAACAGCTAATTCATTTATACTTTCAAATTTGAACCATGAGTTGTGTAGAATAAACTTTTCTAGGAGATAAACTAAGTAAAAATGTTCAGAAGTGGCAATATGGGAAGCATGGCTTGTCCCACGAAATTTGGGAAGAAATATCAAGTAATAGTTTTTAGACTACATCCTATTTGGTAGAAAATGGAATAAACGTTCATCAGCATTCTACGAAAATTACAGTTATTACCTTGAAGTATTCAATCTACATTACGATTTACTTCTTAAATATCTGTATTTTTCTGTCAACAACTAGAAATACCATGGGAAATTTCAGTGAAAACCAGCCCAATCGCAAACAGTTATGTGACAGCTGTTGTTAGCATTATTATATTTGGTAGTAAAGATAAAACTATGAAAATTCAGCTGGATCGTTCAAATTTAGAAGTTTCTTCAGAATGGACTAAAGTATCAAGAAATGAAGTAGTAGAGATGTTTAAGCCAAATGTTGAGTCGAGATTTCGTATTTACATTAAAGATATTGGTATTCCTTGTAAACTAAGAATTCAACACGATAACAAAGGGTCAAATCCAAACTGGCATCTTCAAGAGGTAAGCAGTCACTTTTTGTACAAAAAACTTCAAGTCACTTTTTATTTCATGTTCATAATTCGAATTTTTAGGAAATGATTGTCTAAAATAATTGACACTTACTGGCAGTGTCTGCCGCAATCAAGTAAAAAACATTGGAATTTATAGTACGTCTCTAATAGATAATGATTATAAATAGGCTTATTAAAAATTCGTGTTTATGACACAAAATACGAAGTTGTACTAAGTAAAAGAGCTGGATCATCTAAGCTGTTCATTGTATTCCGTGTTTCCCCTGTGATGTGGAGGTATCATAATTCAGTCACTCAACAGAAGAAAGAGGAAGGATGAGAGTAAGCAACCTTATCAGACACCAATCTTCACTTGGAGTGCACCTATGACTGCCCTCTATACATGACTTAACAATGTAGTTCATTGTATGAATTCCTTATGGTGTTGACGAATTTCTCATGTACACCACAGTGTCAAAGAAACTTCCAGCGGTTCTTATGACTACATAGTCAGACGCTTTCTCATAGACAAGGAAACTGATGTATAATGACGAATTCTGTTCAACTGATTGCCTAACAATAACCCGCCTATAACCAATTTGTTGAATGCATATGCAAATCTCTCCCCATTTTCGTTTCTTTCTCCGAGTCCATGTCGTCTCACTATGTCTCCAATATCCTGTGTTGTCCATTCCGATTTTGGCACCTAGGTCTCCCATCAGAATGGTCATGTACTTTCCTGAGCACTTCGCTATGACCGACTGCAGCATCTCGTAGAATCGGTATTCGTCGTCGTCGTTGCCTTCATTAGTGGGTGCATAACGCTAGATAACATTCATTATGATTCCCTTCTTCTTTGTTTTGAAGGATGCTTTGATGATTCTGGGTCAATGAGATTCCCATCCCGTAAGTGCAATACGTGCTTTATTGGACAGCATCAGAGCAACTCCCGGAGTTTGATTAGCATTTTCTTCTTTGTTACCAGAGTACAGCATCACTTCTCTAGATCTATCCTTACTTGTCCAACTTGGATCTAATGGTTTACCCTGATTCCGAGCACCACCAAGTTGTATCTACACATTTCGGTAGCCATTTGAATAATCCTCCCGGTCTTCAACATTGTCTGGACATTCTATGTACCTATATTATTTGTTGCTCTGGTTGTTAAAAGAGGCATCGGTCGTGTGACTTCTGAAGAATATCAGCTTCACCTTGAGCAGTCGTAATGCGTCTAAATGAAGATAGTTCAACTCGGAGGCCAGAGTTTAAATGGTTCAAATTGTGTGTTCTGCTTAGCGTATATTAAGCAAGTTTGTTTAAAACGGGATGGGGTTGCTGACCCCATGTACAACCATTCTCCTTTACCTGTGCTTGGGACCGCCAGTAAACCTAGAAGATCTACAGGCCCAGTTGGGTGGAAAATCTAGTTGCTTCTAAAAATTTAAGGGAGACTTCAAGAGATCAGAATACAGAAGAAACCTGGTATGGTGATATAACATATTAATAAGTATACAGGAACTTCGCTTATGGATTAGACTTACATGCACGGATGTTCAAGATCATTAAGTTGGTGAATACTAGATAATTTATGGAGGTGTAATATTTAAAACTTTATATTGAAGATATTCAAATTGTTTTTACCACCAAAATCTATAAAAATTATTTGAATATTTGTCTTTGTTTTCCACACTTACTTAGATTGTATTAACTAATCTCAGAACTCACGAGCAATACGAGTTCTACTGCAATCGTTGGTTAAGTACTCGTGAAGACGATGGTTCTATATTGCGAGAGATCCCAGCTAAAGGCCCCGGAATAATTAATCCGTTACCACGTTAGTCCTATGCATGAATTTTATGATGGTAATTAAGATTTGTTATTCAACGTTACTAGTTGATATCTAGTGACTACCAGGTTAGAATCATGAAGATGTATAAACAATATATAGCCACAGAGGATTGTTTGATATTATTCTCATTAGAATATATATATATATATATATATATATATATATATATATATATATATATATATATATATATATATACTCATCAACATACAGACTTGAATATTAATGATGGGAAAGCACATACCTTTGCTAAAATCACTTCTGTTTTACAGTTGCCTATATAAGGCATATGGACATGAACCACTGACGACCTCAAACGTCATCGATAAACTATTAAATTTGGACAGAATGACCATATGGAATCGCGTTTATCCCAAAAGTCAATATTATGTCCCAAAACGATGTCTCAATTATTTGTTACATAAATTAACATAACCTCACAGATTTCTGTTTCAAAAGAGCATTGACACATATATGACAGGTTCTACATTATTTATGACTAACTGAATTCTAATCATACCGGTTCCTTCAACTTCATACCATGGTGTCGTACTATATTGTAGTTTATTTCAGATCAACTACGTAAAAAATCAGTCAAATTACCAATTATATTTGTGCTTAACATAGTACTTACTTACGCCTGTCACCCCCCATGAAGGAGCATAGGCTGCCCATCAGTATTCGCCATCGAAATTAACATAGTATTGTTGCTATTATCATTTCTAATTGTAACGATTACTTTTCTAGTTTGGCGACTCATTCATTCTATCCGACCGATTGTCACTCATAATCCTAATCATCCCAGGTCTCAACGTATTGAGATGAACTTTTACCTTCGTAAACTACTAGCAGTCAAATAAAGTAACACAGGAAATAAAATCAGTATTATGAAACTGTTTCCAAAGCAAAATACTAACATACGTGGATAATAGATTGTTTTTTGCCTGTCTAGCAAATAATTTATATCACCAGTCTTCAGTGAGGTGAGGAGTAAATTTTCCATCCGCAACGGGTCAGAAGGTCACACAAAATTTAAGGTAGTAACAAGTGGCACACAAATTCGGGTACATAGTTTCACATCATTTTAACACAAGGTACTCCATCATTCTTTGGTATTATATAGTTTATAATGGAATTAAGCTTATTCTTCATTTAAAAATTTCTTAAGCATAAAAAAATCACTTATTTCACTGTATAAAGTCTGCATAAAATTATGTGTTCATTTGATTTCTTTATTGTTGTAGTTTATCATTACATCATTCAAATATTTACTGGGAATAAGCCAAACTCTGGTACTAATGCAAATATATTTATAAATATATTTGGTGAAAAAGGTGACTGTGGTGAAAGATGGCTTGGACGTTCAGTTAATCGAAACTCAGAGTTATTTCAACAGAATCAAGTAAGTTTAAAGTATTTATAACACTAAGAGGAATTACCAATCAAAATGAAACTATTTATCGGATTTTAAATTTAGATATTAGTATCTGTTTGAAAAGCGAATATACTGATCAGTGAGATAATATTATGAAAATGATCCTAATTTTGAAGAGATCTTAGCCTGGGAATCACTAGGTATGAAAAATTAATTTACAACTGCTTAATCCCTATTTGACAGTTGGTAGTAGTAGTAGTAGTAGTAGTAGTAGTAGTAGTAGTAGTAGTAGTAGTAGTAGTAGTAGTAGTAGTAGTAGTAGTAGTAGTAGTAGTAGTAGTAGTATACATTTCATAGTCAATGAGGAACTAAACTCACCGACTTCCAGGTCTCGAAAATAAAACAGTACAAGTTAATCAGTGAAGCGGAATCCAATGATTTACATTCGGGAAGTTAATAAATTTGTTTTATAGTATCACTCGCATATGATGTTGTCGGTAAGTAGCTGCTTCAGCATTAACAAAATTGAGTTAATAAATCATGGATTCCAAAATTAACTTCAATAAGTCTTTCTGAATACTGATTTTTAGTGTGAATATAATTATTGACTCAGGTTTTCTTAGGACATCATGGCTAACTCACTGACATAGATGAAACTGTTGCCTAGAGCTCTCTAGTTTCCGATGGCTCTCCAGCTGGTGTCAGTATTTCCTAAAATTCATTTTCCTTGGTATTAAAAATATCCAATAGCGTCACCTTTCGGATAAATGAGAATAAGTGAAGTACTTATTCCCTGTTAACTGAAAGTGGATGCGTTTTTTTTAATAGCGTGTCAGAGGACATAGGACATAAGTTATTACACCTAAAACTGAAATCTTAATGATATTTTCTGTTAGTAACAAGCGGAGTAATCTAACACCGATAGTAACTGTAATATAAAATACCAAAGAAATCCACGTGGTACCTCAAATTTTTCTACTAAACACACTATGAAAATCTTCAGCAAACTTGTGAAGAATGTAGTGAACAACATGTGATTAAATAGTTGCCAGTAAACAGTGAGCAGCAATAGACTGTGATTATTAGTAAAGTCATTGTTCATATATTAAATCTCAGTACTAAAAACGGTTGGCTATTTTCCCCTGAGTATTTAGTATATTGTTTATTGTGATTGTGACATCGTATGTTTCAGATAGGCCATCTAAACAAGTTAGTAGAATATATCTGAAATATGCTATACGTTTACTGTCTACTATCAACTAATAAATAAATAAACATAGAATAAAGATCGTAAGAAATGTGTCAAAAATAATTAATTAGAATCAAAATGACGTTTCTTGAGAATCTAGTAGGTGATTGTATTTGTTTCATTACAAATGATTTCTGGATCTGTCAGTTAAAATCTTCAATGTAGACTACGGCAATAACGTACACCACGACTGAGCAACCTTTGCATAAGCTATGGAGTTCATCCAAGGATCGTGTTCATCATCCTATTGTTACTTTTCCCTGTAAAGTACGTAACAGAAATATTCGATATTTGTTTAGGTCCATTATATTTTCACTCGATACTATAAATGAAAAATTCCGAATATGTGTTGCTGATCTATATTAGCTACAAAATTTGAAATATTCTCGTTTGACCAAAATGTTTCTAACCAACAACCCTAAACTTATCAAACTAGAGATCTATAACACTTTCAAAAACACCACACATTTTAAGACAACTTAAGTTGGAAACGTAACAGTCAGTCATTCTAAATTGACTTAAACCAGTAAGTATCCGGAGAAATGAGAGCATTATAAATCACTTTTTGCTTATAAATTCCTATTTTCGTAGTTATAACTAAATATTCAGAGACTTTTGTTTTACATAGTCGTAACATTCGTATGTTTCAGATAAAGAGAGATTAACAGAGTTAATCGACACCAGTTAAATAATATAAAAGAAACCGACGAAAAGGGGAATAAATTAAGATAATCGAATAGAATGTTCCATACGAATTTTATCTTCATTCAGTTAATGCAACAAGATATAAAAAGCTTTACTACCTTTAATAAAATGGAAAAGTTTGTAAATCTTCACTTCATCAACTGCTAAGAGTGAAATAAGTCTGTCAAATGGGTAAAAGAAATAATCCTTCCAATTACAGAATATTCAAGTTATATTGAAAATTAACAAAGGTGGTTAAAGTTTTTGACTTTTTAAATGAATACTTAACATCATTGGATCTAAATCACTCACAAATACATAGAGAATTCTATATCAATGTACTTTAAAGATACCGTAAATGATAAACAGTTGATTAAACTGAAATTACCCTAAGATATGAGTATTTCAGATGATATTACTCTTTGTCGTAAGTGGAGATGGTAAAGAATTTGACTGTAATTCCACAGTATTGTATGGTATGTATGGGCACCTATGTCTTATTTGTTGATTCGTATTTCTGTTCACCTACATTATAGTGCATTGCAGATCCCGTGCCATCAAGAAGTTAAGGAAGAACACAGATTGCCAATGATTTAATTTTATGAACAGAATATCATTTTACTATTTGTAAAGATTTGACACCTAACTTATTATCAAATTTTTTAACGTACTTTCTATCATTTTGTTAATCTTCCAATATTTTTCTTAAGATGGATGAATTTGTTATTGAAGCAGTTCAACTAGGTTCAATTAACAAAATTTGTATCGGTCATGAAGAAAGATCACCTGGATATGGTTGGTATTTGGCAAAAATAGTATTAACCATTAAAGAAAACCCTAAATACAAGCTTACATTTGAGTGCTATCGGTAAGGAATTTTCATCCACTGTTAAATTCTAATAAGTCTGTGTAATGAAAAGTGCTTTAAAAGATTTCTGAAAGCTTTGTTTTTCGATTGATTTCTAACGTCATATTTTATTCCGTTAAAAAAACTTACGATTTTAATAAAACTTTGTTAGTACTTGTAATATATGGAGCTTTGGCAAAATTAGCTTACGGACTTTTGTTGCCTATCAATCGACGTCACACAAAAAGCGTAGATTTCTTTATGATGACTTCTGAGTAAATCCACCTTTTTACACCTTAGTTATGTCAATAAGAGAAAAACTTTTTTGAAATTATTTCGGAAATTTAGGGTGTAAATTGTAAACACCATTAAACGCAAGAATGTGGTTTGCTAACATTAGCGGTTGTTCACGTAACTGTACAAAGAAACATCGTTCTTTTATTCAGAGAGAAGCTTTTAAATTCTTTTCCAAATATTCCTTAGTCGATATCAATATGCTACACATTTTTTGATACACATTTTATTGCAAACAAATCGGTTGTGGAATTAACCGTCATCTTTGAAAATTTCCCATAAATTAACACTATAGTTATTTGTGTTAACATCAAGGAGAGTATCTATCGGTGGATTTTAAAAGTTAAGTTCAGAAAAAGCCAATTAAATATTTCCCATTATTTCAAAAATACTCAATAAACTTAGTTACGATCACCTTTATATACTTCACTAAAATATTCAACTAAATACTTATTTTTGTTAGGGATCATTTTGTTGTGTAAGTATTTAAACATCTTCATTTTAATAAGTCTAACATTATTTAAGAGATTATTTAGGATTCACTGTTTTCTGATCATTTTCAGATGGTTTGATGTCGGAGAAGACGATGGACAAATTGTTCGTGAACTGTTTGCTCACAGTTCATTAAGTGGTAATGTAGATTTTTTAATTTAATGGAACTTAAAATCACTCTATTCATTCTTTCGATAAATATTTCTTATCAAAATTAAATGAACAAAAATCCTTGGGACTTTTATTGACTGTTTCATATCTCAATAACAGATATATAAATAATAATAGATTGTATGCAATACAATGTGTAATAAAAAAACGGTATAACATATATCCGTTCGAGAAACTGGTTACCTCAGATGAATTTCTTTATGAAGTTGATGACCTTTTCTGATGAAATCTTTTACCAGTTCTTTGTCAGGGGTCAGAAGACAAGGAACTATTATAGCCATATCTACGAGTTATGATTTCTTATCATCATATGAATTTGTTTATCTTATATAAGTGTTATATCTGGAACTTAGATTCCCAGTATGCCTCGAACAACTTGAGCACTCGATTGCTAGAACCTTCCCAAGTTGCAAAAGAGAAGACAGAAAACAAGTGGGAGGAATGTTATTCCAAACAGTGTCAAAAATGAAGTCAATAGTGTGGAACTAACACCTTATGATATAATATAAAGTGAGACACATGATGTTCACAATTACGTAAATGAAAAATTCTCTTAAGGTTGAAAATGAACTGACATTTTAGTTTCACGTAGTGTGAACTATGCTTAGCGATGTAGAGAATTACCTTCCTTTATATTCTTTCAATATAAAATACTTCACCAAGAACATGTATGCTAAAATATGACCTTACTAAAAAAATCTTTAAAGTGTATTGTAGATGTCAGTTAATGTTTCAATTAATTTTGAGTTCACTAATGAATGTTCACTATTTTTAGTGTAAATAAACTCAAAAAATTTCTGATAAAATTTTCAGTTTCTACCTTAGAAGGGTATATATTTGATAAGGTATGACTAGTAAGAAATATCGTTTGTAAATAGATCTGTGGCCTTTTTATTGTTGGTATATACTAAGTCATATTATAGTTATTTACCCCAGCTCTGTATATTAAGAGTAACTATAGTTACCTTTAATTATAACAAATTAAGTAAAATAAAATAAGTAATATTTCATATACTTCCGACCTATGAGTGAGTGGATGATGACATTCTACAATAACACAAATTGAATGAACGCTTTTATGGAAAAATATATGTTATCATTATATATTTGGTGTGGTATCCCACTTTCTGGAACATTCTTTAAGAGATTGTAATGGTATAGTTTCGATTTTATGCACTTATGAAACAAATATGGATTTTGGTAGTAGAACGATGTAGATGGCTCAATGCGCTGCCCCAAAAGTTCGTTTTACTAAAACAAGTATTTTTTTTAAGTAGAAATAGGTAGTTTGAGCAATAATATCCTTATAAAGAAAGGGATTTTCTATGCGTTCTTACTTAGAACCACAGCTTCTCAGAATGACTCATTTATTCAAAACACTACTCAGATCAAATTCGACAAAACATTTTTGTTATGTTTCTTACAAAAATTTTGATACGATATTAATGTGATCATAAAAGGTAAAAGAATAGAGCTAAGACAAGCCACACTAAACAGTATTGTAGAATAACGATTAAGATAATTTCATTCATAAGTACTTAAGATTCCCATAAGCGAAAAGAATATCAGAGAATAAAATTTGATATAAAATTACAAAGTCGTGTTATCTAGTAAATAAACAACTCTGGTTACATATTTTATTCCACCTCCAATTAGATTTAAGTGATTTTTGAATAATCATGTTGCCGAAAGAATCATAGGACAGGGAAAAATAAAGACCAAATTTTATCCAATCATTATATTATTATCAGCCTTTTTATCTATAAAACAAGTATTGTTTCAATATCACTGTCTCATAAATATCATTTTACATACAATGTAAGGATAAAAGATTGACAAGTAGCATATGCTTAAATTGTTAAACATATGAGTTGGTTTGAAACGAACAGGAAATCGAAAGATAGAAAATGTCAATCGTTTGAATCTTTATACAAACCGAAATAGAGATGACAAGTGAAATTCACTTGGTGTTGTTTACTTATATCTTCCCATTGCTATTTAAGACTGCACTTGGTTAGTCTCTTGTTGGCATATTTGCATCCTGTGCGGACTGCCTTGATATTGCCTTAAGTCATAAGGTTCATAAGCTTAGGAAGATACAAGTAAACAACATCAAGTGAATTTGACTTCACCGGATTACACAGGCAGGTTGCTATCAGGGCTCAGTAGCTAAGTGGATAACGCGAAGTTTGGAGAGAACAGTACTGGGTTAAAGTCCCAGAGTGAACATAAACTATGAGATGCATGTACATCCAGCTGACGAGTTCCAAATAGAACGAAAAGCGTGCCCTAAACTCCGCTTCTATCCACCTTTCATCTCTGCTTATAATCACAGGTAAGATTGTTATGCTGTGTGGTGCTTTGTTCTGATACAAAAATTTCTTATATCCGTACCCAAACAAGCTAATTAGGTGAAGAAACCAAGAATGAGTAAAGAACATTATTAGACAATCTAATCTGAAAATATACATATGATCACTCATTTTTAAGTATATATATATGTACTGATAAGCTCTTGTTGATCGCTAAAATAAATAGAAAGAGGACACATATTAATCACTATCAAAATACAGTTAGAATGTGTAGTTCATCATCAAAGATTGCATAATCCAATTAAAATTGACGTGATAGTGAATAATTAATCAAAAAATTCACTCTGCATTAACGTTAGCTGTATGACTCTTGAATGACCATTGATTTAGTTTTAAGTCATTTATGTGATGATAATTTTCGCTTCTCGATTTTGTTTCCTTTATTCACAGCTATTGCATATAATGTAACAGTATTAACTGGTACATGTCGAAATGCTGGAACTGTAGCAAATGTATTCGTTCATTTGTATGGACTACAAGGTGAAAGTAAAGATATGCAACTTAAGCATAAAGAGACAGAAATTACAAAGTTTGAAGCTGGGAAATCTGAAGAATTCATTTTAGCGTGTGGAAAGCTTGGTGAAGTAAGCTATAATTAATTTAAGATAATGTAGGGGAATTTTTTAATGTTCTGGAATAGATTTATGATACTCTTGTGTGATTACGGTCGAATTACCTTGCAACTGAAAAGGTGCTACAGTACAATTTGCAGTAATAAGAAATCTTGTGACTGCTTTCTTGTTGTTATATCTTGTGGCCGAGTGGATGCCCAGTTAATGTGTGATGTGATAAGACCACCAATCAGAGAGCAGCAAATTATCGATTGGAACAGTGGCACACAAAAATCGTACGAGCAGTCTAAAGCGCTTATCGATCCTGCTTCTGCCTAGCCCAGTCAGTTAAGTCCAGAACACCAATAACAGCCTCTGTGGTATGAATCATTGTATTTCAAACATACTGAGTTTATATACCAAACAGACTGACCACAACGTACCAATAAAATAGAAAATAACATTTGTACAAGAGTTAGCCAAATGTGGCTGTGAATAGGGGGAGTAGTAATTAATAGACTGGGTATAACTCAGGAATGGTAAATCGTACACAATAGTTCAAGGGTCAAAATAAAGCTCACAATGAAAGGAACATGAACATGAGTGGTTTAATTATTTAGCAAATATACGATAAAAGTTACATGCATAATATTGGGTCCATAAATGGATCCCAAAGTTGCCATTCACTATTGTTATCGGGATATAACACTTATCTAATGCTTTTAATAATATGAAAGTGAATTTGCGCAATAGCATTCTGTTGGTTATTTAACAAGTCAGATTCATTTGATTATGTTCGTTGATCATTTGTCTGTTTAAGTGCCATGGCGGTAGGAATTTTTTTATGAATATTTTGATAATTCTAGATTTAAAAGTAACTAATTGCCTTCAAATAGATTTTTTCATATTCTTGTTTCTAACAATGTCAAAGATGCTCAATTGCGATGCTTAGGTATGGAAAGTAAACAAATTAGTTAACATAATGCACTTATCGATTTAAGCTGTTCATTTATAAATGGTACTTATTTAGTTCATTATCGTTCTACGGGTATCTGTTTCGTTGTACTGTGAATTATGCAATCTATAATAGTACAAAACTTTAAGTTCAAGATAGTTCGGTTTTCTGGTTAGAACGTTTTTTTCACTCTTTATATAATAAGTTTCAAATAAAGATGGAAATTTCTAAATCTCTAAAACTCATTTAAAAAGTTTCTAAAAGGAAGATAAACTATCTTTTATAATTGACAAATAATTCCCATTTAAACATTAAAAATTAAAAACACGAAGTTCGGCAAAGGGATCTCTTTTCAAAAAATTTATTATCAAGCTTTACAACCGTATATATGTATGAAAATGTTTTGTTAAAGTACTAATTCCGTGAGGAAATGTGAGAACGAATAACCAAGATGACGTAATAGAAAAATTACAATGCTAGATTACGTAATACAAGTAACAACAATAGATTTAGTGAATAAGATGATTAAAATGAATAAATTGTTTTTTCACAGTTGAAATCATGAGGTAATTGAAGCTAGACCACCATCGAAAACCTGAAAGCACTGGACGGCCGTTTCGTCCTATTATGGGACTCCTCAGCAGTGCGCATACACGATGCCGCACTCACGAGATTCTAACCCAAGATCGACCAGTCTCGCGCCAGAGCACCTAACGGATAGACCACTGAGCCGGCATCCAATGGCGTTAATGTCTAACTTCAACCAATACACGATTTTGAGCGACCGTTCACCAATTGTCTTCAGTGTGATGATATCTTTACAACAGACCTGGTAGAACTCCACTGGCCACTGCTTCCCACTAGAACTCAAGGAAATATCTCTTGAAGTCAGTCATAAGTGAGCATATGATAATTGGTGACAATTAGTGAACGGTCGCTCAAAATCGTGGATTGGTTGAAGTTAGACATTAACACCATTGGATGCCGGCTCAGTGGTCTATCGGTTAAGGGAAAATACTGAATTCTCCACAAAACCCCCTCTGATCTAAATTGTTTTTGTCACAATAATCAAAGGTCACTAAAGTTCATAGAGGTGCAAAAATAAAAGGGTGATATGTTGAGTATTCATGAATAAAATAATGGGAATATAAAACATAGGTAAAGAGGAATGCAGTAATAATAATAACAATATTAATAATGATGGAATAATAATAATATTAATTAAGGCCACGGTAACGATAACGATAAGACGTACTTCTTTTGTACGCATAGTTCTGGTTTAAACTCATGGATGGTAAGAGCTTCGGCTATTTTTAGGAGTTGAACTCGAAGAAATCTAGGTAGATTTGAACGAATCATAAAAACAACCTTAAAATCAAACTGTGGATCTGTAGAATGATTACAGCCGATCAGGTGTTCAAGTAAAGAACTCCTAAGCGCTTTCATTTCACCTTTATAGAACCAAACTGGGATATGTTCTCGCATCCGAGTACTTTAACAAAACATATTTATATATATACGATTATACAGCATGATAATAAATTCTTTGAAAAGAGATCCCTTCGCTGAACTCCGTGCTATAGAGTCATCGAGTCAACTAGAACGTAATTTATGCTTTGTTAAACAGTTACATGAAGACATCCAGCTATTCATTTTAATTTGTTTCATTATCATTTTCTTAAGGTCTAATTACTATGATATACTCACCTTTAATTAAAAAAACGTAACTCTATACATATATGTAAATCAAATAAATAAACGACCTAGAATCGAAAGAAATTTTTCTCCGAAGAAGATTTGAATACAAGTTATTGACTAAGTCAATACTAAGAACCTATTCGTCGCGTAGTATATTTGTATTGTAAAGCTTTTATACTTTTGCTTGTGAGCGTGGATTCTATTCTAATATCTTCTAGTTCTATCAGAAGATATACAAGGAGAAAGTTACGAATGAAGTGTATGGTTAGTGTCTGATAGATTAACATTTGCCAGGAGTTTACAAGACATAAGATGTCTATCCATAACCATATTAATAATGACTTCAGAAGATTCACTAAACACCCTGTCAACTACTTTTAGCACTTTGAATTCAATAATATTCATGTATCATTTGTACTGACTTTTTGCTATTATTTAAAGTTTAGTACATTTATTGAATTTAAAAGCACTAACAACCATTAACCTATTTAGGAACGATTTCAAAAATTTACCTTATGCATTCTATATTCAACCGCGCTAATCAACCACAAGGAAAACAATCAGCTTGGATGTAGTAAAGGGTATATACAATTATGGAGAATCTTATAAACGAAAATAATCATACCCAAAATAAAACAAGTATTGGTTTACATAAAGAACCTAAAGTGTTTTATCGAGTAGCACGTCAATAAATTGGTGATAATAAATCTTTCATGATAGATTGATTACACAATATTATAAATTATTCATCTCAAATATCAACGAAACTTAAAACCATATTTCGAAAATAAATCGTTATTTCATTGTTTCAACTCATTATTTGAAATGATGAATATAACTACACAATGAAATCCTAGTCGCTTACTGTGTTCAGACATTATGGTGTAATGATGGTGAACATTTGTGTTTCAGATGAATGATTCTTTTCTCATCATAATTTCTCATGACCTACATAATTTCAAAACCATAATAGAAACTTTATATCAATCCAATTGTTAAATAATTATGTAGTGTTGTTTTCTTTCCAGATTGGTTTATGCAATAGAACAGAAATTTGGTAGCCTAGGTTATTCTGTATACTTCCATGATGAATTATGAAATTGCTTTTTATAACCATAATTTTATTGTTTCCATTACAAAGAAAATCAAAGTATGAAATGTTTAAATTTATTCTAGATTAAAAAAATCAAAATTTGGCATGATAGTATTGCTCCACATTCAGGCTGGTTCTTGGATGAAGTGGTTGTGATTGATTATTTTCTCGGACGTCGATATGTATTCCGTGTAAATAGATGGTTAGCTAAAAATGAAGCCGATGGACTAATATCATTAGACTTACAGCCAACAAGTATCATTAACATAGAAAGAAGTAAGAAAAATTAACTCATCCTCCTTACATATTACTTATCTTTGTCGTAACTTTAACTGTGACAATAAAGTACTGTCTAAAAACGTTTAAATTATTATCATATCCAATATTTATTAACTCAGTTTTGATGCATAAAAGTCATAAAATAAGAAAGTACTACTGTAGTGAACACAGGTGGGGAAAAATCGGTTGTATTTTAGTATCAAATTACAGATTTCTTTCATCAAACATGAAAACCATACGTTCAGTACGTCATTTGCTAATCCTCTATCAATTGTCTTAAAATTCATCAGTCCTTCATTGCTATAACAATTACTCTCTGTTCCCGTTCTCTTAAATTCCATCATACCAACCTTTTGCTACCAGGCTCTTCACTTTCGGTTGGTGGTAAGTACTACTTATGTCGTCAAACATAAGTAGCATGCACCACACTATCTCCTAATAATTAAAGGAATAAATAAATAAAGTCATGTTAATTATCTAGATCCAGTGATAAAACTGAAAGTCTATTTACAAAATTCATTAATTTTTTATGTTTTCATCTTCAAGTAAATAGTAACCTACTGAACATCTGAAGCTCTTTCGATTGCTTGAAGTTTTCTTTATATTCATAAAAGCGTAATATTAACCTCATACGTTTCTAAGAATTTTTAACACCATGGGCAAAAAAAGTCGAACTGTATGAATATTTAGATTAGATAATGACAAACTTTTCTCAACCCTATAACAGAAAAATCCAGGTACGCTTGAAAGCAAATGTATCCTTAAAATAAACATTTGCGGTTTCACTTACAAAGCAAATATATATATTAAATACAGAAGAAAAAAGAAGCACATGTTATCTAACTCTGCTCAGTTGCTAAGTTTGATTATTCAAAGCCATTGACATCTAATCAAGGGTAATGAAATTTCAAATATCACGACGTTTTATATTTAGCACTCATTTTTTTATTTGTTATTGTCCATCGTAAACCCATAACAAAATCTCATCTGATATATTACTAATTATGGAAATCTATTTACATGCCATATACATTGATTTCTTATTCCACCTTCCGTTGAACTCTAGGGTTATTAAAACGTCGATTTCTCTGGTAACCAGTAAGTAGCAAAATAACTGAAATTTTTTATCTATAATACCTTGAACCACAGAAGTCACAAAATAAAACTGCTTATTTCTTATATTTAGTGATCCCTTATGAAATCATTATATTCACTGGTGACAGAAGTGGAAGTCAGACAAAAAGTATTGTCACTGTTCAATTGTATGGAACGCCATTAAAGAGAAAAACTGAAATTATACGATTGTCAAGAACACAACATCATTTCAAATTCGGTCAGCCAGAGACATTTCGTGTGAGTGACTATTTCTGAAACATTTTAAGAGTCATTTTTGTAAAAATTAATAAGTTAGAGGTAAAAGAATAATACACTGACAACCATGAGTGAATGAATCAGAATTAAAATAAACCCTCATATATTTTGTGCGAAATTTAAAGCTCAGGGGTAGATAACGTATATGCTATTACTAAAGAAGTAAAAATGGGTAATATTTGTTTCTTAAAACGGTTGAAATAAATGAAGGTATATATTGTGAAACCAACATTTCAATTTAAGATGGTGTTGAAGCTAAATTACAAAACATACCTTCTCCTAAGGCAGATTGTGCGTTAACGTACGTGATGCAACTCAGTGCTTTTTCAAGCATGTTTAATGAGTCTAGATAGTGTTCTCTCACTCTGAATCTTACTTTAGACCTCAACGCCAATTTTCGTGAGATTATAAACAGAAGGGTGGCAAGACATTGTGCTATTCCCGATGTCAGTTTGAGATGAAAACTTAAACCTTAATTTGTAAACCTAAGTCAACACTCTAGTTTAACTTTTATTACTTAACCCTTACCTTTTTGCATTATAGCTGATATCAATGGGTGGCGAGAACCATATAGCATGATAATCCTAAGTCTTAATACACAAAATTTAACCTTTTTCTTATTCAAGGAAGGATCAATTGACATGTAAGGTTAATTATTCGGATCAAAGCTTTTATTCTACTGTGATCATATTACTTTTATCTGCTAATTGTTTTATCATTATGCGGCGTTTCCTGATCGGCTGAACCATACAAGGTCTTCAGTAGAGCTTACTTCTACCACGCTTGAATAACTAAAGACATGTCAAGCAGTCACAAAACATTTCATTGTATTTTGCGCTAACTAGTGGTAGGACCCGGAATGTAAATGTCTTGCTTTGAAGTGACAATCGAATGTATGATATGTTAATAGATGGTTTCAGATCCTAGCACATATACACTATTATTAGATTAATTTCAACCCTTCTTTTATTTCACCTAGATATTTGCACCCGATATTGGGCCTATACAGAAATTAATAGTTGAACGTGATGGGACAGGTTTATCAGATGGGTGGTTTTTGGAAAAAGTTCTCATTAGAAAGCCATCTAACTTCTTTCAGAAAATGAATCGTTCCCCAACAGTTAGCCCAGTTAGATCACTAACGAGACAAGTATCTAAGGGTTAGTGCTCTCAAGTATTTTTTTATGTTGATGTGTATAGCATCTTAGTTTTGATAAGCTCTTAATGACATATAAGTTGTCAGGGTATCTGATATTTTCGTTCCTCACTGAATAGCATGTAAGCATCTATTCAAACATATTTCACCACTCAATCCAAATTAGGACTTCGATTTATTTGGTAAGTAATGAAATACTCATGAAACTGTACACGAAAATAACAAAGTCCATACAAGCGTACTAAATTTACAGTCAGTTTAATTTCTAAGGAAGCTAACTTATATTAATCTATACATATCAAGTTTCTGTACAACATATTATTTTTTAATATTTAACTAATACAAAACAACGTCTGATAGTAGACGTCATATCATAAAAAATAGTTTTTACCGCCAAAATATTACCAGCTGGAATGCATTTTTAGTCTAGGCAGGAGTGGATTTTTATTCTATCGTAGTAGGAAATCCGTCAGCAGTGATTCAAGTTAGTTAATGTATCATACTGGTTTACGTTCCAGTTTTATAAGTGTCATATGAAGATAATGAGTTATACAGAATATAGGATCGTTGATAAGTTTTAAGAAAGAGCTCTAAACTAATAGCTATCAGATGTTCATTCAGTTTCTATTAATCATCCATTCAAGATAAAACCGATCATCAAATTCAACAAATTATATACATTCATATCATGTTCGCACCAACGTACGTAATTTATACCACTCTAAAAAGTTAATAATGAGAAATCAGTATTTATTTCTTATTCGATTAGAAGATAAGTGTGACTGCTTAGTAACATAAAAGGATTCCACGACTTGATTGACTTACAGCAAAGTCGCTTATTTTTCTTGATTTAAATGTAATATAGAGCAGATCACAAATAAGAAAAGGAGTTGAAATTAATTTATTATGTAATTCATATTTGTAAATAAATGAATAACTAAATGTCCATTGTAACTATATGTATACGAAAAGGTTGGTAGCGAGTGAATATATATGATTCAATTAGACACTGTTACAGTTTTTATCTGTTAGCCTACTTTTACGAACGACGGATATAATGATAATTGTCAGTATATTTATGCATCTCACTTTTGTATAGTATATGATTGATACTATTATATTATTTTTGATCATTTTAAATTTACTATCACAGTCCGTTACTTTTGAATTTTACTGAAAGTCAATACGTGTATTAGTAGCGTGCAATTCAATTCAATTATTACATCATATTTGGTACTAGGTTATGATATATTATGATAGATATCTTAGATACGTGTTCAAAGGAAAATGTGTCTGATGCATTTCTCATTTCTTGTATAGATCACATGATATCACAAAAAGATTCTAATCAGTTAAATGTTACACAACCTGATAAAAATCTTGATGGTCCACCATCTATAATCTCTGTCCCTGAAGAATTAAAAGATGCAGAAGGAGCTGAAAACTATTGGTTCTTTTTCAATGCTTGGTTGTCCAAACAACATGATAATAAACAAATGAATTGTGAAACATTTTCTTCCACTGAAAATGGCAAACCTTTACAAAGTCTTATGGGTAAGCTTAACTGAATAACAGTAAAATTAGTTTGAATAACATTCTTGTAGATAAAAATCACAAGTGTGTAGAAAATCTTACCGTTACGTCTTAAATCCTCCAGAACATAATAATATCCATTTCATAAATGAATAATGTGTGTTAATATCATTCACATGAAAATGGTAAATAGATCGACTAAGCGATTACAGTGACCATAAGAATAAATAAATCTAAATCACCATAGATGAAGAAAAAGTAAAAATGATTATGACAGTCATTTTACACACTATAAGCTTAATTAGATGAAATAACTGTAAGCCTGTTTATGTTTTTGAACTCCAATTCGTCAACTGAATAAGTGGGGAAGTTTTATGCATAAAATATCTCTCAGATTTGTCACTGTACAAGTATGAAAAAAAGACGAGAATCCATCTAGATGATCACTATTAAACAATCAAAAGGGCACATACTTAACAAAATATCTTATTTTTATTTTGATTAACAGAGTCTTCTTATGAAGTAATTGTAAAAACTGGTGATCGTAAATATGCAGGTACCGATTCACATGTTTATTTAACAATGTTTGGAATAAACAGTGAATCAAAAGAATATCATTTAGCAAATTCCAAAACTCATAACAATAAATTCGAACAAAATCACGAAGACGTATTCAATGTAAGTCTCTTTATAAAATATACGAATAATTTCATACTAATTCGTAGCTATTGTAAATGTTATCAGATGGAAACGGTATAATTCATCGTTGGAATTCATCAGCTGGAACAATTCAAGTCCTCTTTATATTAGTCACTTTTTATTGTACACATTCGAAATGTTTATCACTCATTTGGACGGATTATTTTCTTAAATATTATTGTAATACAATCAAAAGGATATTCTTTTGAAATCTTAGATTGCCCATAGTTTATAAAGGTAGTGAAACGAAAATCGCGATTTGGTTTTCAGCAATTAATTAAAATAAGAAAGATCAATCTGTTAATGATTTAGACTTTAAATTCATGTTTTCTAGGACAAAAGAATTTCTTTGAAGCGACATTATTAATTTATGAAATAATCCACTTAGTATTGTTTGTTTGAATCTTTCCATTGATGTTTTAGGACTGCAACTGGTCAGTCTCTTGTTGACATATGCGCATACGGTGCGCATTGCCTCGATATAGCCTAGATTCACAAGCATGGTAAGCAAAGATAGATAGTGGCTAGCAGTGGAATCCAGAACGCACGTTTCGTCCTATTCGGGACTCGTCAGCTGGATATACCTGCATCTCAGATTTGATGTTCACACTGAGACTCGAATCCAGTACCTTTTTCTTTAAACGATGAAATAATCCTTTTAAGATCCTAAACTTACATGCTTTAAACGATGTACTTTGCCTTTAACCTGGCCATTTTTTCGGATCATTAATTTGGATGTATAATTGTAGAACCTGAAGAGAATCAAAGTCCAAGTAAGAAGTGCTCGAAGTATGATTTGGATATGAGTACTTTTATTGAGTTAAAATATGTTGAATAGTCTCAGTAACGAAGCAGAGTTCGTTCTTAAGCATCAATACAAGTTATCGCTGAAACACACAATGTAGTAAAAATATGCAAATATCTATGCATACGTTTTCTAGTGGCAAATGTAATCAGTATTTTTTTAAACATATTAAGTCCTGGCTTCTTTAACCTACATATAAACTTATCATTATTTATACTACATTGATTTCAGCTAAATGCAATCGGTTTGGGGTCATTGAAAAAGATTCGAGTACGACATACCAACACAGGTATTGCACCCGGTTGGTTTTTAGATTATATTTTGATTCGTGAAAGTATTCAACAAAAGAAAATGGAATATTTTTTCCCTTGCTATCAATGGTTATCTGCAACAAGATTAGATGGTTTGGTTATTCGTGAACTTTCTGTTGCGTCGGAAAATATTTTTGAAAGATGGAAGTCTGGCCATGATATTTCTGACGATTCAAGACTTATTCTAGAAGGTTTGTTTGAATTTACATAATAAATAGAGTTTAAACATATTATCTAGTAGTTTACAACTTTTAAACAAAAGAATATCTAACAGTATTTTGTATAAATAAGCAAAATAATAATGAAACTAAAATCGATTAAATGTACTGTTTATCTTCAGTTCTATTCATAATCCGAAATTTTTATGTAACTTTCTTCCCCAGAATTCTTTGATATGGCCGAAGGTTGGAAGAGTCCGCTCTCCCTCTCCAAATGCTCTCACATAAACAGGTGTGTATAGACACTCCCAGGGATGTGCTAATCACTGCCTTCTCCCGAAGGGGATGTTGTTTCCGAAATCAAGAGGACGAAAATAGGATGTCCAGCCCCGTCACCATGTCGGTCGATATGGAGGGTCCATCTAAGGGAGTTGGAAAACCCTGATTCCAAACCGTCGGTGTACATGGGCTCCAGGATCCTGGAGGAACAAATAGCATATGAGCCAATTGTTTAAAAGCAAGAACTATGGAAAATTTTAACACAAAAATTTCCTTAATCAAATTTTCAGCAGTTCATCTTACAAAGCTTAGGCGATTATGATTATTTTTCAGTCGTTACATTTGTATAACAATGTACATAACCAAGTTTATATTTTGAATAAATCGTTCAAATCTCAGTTCAATCATTAACCCATGACCTAATGACTTTACAAAATAGTAGTATAAATATATAAATGCACTTCTGATATATAGTGAATAAAATGTGCTCACTAGTGACTGACTTAAAGGGATGTTTCCGTGAGTTCTAGTGGCAAGCAGTGACCAGTGGAGTTCAACCAAGTCTGGTGTAAAGATATCAACTCACTGAAGGCAATCGATGAACGGTTGCTCAAACATCATGGATTGGTTGAAGTTAGACATTAACGCCATTGGATGCCGGCTCAGTGGTCTATCGGCTAAGGGCTCTGGCGCAAGACTGGTAGGTCCTGGGTTCGAATATCACGACGGCGGGATCGTGGATGCGCACGGCTGAGGGGTCCCATAATAGGACGAAACGGCCGTCCAGTGCTTTCAGGTTTTCGATGGTGGTCTAGCTTCAATTGAATCACGCTTTCAACTATGAAAATAATGAAATCTCCGCAAAACCCCTTCCGGAGTATAATTACTTACTTACGCCTGTTACCCCTCGTCTAGGAGCATAGGCCGCTCACCAGCATTCGCCATCCAACTCTGTCCTGAGCCTTCCTTTCCAGTTCTTTCCAGTTACTATTCAGCCTTTTCATATCGGCTTCTATTTCCCGGCGTAGTGTGTTCTTTGGCCTTCCTCTTTTCCGCTTCCCTTCACCATTCCAATTTAGGGATTGAGTCGTGATGCATATTGGTGATTTCCTTAATGTATGTCCGATCCACTTCCAACGTCTTTTCCTAATTTCCTCTTCAGCTGGAAGCTGGTTTGTCCTCTCCCATAAAACGCTGTTGCTGATAGTATCCGGCCAATGGATGTTGAGTATTTTGCGTAGACAACTGTTTATAAATACTTGTACCTTCCTGATGATGGCCGTAGTGGTTCTCCACGTTTCAGCTCCATACAGTAGGACTGTCTTGACGTTCGTATTAAAGATTCCGACCTTGAAATTGGTTGAGAGTTGTTTTGAGTTCCATATGTTCTTCAATTGTAGAAATGCTGCCCTTGCTTTGCCAATCCTCGCCTTTACATCTGCATCCGATCCTCCTTGTTTATCAACGATGCTCCCCAGGTACTTGAATGTTTCCACCTCTTCCAGAGTTTCGCCATCAAGTGTGATTGGGTTGGTGTTCTCCGTGTTGCACTTGAGAATCATGCTTTATCCTTTGTGAATGTGGAGGCCTATCGATGCGGAGGCTGCTGCTACATTTGCTGTCTTCATCTGCATTTGGTCGTGTGTATGAGAGAGGAGGGCTAAGTCATCTGCGAAGTTCAAATCATCTAATTGATTCTGAGCTGTCCATTGTATTCCGTATTTCCCTTCAGATGTCGAATTCTTCATAATCCAGTCAATCACTAAAAGGAAGAGGAATGGGGAGAGTAGACAGTCTTGTCTGACTCCGGTCCTTACTGGAAATGCATCTGTCAGCTGTCCTCCATGCACCACTTTGCACTGTAGTCCATCGTATGAGTTTTGGATAATGTTGACAATCTTTTCAGGAACTCCATAGTGTCGAAGAAGTTTCCATAATGTTCTCCTGTCCACGCTGTCAAACGCCTTCTCATAGTCAATAAAGTTGACGTATAGTGATGAGTTCCACTCAACTGATTGTTCTACGATGATCCGTAGTGTCGCAATCTGGCCTGTGCACGACCGATCCTTACGGATTCCAGCCGGATGATCCCTAAGTTCGGCGTCTACTGCGTCTTTCATCCGACTCAGCAGCACTCTGTTGAAAACTTTTCCTGGTACTGATAACAAACTGATACCTCTGTAGTTCTCACATTTGCTCAGATCTCCTTTCTTTGGTATCTTGATGAGATATTCTTCTTTCCAGTCCATTGGGACTTGTTCCTCTTCCCAAATCTTCTTGAATAGAAGGTGAAGCATGTTTGCAGTTATCTCAATGTCTGACTTCAGTGCTTCTGCTGGTTTATTGTCAGGTCCTGCCGCCTTCCCACTTTTGATTTGTCTGATGGCCATCTTGACTTCTTCGATCGTTGGTGGAGTGACATCTATTGGAAGGTTAGTGTGTGCTGCTTCGATGTTCAGTGGATTCAATGGGGCTGGTCTATTCAGCAGTTCCCCGAAGTATTCTGCCCATCTTTTCCTCTGTTCTTGAATCTCAGTTATTGTCTTTCCTTCTTTGTCATTGACTGGTCTCTCTGGTTTGCTATATCTCCCTGCCAATTTCTTCGTTGTATCATATAGTTGTCTCATATTCCTTTCTCTTGCAGCTTTTTCCGCCGCCATTGTTAGTTCTCCCATGTATTTCTGCTTGTCGGCTTTAATGCTTTTCTTCACTTCCCGGTTTGCTTCTGCGTAGTCTGCTTGTGCTTTGACTTTCTCTCCTCGTGTTCGGCTGTTGTTAATTGCTAATTTCTTGTTCTTCCTTTCTTGAATTTTGTCCAGGGTTCCCAGAGAGATCCATTCCTTGTGATGATGCTTCTTAGGACCAAGAACCTCCTGACACGTTGAAGTTAGTGCTTCTTTTATCCCTTTCCAGTTGTCCTCCAAAGTAGTTTCTTGTTCTTTCAGTAGATCCTGTAGAGCCTGGAACCTGTTGTTGAGAGTTATCTTGAATTCATTGAGCTTGTCAGTATCTCGAAGGAAGGCCATATTGAACCTTTGTAGTGCTGTTTGTCCAGTTGTCCAGTGTTTCTTTAGCTTCAGTCTCATCATGGCCACAACCAGGTGATGATCTGAAGCTATGTCAGCTCCTCTCCAGGTTCTCACATCTTCCATTGATCTTCGGAATTTTTTGTTAATACAGATGTGATCTATCTGGTTCTCTGCGGTGTGGTCCGGTGAGATCCATGTAGCTTTGTGTATGCGTTTGTGTGGGAATATTGTGCCGCCTATAACCAATTTGTTGAATGCACATAGGTTTGCAAGCCTCTACCCATTTTCATTTCTCTCTCCTAATCCATGTCGTCCAATTACATCTTCATTTGAAAAATTATGTATCAAGTAAAAATTCTATATACAGTAAAAGAAAATAAAAAGGAAATTTTGATGGACTGAAAACTGTGAGCTGCTATCAAAAACTGTTGCCATGAGTGGGTTAGTTTGAAGGTAAACAAAACATCTGAATACTTTTCCTGTCGACACACAAAATAAAGTTTTCTTTGTTTTCAGGTACTGTTTTTTACAAGAAAAACAAGTGTTTACTAGAGATCAGTTTGATTAACTAGCAAAATATTGGTCATATGAATGAACTACTTCAAGTTGTTACACTCCACAACAATATGAATTCAGAAAGTACACATAAGAAAGATAAACGACTAGATAAATGGGGAAAAAACAGAGAAAAATCATAGTACGGAAAATGGGATGAGGAAACAATCCATAGATACATTCATATCATTATAAATTAGTTTTAACCAAATTAACTATTATTTGAACATCTAGAATACTTAGTGTAAGAGAGAGGGAGCAAACAACTACAAAACCAAGATTTTATCAAGTAGGTGAACAAAGCTTATAATGTACAAGGAAAGAGATGGACTAAAAGTGATAATATAAAAACATCAGTGAGTTAATAAACAAAAACAAGAAAAAATTTTAGTGGAATGTGTTGGGATCCTATGAATTAAGAATCATGAGATTGTGTATGATCTTAGGATGACGAAGGATACGTGTTTTTAAAATAAGGTGTCAGAAGAACTGATAAAGTATAAAGGAAATGTATTTTGGAGATCCATAACATAATAATCTAACAAACTGTTTCTGTGCATACAGAAATGGTTTTAGGCTACGCGTTATCAAGGCTCTTTAAATGTGGAAAAGGTTTATGGGTACATAATTCTGTGGACCGCGTTTGGTTTTATGAATAATTTCAAATCTTTTGGGGACTGATTATGATAATTACAGGTACACCTTGCTGATGAGTGCCAAGTAGCACGAAACCCGGGTCCAGGGTTTCCTGTTGACCACCTCCAACCACCATCTTACCTCAATATATATAGTGCAAGCAGTGTCGAGCCACCTAGACTGGTGGCCACATTGTAACTTGATCGATAGCATTCAATCAGCACTAAGAAGGACTTGACGTGCATGACATTGATCACCACCCAGTGATCAATCAATTGTGACTTATGAGGAGTCTTACAATAGGACGAAACAGCCATCCAGTGCTTCCAGGTTTTCCATGGTGGTCTAGCTTCAATGGACTTATGATCTCAACTATATAAATGATGTTAAGTTGATTTTTAATAAAAATAGCATCTAAGTGTTATCATTTTTAAAAGAAGATAATGGATCTAATCAAGAAGACTATTACATCAAAATGCATTCACAACTTATACTTATAGAATAAGTTTATAGACAGCGAAAAGTAATAGAACCGGTATTGAGAAACAGCTTTATTTATGTAAGAACGTAAACAATTTGAACTATTAAACGGAATAAAATTCTAACCATGAGAAGCTTTAGATATAAATACATCCTTAGATATCTCATGAGGTGACAGAGTGCATTAGAAAATACCAAGGACATAGTTTTTAGCCCATATTTTATCATAACTTAATCTGTTGAATGTTCATCAGAGTTTTAACAACGTACAGATAATTTGTTGCGTACGAAAAATAAGAATAACCTACGCTACTTTACTTTTCTTGTAAATGGACGATATAAATTTATTTTTATTGACAATCCAATCATATGATTGGATTTATAAATTACAAATAAGTCCTGTTTATTAGGACATTTTTAAGTAGTAGTCTGCAATATAATCAATTAACTTTTTTTGAATTCTGATATTGTAACAATCATTTGTTTACAGATCAAAGTACAATTTATCATGTACGCATTCATACGGGATCCCAATCCAATATTAGTTCAGATGCTAATGTTCAAATACAACTTTACGGCGACAAAGATTTTACCGGGAATATTAGGCTTTATAAGGCATATTATGGAAAAGAAGATATACTTGTGAATAAATTTCAAGCTGGTCAAATTGCAGATTTTATTGTTAAAGCAATAAATATTGGCAATATTAAAAAAATCAGGTTAGAAATGAAATTTTAACTATATAAAATTGGTTTAGGATTGAACATGATACAGCTGGGGGATCCTCCAGATGGTTTGTTGAACGTGTTGAAGTGGAAGCGAGAAAACTAGGACTTTTATGGAAATTTGAATGCAACCGATTCATTACACCACAACAACCTGAACTAATATTGTATCCCGAGCCGAAAGATATATCATTTGTTAAACCTAGTAAGTAAATATTACCATTTGGTAGATGTAAATTACTTAATTAAACATAAGAACATGTATTCATGTTACTTATTTAACGTTTTGGTTGAATAACCGTTACAGTTCATTTGAAGTGTTATTTAAATTTATTCCGTTACATTCAGAAAATGTAGTTAAATTATGAGAAAGTACAAGAATGAAATTCAATTGTGTGATTATAAGTGGATTGGAATCCTAGCATAGTAACCCATTCGCTGGACCAAATATCAAATTAATTAGGATATGTTTAAACGTTCTAGCTAAAATACTTCAAACAATGGCTTATAGTAGCTCTAACCACACGCCTAGATGGCTAATTTTGTTTGACCGTCATATTTATCATCTTAACCTGGTCAGACATTTTGTAACTTTTCCATATACTTTGTCATCATTGAGCTTGTTAACAATATCATGTGCGCTTTTAAGTGTGACTGACTTTTACGCTCTAATTGGTTATCCGTGATTTATACCTTATTCATCTTACATAATGACTGATTAAGCAATAATTCATGTTAGGGTTCTCTGACTTTCGTATCGTATCGTCAACCTGCATTAGTGTATGTACGAAGTTTATGTGTTCAAAAATACTATAGTATTTGAATTATTTTATATCGTTGTACACTAACGTGAGGGGGGCTGATATTTCAGTAAATTTAGATTTATCGTGAGATGATGTAACCAAGTAATATTCATTTGAACTAATCAATGCTCAACTAATCATCCGGAACATTCACTAATCTTTATGCAGACTCTTAATATAAGTGACAAAACAAACCACTACTGGCATATTCGATACTTACACAACTATATCATCATTTTTTATTAAAATAAAATGGATAGTGGTAATTGATTAAGAAAAAACTATAATAATAGGTAATTATCCAATTTATCATACTCTTGCCGAATCCAAGTCTGCGTTTAATACAATCATGATAATATCAGTTTCAAAGATAAGCAACCAAAGTAGGTAAATATATGCTGATTCAGTAAATGCAAATAATTTTAATTGTAGTTTATTCAAGCAAATGTTTCTTTAAAACATTGACATTCGTATATTTCTATTGTCAAACAAACAAAAATATTCTAGTTAAAATCACGAACTGATGTTATTTAGAATACTAGTGAAAATCTGAAAACATTAGATAACTGCTTTCATCCTAGTACGGATCTTGCGCGCAAACACTTAACTTCTGGATCACTGGGCCGACCATGGTTCGATTCCTAAATGCAAAGGTCGTGGATGATTACTGATAAAGAGTCCTATACTACAACACAAAGGTCACCTAGCATTTCTAAGTTTTCACTTGGTATCCAAATATGATCATTCCTTGAATAAAACTTAGAAAATTTTACAATCTTCACAAAACCACGTACTGAAAGTAATATATTAGTTTAGAACTAATTGAACTGTTGATTGAAAATGCAGAATCGATGTACAGAAATGAATTTGACGTATGGTTACACAATCATGTCATGTTTCAATAGATACGTGATCACTCATCGAAAGAGATACATCTTATGATAATGTCATATCCTCTCTTGCCGTTTTATAAACCAAGTTAGTTTTATACATAACACTTTGACAAAAGGAAAGTTCCAAGTAACTTCAAATGTTAAATCATAACATTAAAATTACTGCTGACGTTTAAGTATTTGTTGTATTTTTCGTACACTTTTAGTGACTAACTATCAAATCAAAACATTTACAAGTGATATTTCTGGCGCAGAAACAACAAGTAGTGTATATATTCAACTGTACGGAAATGACAGTTTGCCAAGTTCCATAAGACGTCTACATCAGAATAATGATAGTGAACAAAGATTTCAACGTAATAAAATTGACACATTTTATGTGGAATTAGAAGAGTTACAAGAACCATTCAGTAAACTAAGAATATGGCATAATGATAAAGGTAGTTCAACAGATTGGCATTTGAATAAAGTTGAGATCAGGAAAATTAAAACAAATCAATATGTAAGTGGTGCACTTTTTATTAGCATAGTCTACTTGTCTTTATTTTTATAATAAAGATTAGAAAAATGCTTTCTACATATATCAAATACTTCTGACAGTTCTTTAATTCTATTCGATACAAATTTATTGATGACTTAGACTGATAAATATCTGTGTAACGAAACTATGTAATCGAATACTTACATCAGGTAAATGCATTCCAAAACACTATCATAAGTTAATCATAAGTACCAGATTTTTGAACTCATTATGACACCTACATAGAGATATTGTAAATACCCTGTCCTGAAATCAATTAAAGTCATTCAAAAATATCCAAACTTTATCTTACTTTGAAATTTGTTGTTTTAATAATTTTGTGTTGATTCGACAATGTCCCTTATTAACTTTTGTCAAGCTTATTTACCTAACTACATTTAAAAAGACATTACCATTACCAGTTTGATTAACATTTGTTCATCATTTCCTTTAAGTATTTATTTAAGTATTTAAATGTTTGAAATTATTATGGAACTTCGTTTATAAGTTTAATTCTTTCGAATAATTAAAATAATATATAAAAACGACATTCATTTTCAAAAAGATCCACAAGACTATAGATATCCCAATACTAATTGAAGATGATTTGTTGAATAACATCAATCGAGTAATTTCATGAAAATATAACGTAATGAACTAAAGTTATATGAAATTTTTTAATTAACGTGTGTAAATACTTTTAGGTTTTCGTTACCTATATATTCCCATGTAATAAATGGCTTTCACGTAATATGGATCAAGCTTCATTGGAACGTGAGCTAATTCCAAGTCATATGCTTCAAGACCAAAATGGTGTAATTCAATTTGAAAGACAATTATCACCAAAATGGTTAATGAATACTTATGAAGTGAGAATAACGACTGGTGACAAGGCTTACGCTGGAACTGATGCCTCTGTTTACATCACACTGTTTGGAGAAAATGGTGATAGTGGTGAACGTAAATTGACGAAATCTCTAACACATCGAAACAAGTTTGAACGTGGACAGGTTAGTGTACATTTACAAATTTTCCATTAACTGACTGACATACAAATTAAAGAGCTTTGTTTCTTACTTCCATTTTCACCGAGTAAAATTTGGTTTACAAAAACTGAAAGTGTAAAATTATTGGGTAATTTCCTAATCTAGTTACGCGATAAGGAAATACTATGCACCATTAATTAATCACGGAATTTAACGCTAATACCTGAAAATACTTGTATCTATATAAACCCTCAAGCAAATTGTTCCAGCTTTGAAACAAACAAATTATTCCGATTCTATTGGTTATTCTGTAACCTTGACAATGTTGATTATTCCCTTATATAAACATACATTTTGAAGTGTGTGCACTCAGATGCGTGTGTGGCTATGTCTTATATATAGCTATTTGATCATAAAAAGCTGAGTCTTCCTTAATTTAACGATCTTCGCTGTAACGTCCATTTCCATATTATCTTACCACACACAATGCCTATTTTGTCATACATGGATGCTGGAAATAAAAGTTTCCTGTATTTATTGCGCATTTAGAAGTTCGAAATTCTCAACTTATTAATCTTGTATCATTAAGACAACGGTATTATGCTTGTAGAGTTACCAAACTTTTGATAGGACCACACATCTTGTGACATCATTTGTTTACGAAGTAAATATAACAGTAGTTCACATCAGTCGGTGGAATTTGATATCTTAAATCTTGCCTCATCTGTTTATCCGCATTTAAATTTAATAAAAGTCCTAATTTCACTTCTATAGATTATAATGTCTTGTTTTAGGATTTAGTGGCTAAACACTTCCTTTTCTTAAAATTTGGAATGATTCATTCGAAAATACTGCTTTGCTGCTTTTTGCAGTGTAATTTATTCATAAGTACTAGTATTTCCATTGTCTTCCTTTGAGTAGAATTCACATAAAGTCACTCATAAGTAGATTATAAGCCAAATCATGTAAATGACTGAATAATTATTTAGTCTTCTGATCTTATCAAACTTTAGTAATTTTGACCTATGTATACAACTCATATTTTAGTTGAATATTACGTATACTGTGTCTATTTAACGATGAGAAAACACTAACTTAGCATCGACACCACTGAAATCACTTTCCATATGATAGTTCTCTAGTTTTCCGACTATAAAATGTTTAAACAGTAGTGAGGTAACTTGAGCTATGACCATTGAACTATCACTGCTTATTGTCTAACACGTATTCTCCTATTTCAGGTTAATTTCAGATGAATATTAATCATATCTTCAATTTAGATACTACCAGGTCAGAGCTTACGTCCAGTTCGTCATGTCGTTTGATGTAATTAAGTTGATTATATATATATATATATATATATATATATATAATCAGTTGCTTACTTTTCCCTTATCAGAGTGTCTTCATTCATTGAAAAGTATGTTACTGTGTACATTTTATCCCTAATGTAGAACTTATGCTTTTGGGTTTATTGTTATTTAACAGACAGATGTATTTCAGCTGGAGATAGTAGATTTGGGAAAAATTAACAAAGTGCGCATAAGACATGATAATTCAGGTGTTAATCCTTCATGGTATTTATCTACAATTGAAGTCTTCAATATTTCAAAATCTCAAAGCGTACATGGTTTAAAAGATCAACCCAACGAAACTCATCATCTAGTGAAGTATATATTTAATTGTGAAGCTTGGTTATCCACTGAACATGACGAAAAAGTCTTGGATAGATTTTTTTCAGCTGAAATCATTAAACCACAAGATCTACCTGGTATCGTACCAAAAACTTCCAAAGATATCGTGCCTCATAAGTTAATACAGGATTTGTCTCAAGGAAAAAAAGCTCTTGAAAGTAATTAATACTCCAAAATCTTTTCTTAACAGCTCAATGTTGCTATAAATTTTCAGCTTGTTTGTTTTCATAGACTACTTATGTTTAGCTTTGCTAATTTATAGTCCAATTTTTGAACATCTTATAAGCTTATATCCCGAAATGATTATCAAATGAAGATAACTATGCATTCATTGTATCATATGACAATAATCCTTACATAAAATAACTTAAAAGCGATTCATTTACATGCTAGTTGCAGTATAAAATGTTTATACCAATACTCTGATATTCACATGTTACTAATCAGAACCAACACTAAGAGCATAGTCAAACATTGACTTTGTTAATGGCTAATAAAGTAAAAACTAGAGACAAATTAGCGAAAAAATGTTTTTCCAATAAAACCACTAGTTTTCTCCTTTTAAAGGTTATTTTCTATGAACTTTGAGAATATGACTTTTCCTCTGGTTCAATGAAATAATGAGACAAAAATAATAACGTATAATAAACAACTGTTCACTTTCTTTGAACAATTAGTATATAATACTAAACATAGCAGTTTAAAGTTCCTGATTTAGGGGTATGTACAAAGCACATTTAAATTGCTATTTCCCTCCCTGACTTCACATTGACTACAATAGCATTATTACATTATAGTATATCACGAATAGTACATGACATCTCCAGCCACTTGATTACTTTTGTAAAAGCCTCTTAGAAAGTAGTTATTTTTAACTCGTATTTTTCAAACAATAGCTTCCTAATTTTTTATTCATGGTGTTAATTTCGCTAAGAACCTCACATTATCCAGAAGAAAAACTGGTAGTCTTGATAATATAATAATTACTGTTATTTTGCTGTTTATTTGGTAATGTTTAATTATTTAATCCCTCCTTCACGATTTTTATCCTTCCGTATTGTTTAAAACAACCTCAACGCTACTGTAGTGAACGAGAATACAAGTGGTGAAAATTGAATGTTAGGTGTTTGTGCACGAAACTGATAGGTCGTGGGTTGGAATTTCACTGGTGGGGTCATGGATGCGCAGTGCTGAGGAGCCCTATACTAGGACGAAACGGCCGTCTAGTGCTTCTAGGTTTTCCATGGTGGTCTAGCTTCGATCGACTTACGAATTCAACTATTAAATTACAATCGAATATTTTTGAATACAAAATTACAGAACATCTTAGTAAAATCTGCGAACCATACAGTAAATACTTCATTTGCAAAATGTCAGTCACTTGTCTGAAACTTGCAAATATCAGTCAATCATCTTAGACTTCATTGTTCTTTCGTTTCCACACAAATCATTCTTTGTTCTCGTTCTCTTTTCTCTTATCTTCTTAACCTTCTGCAGCTAGGTATTTCGCTTTCGAATGATGATACATACTACTTATATCTGTCGACATCAGTAGCACACACCACACTCGTCTCCCCTTTCCTGCTGTCTGATTTTCCGTGTTAATCACTATTTTGTTACATTTTATTTAAATCTATTAAATTTTACTTGTTCTTATTGTTCAAGATCTACAGTTATTTCATCCTAGCTGATTGATCTTTAAGCACATTCACATATATTTCATATTTCACTCATTATAAAACAGAACACAACAATGTTAACGTCTTGATCTACCTCGTGAATAACAAACCTGTCTTCACAGAGATCCATGGATTATTTAAATATTATTATTATCTAGACTGGCTTTTTAAGGTTTAAATGATAATTACCTATGAAAACTATTCATTCAAAATTATTTTTAACAGGTTTTAATGAATTATTTAAAAATTCTTCATTCTGTTTTGAATTTCCATACCATTAGCTATTCCTTATTTGATTACGGTTATCACTGGTTCAGATAGAAAAGCTGGAACACCTGGTCCTGTGTGGATTAGCTGTGTTGATAAAGATAAAATGAATTCAGAAAAGTTTATTCTATGCGATTGTTATAATAGAACAATGTTAAAGAGGGGAACTACAAGATATTTTCGGTTTGCGGGTGTTAAACTTAATGATTTGACTGAAATACAAGTGAGATTTCCTTTTTACCTGAGTATCTTTAGTGTTTTTTTAACCCACAAGTTTGTAGTTTAGTCATTTTGAATGTCCAACAAATACTTTAGTACAAAATAATTATTTAAATCTACACAATAGAAGTAATTTATCTTATTCCTTTGTGAATTAAATGAAATGATAAATAATCACGAGAATTCTGTCATAGTTAAGACTGTTAAATCTAATTTTATGCATGCATATTCCACAAATAACAAGTATTTACCTTTAGGTCGATTAAACACACAGATTTCGTTTGGTTATAGGTCGTTATTAAAGTTGGGACCGTATAGAACCAGCCAATAATCTTCTTAAGTCTTTGATGTCTGAACTCCTTTTCCATTGTTAGTAGTTCCCTTATTTTTCTGACTTAAGGCATATCTTTACTACTAAGCATTTGGCACCTTTGTATACTTTGTTCATATTGTAATAATGAGTAATGAGTTTAGAGTATTTTGAAGCTATACTTTCAAAAAGTGACAACCTGTCCACTAAAGAGTTCACTTAAAGTATGAAACTGTATAAACTGAATTATTGTTTTAAGACTTTAGGTTTTCAAAAATAAAGAACATTTGAACGAACAATTGTTTTCAATAATTTCATCATCAGACTCTAAAATCATAAGTCCAGAATTATGATAATTTACAAAGATCAAAATAAGGCATGTATTATTGAATTTGAAAATGCTAACTGATAAAAATCCTGAATATTTACATCTGTCACGACTCAAATACTTCAAAATTGTGTTATTTGTAAATTAGAAAGGTTATTTATTAAAGGTCAGAATGATTTGAAGTAAAGTGTCAAGTCACAATAGTAATATGACAAAATAAAAAAACTCGTGTGAATAAAATTCATAGTAGGAGAATTTCACCTTCTTAATCGAGGTAACAATGATAACAATATCGTTGTGTGAATATAATATGTAATAAGAGGGGTGTTACCAAGGTCATTAAGACGTAAAAGAATTCATGTGAATTGGTAAAGATGAAAGTGAAGAATGAGATCTAAACACAAAAAGAATTAGGAAGGGGTGATCCAGTCATGCGCCACGGTAAACATAGAGTCTGGATATATCTTTTATGGACACATAGGTTCCATTTTCTGGAGTTGATTCAGATAGCTTCAGCTATGTAGAGTGGCCGTAATCTAGCTCCTTAAGGTAAATTCTTTAGGACTCGATATAAAACAGAAAATGCTCAATCTGTTTTATATAATGTTCACTATTTATCAAGTGAGAAAGAATGGTACTGTTAATCGATTTAGTAACTCTTTTTCCCAACCATACTCGTACACGTTCACGAACACGCTAGAACATAGCCCCCTGAGTTCGGCCTATGTAACTATCTTCATTGGAGCAGGTGAATTGCTATACACACATTGAGGAACTCATCATCGGTAATCTGTCCTTGTTTTGTTGTGTAAGCACTGGTTTAGTTGTATGTAACATGGAGACATGAAGCGTTCTTTCGACAGATCTTTTTAGTCGATATGTTAAAACACTATGCGATATGTTCACTTTAAAACCCAATTTCAGATATAGGGGTTCATTTTACTGAAAGAGTCACAGTTTCTTTTTTTAAATACCTTCTAGTAGGAATTATCTGACGAAATTATCTCGATAGCCGTTATTTCGTAATGTGTTCTTTAGTGTATCTAGTTCGGTATATTCACTATATTCAGAGTATATTAGTTTGGTTCTGTGGCCGAGACATTTAAATAGATTTATTTTGTATTGCATACTTACATCTAAAGCTATAGAAAAGGGTTTAATTATCAGTTAATGTAGTTTTTCGAAATATATTTCTTTTAATGAAACCACCTGTCGTTCTACAGGACCCGACAATATACCAGCTGAAGCACAGAAGTCAGACATACAAGTAACTGCGAACATGCTCTACGTCCTATTGAGGGAGATTTGGTAGGAGGAACAAGTGTTTTAGACCGACAAGAAGGATACCCCGTCGAGATATCAAAGAAAGCAGAAATAAGCAGATGTGAAAACTATAGAGACATCAAGCTACTATCGGTACCAAGAAAGCTTTTCAACAGAGTGTTGTTAAAGGATTGATGAAAGACTCAGTAGATACCCTACATTGAGATCAACAGACTGGATCCCTTAACGTTCGGTTCTGTACAGACGAAATCGCAACACTACGGATCATCGTCGAACAAGTAGTTAAGTGAAATTCGTCACCATACATCAGCTTAACTGACTATGAAAAGGCGTTAGACAGAGTGGATAGGAGAACCTTATGGAACATTCTTCGACACTTTGAAGTATCTAAGAAAATCTTCCATATCATCTGTAATTCATGTGACGGACTACAATGCAAAGTCGTGCATGGAGGAATGGCAAATGAGGGCTGGAGTCAGACAAGACTGCTTACACTTCCTCTTTCTCTTTGTTCTGATAGTTGACTGATTTATGAGGAACTCGACATCTGAGGGAAAGCATGGAATACAAAGAACAGCTTGCATGTAACTAGAAAATTTGGACTTTATAGATGGCCTGGCTCTCCTATCCCAAAAGATGAGCGAATGCACGTCAAGGCAACCACTGTAGCAGAAGCCTGTGCATCAGTAGACCTCAACATACACAAAGGGAAAAGCAAGATTTTGAATTACAACATGGAGAACACCAAACTTATTACACTTGATGGAAGAACTCTGGAAGAGATGGAAACATTCACGTACCTGAGAAGCATCACTGAAGAACTAGGAGGATCGGATGAAGACGTGAAGGCGAAGATTGACAAAGCAAAGACAGAATTCCTACAAGAACATGTGGGACTCAAAACAAGTGTCAACTTATTTGAAAGTGAGAATCTTCAATACGAACGTCAAAACAGTCCTACTGTACGGAGCTGAAACGTGGAAAACTACTAAATCCATCGTCAAGAAGGTACAAGTATTTATAAACAGTTGTCTACGCAAGTTACTGAACGTTCGTTAGGCGGATACTATCAGCAACAGTCTACTGAGAGATAGAACAAACCAGCTTCCATCTGAAGAGGAAATTAGGAGACGTTGGAAGTGGATAGAACACACATTTCGGAAATCATCAAACTGCATCATGAGGCAAATGCTAAATTGGAATCCTGAAGGGAAACGGAAAAGTGGAAGAACAGAGAACACATTGCATTGGGATATGGAAGCCGACATCAGAAGGATGAATAACAATTGGATACAACTGGAAAGTATTGCTCAGCACAGAGTTGAGTGGAGAATGCTGATGGCTGGCCTATGCTCCTCCATGATGGATAACAAGTGTAAATGAATAAGTAGTAAGTCTATCTTTCTGAAAAGCAGAACATCAAAGAAAACCGTACTATTGTCATTTTTCTCTTTGCTGGTCAATTTAATAGCTAGGTGGACGTTATTGAAACTGTTCAACAGCTCTTGTTTATAGATACATTCATCACATATGCTTAGTGCGTCATCTATGTATTTACATTAAAAATTCAGCTTATTTAGAATGTCATTCGACGATCCGTTTTCTAGTTTGACCAGAAGAACTTATGGTTATGTTATGTTACATTAGAACATAAGTTCAAGTTACATATTCTCAGGAATAAATGATGAAGGAAATAACTTACACAATAGATTCAGGTTGAATAAATCAGGAATCAGACACTGTTTAGTACAGAAAGCATTTGAGCATAGTAACAAAATGTTTGTGAGCTAAAATAAGGCGAGACACCAGAGTGATCAATTAAATCCTAATCGTAGTAATCAACTGATAAGGTCATACAAGGTTTTTTTACCTCCAATAATTTAGCATACAGGTTGGTCTGAAATAACATAATAACAGTAACACGTTTTTAGAAATATAACTTGTCTAGACTAAAAATTCCATTTACAAAGAGATGCGATGGTAAGATATTTCAGGATCTATTCAGAATCTTTTCTCATTCGCCTACAGACCGGAGTGTACGTCATAGTGCAGATCTACCATAACTTTCATGATAACTCTATACAAGACTGCATAATCACTTCTTTTAGATGATAATTATGATACGACAATAGGAAGCTGTTTGGATCGCCATTATGATAACACCACTGAATGAGCAATCGACTACTACTATAAGTAGTGACAGTTTAATAAACCCAAGATTTATCAAGCAAGCAAACAACTGAAACTTTCGGCCAAAATAGGACCCGTCTGACTTAAAAATGATACAGTCATTGTGACCGATTTACAGTCATAATATTAAGAATCTCAAGTGACTGCATTCTAACTTTCCACAGCCATCAATTGCAAGACTTCATAGCGTTTATAACAATGCTCTACTTAGGTTTCTAATCCATCTGTTATAAATCATCTATAGATTAATTTTTCACAGTATTCATCCGGTTATTCATGAATTCAGACCACACCTTTATTGTGTTAGGTTCTCATGATAAAATACCTTATTAATCGCAAGATTTGTTATAGGATTTCGTTACTGAAATTTATATTTCTTGTCTAGTTATAGCTTTTTCCTTAACAATACATAATTTTGCTGCAGGTTGGGAACGATGCTCCAGAAAGTCCTTCGATGGGTTGGAACATACAATCTTTATACCTGTCATTCCCTACAATTGGAAAAATGTATCTATTCGACTGTAAGGAATGGCTATCCACAAATCGTGGTAATAAAAAACGAACTTGTAATCTGAAAATTTCAAATACAAATATAGTCAAATTTAAACCAAGTGAGCCAACAGGAATCTCGTTAAATTTATCTGAATGCAAATTATACTCATTTTATTGTTATTCTAGTTGGTATGCGCCAAACTGACAGAACACACCTTAATCAATCGTTTCACTTTTAATCGTAAAGTAAAATACCTGATATTTTAACAGGCATCACACTGTTCAATATAGATTTTAATTTAGATGCACTTACAATATAAAGAGAACTTTTATTCTTAGTAGATGTCTAGCTATAGTTCAAATAAATTAAATTCAGAAGATTAACACAAACCAGTACAGATAATTCACACCTCACTTTAGTAATAGAAAGTCATTAGTACCTTGTGAATTTTAGTGATTAAACCTTAAGGTCACTAGATTATGTGATCATGTCTATTATAAGTTCATCAAGGACTGGATCGTATCTTACGTTAAGTCAGGGATATAACATAATGAATAGAGGACTTTAGTGTTATATGCTATCATTTGTAATTGAATAAATTAACAGCAACAGTTACTTTGACGTGATTCTACTATTAAAAGACCATTTTAGCCTTAGAAAATTTACCCAGGTCATTGACCAGTATAAAAGATTGTTCATCCTTAAAATGATCCCAACTTGAATGTATAACACTGGGAGAATCAACTTGATTTATGAAACAAAATCAAGGTTGTTATGATTTAATACATTGGCTTTACCATTCGTAAACGAGAATTATTTTTATAGCTTATGAAGTCAATTCAATAATTCGTTTATAAATTTTTATTATGTCTTTTTGTTTTGTAAACATGTGATTTTGGAAGATTAATGCATGATGCATAAAGTTTTTATCACTACCATACATCATCAGTGACCTATTATACCAGAAATTCTTGGACAGTTGTATCGTCTCAGTTTAGGATATCTCAGAAATTTACGTATCAGTGTGCCAACATAAAATCAAACCAAGTTTATTCACGTCACTTGACGAACAGGATGTATTAATTTGCTGAGTCAAGATTCACTTATTACAAATCGCAAACTACTTCCGATTTGTTGCATAGTTCAAATATTAGCGTAACATTAGGATATCTTACGAACCTCAAGACCAAAAAATCTTAGATTCTATACTTTGTCGTGAATTTCCATTCTTAATTTATCCCTGACTGGACCACTACAGTCGCCAAGTGTTTAAAAATTTCAACGGTCCTTTAACTGATATCATTGATTGGTGAAAACTATCTTTAAGTCTTATTTTCTAGATTTAACATCATCATAACTTATAGATAACAACTAATGAGAATCGAGCAAATAACGCTACTATACATTTTCTCAATTTGGTTATCGCTTTTACATCATTTTTCTAAAAATAAAGACAGCTAGTAATACATTTTAAATAGTTAGTTATAGATTTAGTTAACCTTAGCATCTATCAAAAATCCACTAACAAACAAAATTTTAGAAAATAATTATTCATCACGATATAGCTGAGTCCTCTGATCTAGAAGGTTTAACTGTGAAACTTCTGTTGTCTTTCCGGACGTCATTGACTTTTACTTGGTTTTGAGGTGAGCTTTTTAATTTTTCCATTAGCGTTAAATCAGAGCTAACGATCCAACTTATTTAAGACTGACAGAAAAAACAAGAACCGCATTTTTACACAAAGTAAGGACTGAGGGTGTTGTCCAAAAAGACAACTGAGACTCCACAGCTAATCCATCTAACTCAGTCACCATGTTAACACCTAACACTTGCACTTGAGTTGCAAATACTTTACAACATTTCAGTAATTATTTCTAATGGTAATTTTTTATGAAATAGAATGTATTTGTTTATTATGTACCAGTTTTTTTTAATAATTTCAATTAAAAGCAAATCATTTTCTATTACGCAGAAATTACCTATCATTTGAAAATAACTACAGCTAATGTCAAGAGGGCCGGGACAGATTGTAGCATAAACCTTCAGATTTTCGGTACAAATGGTGTAACAAACTGTTATATTCTAGAGAAGACCAGTAATCGATTTGCTCAAGGAATAACCGATAATATTAGTCTTGAAATGGAGGATGTAGGAAAATTGTTAAAGATGCGAATAGGACATGACAATCAGGTGATGCTTCATTGAAATACATTTATAAGCTAAAAACACTTTTTATTGATTTTGGAATTAGTATCCTTTAAATTTAAGCACCTATCATGTTTCAATATTCTGGAAATTCATATGCAGTTAAACTCGGAAGGTTTGGCTCTTAGCCTATATTCTTCATAGAATACTTAATATCTTTAAGAGATGGCACCAACTATATCATCCAGATAACCGACGAAACTGATCGTTACACTATGCCACTCAACAACCATAAATGCCTACTGATCAGAAGATATAATATGTTTAGTCAGTTAGTTAATATATTGAGTAAATACAAGCAGTTAATAAACTGATCTCCATTGGCTCGATCAGTAACAATAAGTGAAAGCTGAATTTTTGAGTTGTAGGTTTTAGAGTTAAAATCAGATGACGGGTGCATTGGGTTTTCATACTAAAGTAGTACTCAAAATTATGAATCAGTATTATGTCTTCGCAAAGTTAGTAAAACAAGAAAGAGTGATTTTACGGGAAAAAATCAACTCCTGGCTTTTTTCCACTCTTTTTAACCACTGACAAGATCATGTAGATAAATGGTAAAATCTAATCAGGAAAAGAAAAACGTAAAAATTATAGAACGTCTTTTGGTTCAAGGAACATTTCTTGTATAAATTATCTAGCTAATGTTTCAAATGTTTGTAACACACCAGACTTATGGATAAATCTCTTCACACAAAGAATAAGTTGCGAGAGTTGATCAATTTATTCTGGATGTACTAATTTGGTTGCCCTTCTGTAACCAGGTATTCAAGCTGTTTGTCTACAATACTTCTTCGTTGTATTTAAGATCATCCCTAGCATAGATTACCGAAGTGTTTAGGAGGGACAATATGTAAAATGTAAATCCTTTTAAATCATGAGATTTGACGTCTGAATAATGCATATTAGTTCAAGGTCTTCTTCATCTACTGACTGAAAGTCAGTGAACAACTTAGAGTTTCAGTTAATTCGTCGGTTGCTTTGAAATATAAACTAAATAATGTATACATTTGAATGACTTTCAGACTCATAATTTATTATATATTTAGATAATCATGAAAGTGAAATCAATTTCATCGTCAAGCCACTTAATCTATGACTTGATGGGTATACTTAAATAAAATTTTCAGTTGCTTAGGAATGTTTATCATCAAGAAAACAATACAGATAAAGTATATTCACAACACATTTGTATTTGGTGTCTACAGAAATCATTTTCAAAACGTTATTTATATTATCTACTTAACAACAATATTTGTGCTAATTTAATTCAGGGGAAAAACAAGCATTGGAATTTGAGCTGTGTGGAAGTAACAGTTGCTAATACAAATCAATTATATCGTTTTGTTTATGATGATTGGCTTAGTTTAACATATGGTAAACGAAAATCATTATGGGTTGACTTACCGGCCATGATTGGTGATACCGTTCAGTTAAAAGGTAATAAGTACATGGATAATTGAAATGTTATTTATAAATATTGTTTTACAAAATATTAATTTAAATAACTCTAAATTAAAAGCAAATCCCCCATGTTTTTGACTTAATTATAACTTTTTTTATTTAACTATTAGACTATACGTCTCTTTAGATAAAAGAAGCCTTAAATTAGACTACTGAGATTTTAAAACATACCGATGTTAATCAGCATGTAATTCAAAGAGCGGAATTTCGCGAACCATATAACATTTAATGAAATGAACAAGAGTTAGACAAATACAAAATGGTGTATTGATTTACTATCTCTTGATTGATTAAGGTTAATGGCAATTATGCCTCTTCATCTCCATGGCTAATCACAAAATTTACATCTCCCTCAACTACTTATAGTAACTGTGAATACCATTGTAAAGTTGAGTTATATCATGTTTGTAGCGAATTTCTTCTTTCGAAACCAGTTATTTTAGTAAGTGTGAGTAGGTGGTACCTTTTAAGGATATAACTAGTATATCTTATCTGGAATATTTTAAGTAGTATAAACATTTAGTGTGTAATATTACTACTAGGTTATTTGTTAAGCAGTCTGTTTAAAACCGTCATTGTATCAATTATTAGAAGCAAATTATTAATTGTGTATGAAACTATTTTACTAACTGAACACATTTATTTAATAATTTAACACCTTATTATACTCTACTTATTCTGTGGTCATTGTAAATCAATGCAATAGAAACCTTTTACCCAGGACTTCTGCATATTACATGTAGTAAATTCACTATCTGGATAATGATTGCAATCATGCCTCTATATTGGTAAATAAATTTTCGAAATAAAAAGCTTTGTAAGTCTTCAGCATTCATATTAACTTACTGGACTCACGCCTACCTTAAGGCGCTCGGTCAAGTAACATCAACAGATCACGTTTCGATACTCCGTGCCGCGCATCGTCTACGACAACTAGATTGCTAAGGTTGATTACACTCTAACATATATATTTTTATTCGAATCTAGGTTTGCACTTCTTCATTCTATATTTCTGGTTCGTTTGGTTTTGGGATTATTTTATCTGATAAACTTACATACCTTACATATCCTCTTCACTTCCTTAGGGTATAAAACTCAGTGCTAAGTACCACAATAGGAAAATTTTAAAAATGTCTAATTTTTCGTTGAATGAATACTTGTAAAACCAAGTGAACGGTGAAGATTGTTTCAAAGATGTTCACAACTAGGAAAAAGCAAGTAAAGCTCTGTGATTCTAGATGCATAAGAAAGTCATTTATGCCCAGTGATTTAAAGTGACTATATATTATTGTGAAGTGAAATATTCTGAGTAGCGTTAACATTTAAAATTGTAGTAGGCCGAATCGTTTATCATATCATGTGTTTGGTTCATAATTTGTAAAACGTAACACATATAATTACTGATTTAAGTTTATATAACTTACGTTTCTTCACAAACAATGATGTTCAGTACAACTTGTAATTACCATATTTTTTATTGAATATTAGAGTTTTCAATAAAGTTTGTTGGTATAAACTGTTAAATGCTTCTGAGTAATAGCATTCACCTTTCTTCAGAGTATTCTATATATAATGAGTTAGTAAATGAAACAATAAAATGTCCCGATTCATCTTTTTAAAACAAAATGTTGAGATGAGTAGTTATCCTACTAAATTCATAAAATGACATATTTGCTAATGTAAGCCTAGTTAATAAAAATTTCATGACTTTTTCTTTAATGTATTGTCTTCAAGTTATGAAAAATTCTATAATAAAATTTTTAAATGAAGTCTTTGAAATACTTCCAAGATTTCAATGGTGGTCAGGCTTAAATTAACTCATGAATTTAACTATTAAGTTACTATAATCTCTACAAAACCCCCTTCTGATAATAATTATCATATGCCCACTAGTGACTGGATTCAACAGGTATTTCCTAGAGTTCTAATGAGAAGCAGTGACCAGTGGAGTCCAACCGGGTCTGTTGTGAGATAGTAACTCACTAGAGACAATGATGGACGGTGACTTAATTTTGTGGATCGTTTGAAGTTAGAAATTAACACTGTTGGATCTCGGCTCATTGGTCTAGAGGTTAAGCGTTTATGCTCGAGACCTAAGGTCCTGAGTTTGAATCTCGCGGGGTAGGATCGTGGGTACGCCCATATGGAGAGTCCCACACTAGGACGAAACGGTCGTCCAATGCTTCAAGTTTTCCATGATGGTCTAGCTTCAATTTACTCATGAACTCAACTATTAGATTCCTTTATACCTTGATATTTATACCACACATATTTATATATTTGATATATTACTTGAACATAATTATACATTATTTTTGCACAACCAGAGACATGTTTGGATATATTTGTTAAGACTGGGAACATGCCAGCCAGCTCTACTGATGCAAATGTATATGTACAACTTTTTGGTGAATATGGGGATTCAGGAGAAATACTATTAAAACAAACGGTATCGAATCAAAAACCTTTTCAAAATAATTCAGTAAGTTTGTTTCTTTGTTTCAAGATGTTATTCTTTCATGAACTTGTAATCTTGGTTTTATGCTAAATATCGTTTTTGTCTGTAGGTGAATAGCTTGAAGCTTCTTGGATATATTTAGGGTTATGTCAGAAAATACAAAGCATCTTACTTCTCTTTATAAGGAGAAGAGACACCCAAAAACCTATGCACTTGAAAACTATCAAACGCATCTTTTTAACATTTAATTTAGATGGAGTAGGATAAACCGCCTTCTTATACATGTAGAGATCAATCTACAGTAATTTCAGTTCAACTTCTGGAACAATTATAAAGTCAAATGTATTAAAATAACATAATATGTTACCTTTAATCACATTCATTCAACATGATTGTGTTTAAGTGAATGAAAGAATTTATTTGGCACAAAAACATATTTAGCCGACTAGATCTGAAACTTAAAACTTTCAAAAATACATTTTTGCCTATTTCAAAGTTGGAGACAACATGAAATCATAACTTTCTCAATTCTAATACAAAGTGTAGTAGCCACATAATTTTCTATCATCAGTAAGTACATTCAAAATTATTAACTGAGAGCCACAGCAATTCATCCCATGAGCTTTTTGGCTTTTGTTTTTCGTTTCATTTAGTCATTTACCTTATTTTATTATGCTTCTATTTTGCCATTCACTGCTTTCTCAGATATACGTGAGGCAATACAACCTTGTTTACAATATTAGATAGCCTTTATAGATTCATTTCAGCTGTCAAAAATGAAACCACTTTATATGAATAATCGTATTGCGAGTTTAAGTCTCATTATTTATCAAACTATGTTTTAGATTCACTTAGTACTGTTTGTTTGAATCTTCCTATTGATGCTTAGGACTGCAACTGGTCAGTCTCTTAATGGCGTATGTGCATACCGTGCGTATTGCCTCGATATTGCTTTAATTTAGTCCCAGAGTGAACATCAACTCTGAAATGCAGGTACATCCAGCCGACGAGTCCCAAATAGGACGAAACGCGCGTTCTGGACTCCACTACTAGCCATTATCAATCTTCACTTATAAGGCTTGTGAATTAAAGTAACATCGAGGCAATACACACAGTATGCACACATGCCAATAAGAGACTGACCAGTTGCATTTCTGAACATCAATGGGAAGATTCAAACAAGTAATACTAAGTGAATTCAAACTTTAGCCCATAGCACAAGCAAGTGGCTATCAGGACTCAATAGCTGAGAAGATAACGCGATGGAGTTTGAAGCGAAAGGTACTGGGTTGAAGTCCCAGAGTGAACATCAACCCTGAAATGCAGGTACATCCAGCTGACGAGTCCCAAAATAGGATGAAACGCGCGTTCGAGATTCCGAACATAAATCTTAAGGCTTTACTTGCCACATAAGCTCACATTGATCTGCTGTCAATGAACTTTAACATCTCACGGTAGAATCTAAAATTGTAAGAAACGATTAAATATTTACTTTACGTATTTCCTTTAACTGAATTAAATGAGCAAAGATAACAGTTTGAGTAAAATATCATAAATTTACCTCATTTTGTCAGGTTTTCGTAAATTGTCCACAAATTTTAATATTTTCATTTAAAAACAACACAACGAAGGCAACATTTCCCTACTGGCCTAGCTACTAGAATGCTATCTATAATTCATCTGAAAAAAACTTATTTAAAATAGTTCAGGAACTTTGTAAGTTAAACAGGATCTAATTTTAGAAATGACCTATTTTACATTACACTTGTAGTGATCCAACTTACAGATACTAATTTATCATTGATAATAATTTACTTAGTAGGATAAAAGTGTATAGACACAATGGGATAATTAATGTAAGCAAAACTTTTATACTATGCTCCACAGAAGATACTAATATTTAAATGTTATAAGACCCATACGATGGTTTTTCTTATATAATAGTTTGGTAAACTAAAAGAAAATGAAGCCTGTAGTAATGTTGTAGTAAGGAAGAACACGAGTGGGGCACAACGGAATGCATTTGGACACGAAATATCCCAGTAAAATCTGACAACCATACAGTAAACAGTTAATTTGCAAAATAACAATCAATTGTCTCAATCTTAACTGTTCCGTTTGCAAATATCAGTCCGTCTTCTCTGATTTTATTGTTAATGCATTTTCATACCGATCACGCTTCATTCCTGTTCTTTCCTTATCGATCTTCTGCCAAAATACATTCTATGCCTGACTATCACCATATACTACTTATGTGGATATAAGTAGACCACATCACAATATATATCTTACCATAAAAAAGGTCAAAGTTGAAGTGTCGGTGTGCTTCACTTTTGTTTGCACATTTCTGAGTAAATAATAACTAAATTCTTCTTAAACTCAGTAAATTCTGTGTGATTTTATTTTTATTTTTTTGTATAAATAAGTTAAACGTCAATACGTAAACTACTTATTACATTTCAGATTGATCATTTTAAAATACCATCAATTTTAAAACTTGGTAATCTTGCCCGTTGTCGTATATGGCATGATAATAAAGGATCATCACCAAATTGGTATTGTGAATGGCTTGAAGTAAAAGAAGTTTTAATACCTGGGGAAAAAAATTTAGCATGTAACTGGAAATTTGCTTTTAACAAATGGTTATCCATAAGTGACGATAACAAACAACTATTGAGAGATGCTCCATGTTCTGAAGTTTATATGAATGATTCCAAAGGTCATAGAACTATTGATCAAGAATCTATTGAGACATTATTGACAACGGCAGATTCTATGAATATATCTGACTTAAAAGATAATCCTGAAGGAAAATTAGGTGAGAGCTTTTTTTATATAGTGAAAATTATCATTCTGACATTTAGTAAAACAAACGAATAGAGCGAAGACATTTTTATTCAATTAAATTTCCATCTTGTGTTTACATTAACATATGACAATGAAGTAATACTCATCGAGTAGTCGCACTACGTATTTATTATAGGATGTCATAGTGAATATAAAATAGTATTGAGTAACTGAAAGAAAGTGGATTGTCATCATCCAAGCGATCATTCCAAAAATTCAACTGAAAGGTTACGATATTACAGAATATTTAGAAAGAATTAAGCATATATTTAATGTGTACTTATCGATTCAACTACATCTGCGCAACCAGTTATATAGGTCGTATAATTCAGCAAGTTCATTTTGTTTTAGTGAAGGACAGGTAAGAGTGACCAGGCGTTCTATTCTTGCTCACTTGGTGGGAACCGAATATCAAGTTGACCTGAGTAAATCTATTAAAATCATCCACCAGATTTCATCAAATTTGCCGCATGATTCACAAGTTCATCTTTTGTATATTGCGGTAACTAATGGAATCACTGTTCGTAAACCACACCTTCGCATTCAAACGAAGTTTGTACAATCACTCTCTCTACCTTGACCATTGATACAAGAGTCAGTTTTAGCTGAAATTTGATTAGTCAAATTTTTTCAATGTTCAAAAAAATTTTGTCCACTTTTGCAACTTTGCATATTCATCTCTTGATCCTTCCATAACTACCATAAGACTGACCTTCCAACAAAATATTTTGTTACTTCTTTTCAAACATTATGTAATGTAACAACCTTTTAGCTGAATTCTTCGGATAATCACTTGGTTTATGACAATCCGCTTTCTTTCAGTTACTCAATATTACTTTATATTCACTGTGACATCCTATAATAAATACATACTGAGACTACTCGATGAGTATTACTTCGTTGTTTTAAATCATATGTGTCAATGTAGACACAAGATGAAAATGTACTTAAATAAAAATGTCTTCACTCTGCTTGTTTGAACTACATTTTATTTTGTCAAAATAAAAGCTTTTTATGGTGCAACAAATCAATACAGAACAACAGATACGTAACAAAATACCTATAGTTCCTTCATCTCTGACTATCCTTTAAAATGCTCATTTAGTTACATCATACAGTGCTAACATTTAAGATAACCTTCATTATTTTTTTAGTTGAAATCATGAGTCAACTGAAGCTAGACCACCATGGAAAACCTCGAAGCACTGACGGCCGTTTTGTCATATTATGGGACTCCTCAGAAGTGCGCATCCACGATCTGGCACTCTCAAGATTTGAACCCAGGACATACCAGTCTTCACAATATTTTTTCACTAGGTTTAACAGAAAATAAAACTTATGTATTTCAATTTATTAATTTTTTATTCCTAACCTCACCAAGATAATTATGTATTAAGCAAACAGTTAAAATCTTCCCATCATCCACCCCTTCATTGTTTGGAACAAACTGATGGTTTATACTTTATATAGCAATCCAATTGCACATGGCTCCTGATTTCGTAAATTTGAAAATTCTGTAAAGAAAAAAGTTATAAGTACCTAGTTGTAAGCATGATGATTATACTACTAATACTACAGACCTTGAATTTGTCCCTGGTATAGTTGTACAATTCAACATGCAAATACAGTCAACTACATGATAAAATTTGACCCGTGTACTAACCAATATCTTATTTGGTTTCGGACCTATATCTTTACTATAACTTTTATTTACTTAGACCATAGTGTGAATACCTTACCAACATAAATTTCTTAAACTAGTTTATAATTAATAAATGCCATTTATTTATGTGTAGGTGTTAGTGTGGTCTTCTGGGTTTTAGATAAATCCCTGTACTTTGGTTATATAGACCTAAATGCATAAAATGCTGGCATGATATGACGGTGAGTTTAGATCACTCTAATTAGATTCAAAGGTACCTAAGGTGATTTATTAGGAAACTTGATGACTTATTATGTGACTGGTGAGGTCCGACCTTATTGAAAGTGCGGCAACTATCAACTGCGGGAATAAATAATCTCATTACTTCAAGAAATAAAAGTGCGAACCAATAAAGTCCTACTCAGAGGTTTAAAGATACAATGATCATTACACCACATAAAGGATCTGAGTTGGTTTTCACTCTCGGTTGTGAACAAGGACTGCTCAGGAGTCCCAAACTTATTCGAAACAGATGTTCTTTGTCTTTCTCTTCTTAATGGTCGTCCAGTTTATATAACTCCTCAAAATAACTTCTTCATAGACTGAAGTAAGAAGATATTTAATTTTTACTACGTTTTGTGATTATTACTGACTATTTCCCAATCGCAATAGAATATAAACTCAACAATTTCGATACCAGTTTGTTCATGTTCATAGAATATATAGGGGAACAACTGATTGAAAATGATATTGAAACTACAGTTCCTATTAATGTCGTGAAAGATTTATTACTGAAATGCACCATGAATGTGAATTTCAAATCCAACAGGGAAATATTTAGACAAATAAATGGTGTTGCAATGGGTTCACCTCTGGGCCCTATATTAGCTGATATATTTCTAGCGAAACTAGAGAACGGTCCACTAAAAAAGATTATTCAAAAATTGAAATTTTACTGTAGATTTATGGATGACACATTCATCTTGTGTAAGGATAATATATCACAGCAAGACGTGCTTAGGCAGTTTAACGAAGTGCATCCGGTCATTCTGTTTACATCAGAAGAAGAGAGTGATGGCCAAATAGTATTTTTTGGACGTCCTCGTAACTAAGAAAGCAGATAGATCGTTAAAAATAAACATAAACACAAAAATTACTTGGACTGGGCAGTATACATATTTCCTTAGCTTTGTACCTCTACAGTGCTAACGAAACCTGATCAAAACCCTTAGCTACTCAATACGCACTATATGTTCTGCGGATATAGTTGACGATGAGCTAAACACCTTGCATAATGCTCTGAGGGAGAACGGTTACCCCAGAAAGTTTATAATTAAATATACTATCATGAAAGCGAGAACAGGCGAAATTCAAACGGTCAAGAAGAAGTTCTTGTTCATGCGCCTTCAATTCAGAGGGGATGCAGCTAGCAAAATACTAACTCAGAGATTACGCAGATCAATCCAAAAATCTTTCAACGCAGGTGAACCACGTTTAGTTGTGACATCAAGGCTAAAAGATGAATGACCTAGAATGACCACCTCATTTTGTATTTATCAGCTGGACTGCTCCTGTGGAGCAAGTTGTATTGGTCGAAGTTCTATGAATTCACATATTCGTGCTCGTGAACACCTCCCAGCGTGGCTAAGTAAAGGTCTTGTGAAGAAAGTAAATAGCTCGATATTGGCCCATTTAGTACAAACTGGTCGTAGTGACAGTATAAACCAATCCTTTTCAACTATTTATAGGGTAAGTAATTTTTTGCCAAAGCTTTTCAGGCTTAATGTCCTTCAAACGGCTGAGGCAGTAGCCATCAGGATGAAGAACCCGAAGCTATGCGTAGAGAAGAAATATCTCCAACCCCTGCTCCTCCTTTGGCTAACCACAAGGCCAATTAATCAATAGTAATCTTAGCTATTGTATGACCTAATTTGACTATGTACTTACGACCTTTCGTAGTCAAATGTAATTGTCTCTCTCATCTTTATTCACAAATCTTTGTATTTTATTATTATGATTACTATTATTATGATTATTGGTTAGACATCATTATTATTCTCCCCTAGACATGATTCATTCACTTCGCATTGATCCCTCCTCATTAAGTCTTACCAATTTTTCACACAATTTAGTCTTCCATTAAACATTTGATCGAATTGTAAGTGCACTATCACCTCTCTCACCTTATCGGTTGACATTAGAATCACTGCACGTATAATCCCCTACCCCCCTTTTTTTGGAAATTAAAGGATATGAAAAAAATTTAGCAATTGGTGATTGGTGAATTTGTTTTTGAAAGTGTGTGCTCAAGTGCAAATGAACAAACATTTTGTCACCTGTAATAATTTTTTAATTGGCTGTAAATGGTGCAGTTTTGCGATTTGATTCGTTCAAATCGAACTAGAATAAAGTGCTTTTATTGGATGTAAGAATTGACATTTTTCCATTCGATTATTATTTACAATAATGAACTATTTTCGCATTGTTCCATCTGAGATTTGTAAAAAATTTTAACTTCGAAAAAAACAAAAACAAATCCATTTCATTACCCTGCTATACTCCTGTTAGTGAATGTAATTTCTTTTTATGAAGTAGAAATGCAACTAAAGTTATCAGTTATCGTGACAAGGGTAATAATAACGTGTAGATCATTGAACGTTAATTTTTGAAAAAAAACTGACAGCTGTTATTAATAATTGATAATGGTGATTATTGAATTTCAAAGGTAGTCAAATGTTTAATACACAATTAGTAAACACATTTTCATTTAAGTATTCCCATAAGTTAATTTAACACATAGTTCGCTCATTTAATAAACGTTATATTCGTGTAAGTATATGAATAAATCATGATAAAGAGAAAGTGAATGGGTCATGCCGAAGTCACGCTAACCGTAAAAGATGGGTAAATGAAGCAACTTTTACGCTATCTGAAATTAGTAATAATGTCTGAGAAAAAAACAAATAATCTTTATAATTCAGTTATTTTGCAAACCGTTATTCTTAATACCAAAAAGTTGATTAGTTTAGCTATGAAAAGGTTTTGAAAATGAACGCAATATCAAGGTTATCAAGATTTTTTGTAAATCCATTCAAAGCATAAAATATGCTGACCTGTAGATTATTTGTAGTTGATCACTTATTAATGATCGCCGAAAATACATGTTAGTGTTGTACTCAGTCATCATGTAATACGGTAATTGTGTTTGTGAGGTGGGCATAACATTTTTTGGCACGTAATGTTAACAGCCAATGTTTTTGAAGTGCACAACCTTTCAAATTAATGATCTGAGATTTTTATTGTCATTTGTAAATGACATTGTAAACGTTAATTAATTAGAAAGACTTAAATTATATTTCCAAATCCAACAGTTCCCTTCGTTAAACATACTGGACGAACAATGAGAAACTGTATGTACATTTTCCGTCAAAAGGGAAAATAATTACTCTTAAACTGTCAAACAGTAAATCGCTGAATGTTGAAAAAATAACCCTCTTTGACAAGCATATGTGTAATATAGGTTGAATGAAGTGTCAATGAACAAGCCTATGTCTAGTGAAATAAATTTCTATTTCAATGATATGACTTAATGTGGAATAAGGTCAATTGTATCAAGTAACCATTATGTATTCACAATATCGTATTTCAATCTGTCAAGTTAAACTGTACATTTATTTATCAGACGTCTAAATGACATTTATCACTGTATCGAATTTTTGCTATGTAGTGATAAATCTCATATGAAACATTATTATTACATTTCGTATGTTCCATTATTATTATTATAACTATTATTATTATTATTATTATGATTATGATTATTATTATTATTATTATGATTATTATTATGATTATCTGGTCTGCTGTAGCGAAGAAGTACAATAGACTATGATCTGCATCCAATTGATAATCACAAAGGCCACCAAGTGACGTGATGTGATTTTTCAACTTACCGTAATCACCGACAGTTAATAGTATAAATATGCACATTGCTTACCAGGAAGGTTGGCCTGTGAGAACACTTTGTAACGCATATTGAAAACATCTTGAGCTGTAAGACGTTTCCCATATGATTGGTACGCGTAGTGTATCACATTGAATGCTGATGTTCCAAATATCAACAGTGGCTTCACTGATTCCAATTCCGCTCCCGTTAATCGGCGCATCCATGTGTTACAGTCGTACCTCAGGGAATTGCACTCGTGATTGTGATGCACATTCCCACGAACAACAGTCCAATAACCTTCAAGAAACTTACAAAAGATGAAGGCCGGACATTGTGTGTCCATTGAAGTCCTCAATGAACAATATAATAACACTAATCAATTTACCTCCTTTGTCTAATCGGCTGCGAAGAAACGCTTGGTGTTTTATAGCTCTTTCTCCAACATACAAATTTAATATACGGCTTCCGATCTCCATGGAAATTAGAATCTCTCACCGCAAAATGGCAGTACGTTGCTATTTCATAAGTTCTAATGTCGCTCTTTAACGCTTCCAGTGATGGAAACGCTACCAGATACAATGTATTCAAAAATACATTTTCAGTTTCTGTGACTACGTGAGGAACAACAGAGCCTCTAATTTGCACGTTACTGACGTCCATATTGTGAAGAAAATTATCTATATCCATAAGTACAGAGCTTTTATACGAATTTCAAGAATTACATAACCAATTACAACGCATTTACAACTAGGAATTTCATTGGACGAAAGGGATTGAAAAAAATTGGAAAATGGGATGAAAATTTTTTGATTAAGGGGGACAAAAAAAAATTATTAAAAAAAAATTGAAGTGATCCTAATGTTATTCCACCTTATCTGACCCATATTTATATTCTGATCACAGATCTTAAATTTTCACTTAACATATATACAAATTCAAGTTAACATTCTATATTAGTCATATCAACACTAACAATTTTATTCTATTTGATTTGACATTCCTAAATGTACATGCATTAAACGATGTACTTTGCCTTTAACCTGACCATTTTCTCAGATTATTAATTTGGATATATAATTGTAGAACCTGAAGAGAATTTATCGAAAAGAATATTCTTCGTTCAAATATTAGTCTTTTAATATGATGGGGATTTTTAAGCGATTAAATAAGGTTACTTTCACTCAAGAATTTATTCTTTGTTAGAGGATTAAATTTATGCATCTTAAAAATCAGATATGTGTTGATATATGTCTCAAGCATAAGTCTAACCTTTTAAACGTGGTTAATTTTCAGCAGGTATTATCAGAGACATTTACAATGTAAGGTGATAAATATACGTATGAATTATAAACCAATAAATATATAACTGTAGTTAGAATTTTGTTATCACTATGATATCTGTTTTTGTTAATCACTTAACAAGATCATCGCAAAATAATAAGTTTTTATAGAACAGATGGATCGTAGCAGTGAATCGAAGACTCATTTGTCGTCTTATTTGGAACAAGATTTACCTTTATCCTAGTAGAAATGCTAAAATTAGAATTCCAACTCATCACCTTTCATTTCAAATTCAACAGATTATCCACTAAGTTTCTGAGTTCATGTAATCACTAACTTATTTAGCAGGTTAAATGTTTATACCATTATTAGAATTTCAACATGGAAATTTAAACCTATGCTTATAATGGCCTAGTAATTCTTTAGCTGAGATATCCTGACATCTCACAACATAAATCTATTCTGAAGTTGATTGAAATCAATAAATTTAACATGGAACATTATTCCTCTAAGCTATTCCGATAGAATTAATATTTTCACATTATTACTTCAGTAAACTTACACAATCCAGTGAAACATTACCTATTTCCAGTAAGTATTATCTGTCTTCACTTTTTATTTGGTTTCTGCTAGAAGTTTATGTAGTACCATCTTAAAATCAATAATAACTAATTTGTATCATGTAACTAGCAAGAACTGAACGATGACTTAGATGTTTGAATTCCTTGTATGAATGTGCTAACTATACTTTCTACCTTATTTGTATACTACATAAACTACATTTGAAAGTCTTTTAACACATTTGATTTTCTATTATACAATTAAGAATCCCCTTATTGGTATATTTTATGGCTGTTAATTATATGTAATAGTTATAAATCTATTTAAATTTCATTAGATTTCAATTACTTCAGTTACCGCTAATATTTGTTTTAGTATATGAAGTAGTAATAGAAACTGGAAATCTAAAAGATTCGGGTACAACTTGTGATGCTTGGATCATTCTAGAAGGTAAACATGGTCGTAGTCCGAAATTGGAACTAGTTAATCAAGTTGGCAATCCAATACTTCAAATTAATCAAATGAATACATTTCAGTAAGTTTATTTTGTCAAGTTTTTTATTTGCTTAGTGAAATTCATGGAGTTCTAATTAAAAGACTCATTATTATCAGATAGGTTCACGTTTGAAATGTTCATTAATTTCAATAGACCAATAGGTCTAGGATTCGTGTTTCGCGAGACGGGATCGTGGATGCGCACTGCTGAGGAGTCCCATACTAGGACGAAAAGGCCGTTCAGTGGTTCCAAGTTTTTCATATTGGTCAAACTTCATCTGACTCATGGATTCAACTATTAAAATATATATAATTAACTATTTTGAATTAACAATATACATTCAACTATTTAAGTTACTCCATTAGAAAATATAATAGTGGTTTTCATAGATTACTATTTGGATATCATAAATTAATGACTTCCTTAATAAACTGTTAAATATATAGACTGGAATATAAAATTTATTACACAATGAACAACACTATTAAGATGGAAGGCTGATCAGACTACTTTTCCTGAAGAGTGTTCTGAACCCTTAGTCATAAGATTACACTAGACAACGTAAAGATCTGTTCTATCCTTAGACCGGTTTATATATTCAAATATAAAAGTATCAATTAGTCAGTAAAATATTTAATGATAATCAGTGAAAGGAACTAATCACTGACAATCTACATTATTATTTTCCATTTCAAGACAGCTGTCTTTTGAAGACAATATATATTGTTCTCATGAAATTTATCTGCAACAAATAACTGACCAATCTTTAATTTGCACTGAAAAGTGTATTTACATTTCTTTAAATAATGACAATACGTTTACGACACATAATTAAATAACTCAGTGAAATCATACATGATATAAAAATACGTAAAATCCAATTGGATTTGTTGAAAATAAAGGTGCCAACTCGTAAAGACTACTTCACAATCTACTCAATAAGAAGCAACCTTCTTCCCTGACCAGTTTATCATTACTTTCCTTCAATAATTAGTTTCTGTTACAAAACACGACATGATAAAGTATAATTCTCGCATTTACTGTTGACGAGTATCAGTAATCGTAATATTCATCTAAATACTTTTGTTTCTCTATCATTATATCTTAAGATTACCAAGCTTCCCATTGGGTGATCTTCAGACCATTCGACTAGGCATACAAGAACGAAATATTAACAAACAAACAAATCCAAATGATATTCAATCACAAAAGTGGTTCTGTGAAAAAGTTAGCATAAAAGATCCTGTAAGTAAACGGACATATATATTTACTATTCATCAATGGTTAAGTATTACTCCAACTTCAAATTTGAAAAAAGATGTTCTAGTGAATTACAGTAAAATAATTGAAGATCCTTATAAGAAAGCATTCAATGAATTGAAAAGTAAGTATTAATGTTATTTGCATATTAAATTTCTGATATTTCAATGAAATATATGCACTAGACAATTTGACCTGTTTTAGTGAAGTTCTTTTCTTTTCTATCAAACTGTGATTAATAATAAATAAATTCTTTACAAATGTTTTATCGAGCTCTCGAACTCATATGTGAAGATCAATGCCTAATTTAATAATATTCACATTTCATTTTATCGGAAAACATTTAGATTAGTGGTCTACTAAGTTAGAATGATTAATCTAAAAGTTGAGTTCATAAGTCAATTGAAGCTAGACCACTATTGAAAAACTGGAATCATTGGACGGCCATTCCATCCTAGTGTGGGACTCATGAACTCAACTACTAGAAGTACTATAATATCCACACACAAAAAAAACTCTTTCCGATAATAATCTAAAAGTGCTAGGTTTAATATTGTCATTTATTAAATTAATTACATAACACTGAATTATTTGCCAGTTAAACTTTGTAAATCAATTCCTGTAATTGACCATTGAAAACCATAACATTTAATCATATGAGAAAACTAAAAGTATCTGTAACCTAAATGTAAACTATTCACAAAAAAGTTCATTTTCTGAGTTAAGCCTATAGTTTACCCATAACTTGTTACTGCTGGTGAGTGAACATAAAGTGACAACAGCAGTTCTTTAATATAGTACATCATCTTATAATGTAATCATTGCAAATTTTAACCATAATTTTGTTAATTTCCCAAAATTTTGTAATAGTAAATGGTCAGAAAGTACTAAATCTACATCAATAGGTTTTCATCAAATTTTTAAATATCATTATTCAAGTTGGACATCTGAAAATTCTCTACTTTCATATAAGAGTAATGTAGCTTATATAAATAGCGAGTAAACAACACACTGAACAATGTCTAATAACTTTGATATCTGAGGAATAGACAAGTCATTCTAATCTGTCTTTTTGTTTGCAAAAGATATTTTTGTACATTTTCTTTATTATTCTGTTCATCTATTGAACTCAGATTTCACCTTAATGTAATTCATGTAGTTAATTATTATAACTAGATTAAATAGTCATTTTGTACATATATAGTATATATATAAATGTATATAAATTCGAATTAAGCAGGAATAACCATTGATAGCATAATAATATGAACACGTATTGAACTGTTAGAAGCTTTATTCTTGCTTCATTCAAATATACGTCTTATCTTATGTTCTAGTATAACTAGTGTAAAGACACAGTCATTCAACAAATGTAATCCTCCTTTTTAATTCGATATTTTACACACTCGAAAATGAATTTTTGTGTCCACATTAGGAGGCTTAACTTTAATATTGATGTGAAATGAAGACTAAATAATCTTTTCTGACTTGAAACACTATTCAAATCTAATGAAAACGATGCCTTGTAACAAAACATTTCATCGAATAAAACACTAATATAGTTAAAATTAATTGTCTACAATATTTCGTGATTATCATGTCATAGGATGTTTAAGATTTCAAATTTAAAAGGGTGCCAACATTGAGATTTGCATTCAACTGAGCTATTTATTGTCACTGTCAATGGGATGTTACTTGCATTACTTATAGAAAGTAAATAACTAAGAAGAATTCATTTCAATTATAAGTAATTTCTGTATTCAATGAAATATTGAAATAATCTTATCAACAAAGGCTTTATATAAGGGGTATTAAATAAGCAGATTTGTATTTTATGAGCTGAATTATTTCAGACGAAAAGCTCACTACTTTCAGAATTACTTTTGATTTTATTGTATACATGAATATTATAACGTTTGAACTATACTATTCAGTCTATGAATTACAAAGAGTAGTCTTAGGAAAACTTATTTCAGATACGTTACACAATTCTTATGGGCTCTTTCTGTCAATATTAGAGATCAACTAAAGATGCTTACATTTAAACCCTTTATCTCTGTAAATTTTTATTTATCTAGAATTAATATTAATACATTATTGGTCAAACTATTGAAAAATTTCCAATATTGTTATTTTAGACAAACAAACTGTCATGTATAAAGTTTCCATATATACTGGAACGAAAGGATGTGCAAATACAGATGCCAATATTTTCATCACAATGTTCAGTACCACACCAGGCTTAAATTCTGGGCGAATTGCTTTAAAACGAGAAAACAAGAATCTGTTTGACAGGAAACAACTTGACGAATTTTATATTGAATCTATCGATTTGGGTAGGTAAAATTATGATATTTTGTAATCAGATAGCCTAACTGTAATGGACGAGAACACAAGTGAGGACAATACAGTGTATTTAAACACGAAATTACAGAACGTCTTAATAAAATCTGAGAACCATATAGTAAATACTTCATTTGCAAAATTTCAATCAATCGTCTTAGACTTCATTGTTTCTTCGCTTCCACACTAATCACTCTCCTGTCTTTTTAACCTTCTGTCGCCAAGTACTTTACTTTCGATTGATGATAAATACTACTTATATCTGTCAACATCAGTATCACACACCACAGAACTACGTAATAAAATCCCATCTTCATTGAATTCATCGGTTCTATAAAATGCTGTAAAAAATCGTATTTAAACTGTGGGAAGTGTAATATTATAACATCATTTGCATAAATGAACTGATTTATAGTACTACTACTGATAGTATTAGCAGTAGTAATTATCAACAATATTTGTGCTAAATTGAGTCATCAATTCAAAGAGAAGCTTGTCCTTTAAATTTGAGATGTTCTTTCTGATTTATTAGCCTCAGATACACCGAGTTGAAAGTTATTCTATCCTTAATTCTTTAATAGACATAAACTTTTTTAAATTTTATATAAGCTTTCAGAGCAAACATAAACAATAGCTTACAGGTTTATCAGAAGTTATTTCAAATATACTAGTACGAGGGCCCAACGTATATTTTAAGGTTACATAATCTACATAGTTCATTGAGATTTCATCAGCAAATTTAATAATCTTTATATAACTAGTGTGTTCCTAATTTTCGGTGATCTATATTTTACTTTTAAACTAATACATTTGTAACAATTCTTTTTGATTTTTCAGAATCTATTCAACGGATTATTATAGAACATGATAACATAGGTGTTAGTCCTGATTGGTATTTAGATAAAGTACTAATCACAAACCAGACAAACAATCAGATTCATTTATTCCAATGTTATCAGTGGATTTCAAAAAAGAAAGGTGATTGTAGATTATGGAAAGAATTACTGGTCTCAAATTAAAATAAATTCATGACATTGAGAGTGGAAAACAGTGACAAACTAATTTCGTCAACAAAATTGTTAATAATCATCGTGTTAATTAAAATGATGAATTTTATTTAAAATAATTGTTTTAATGTGTTGATAAGCATACCAACAGCTTTTACTACGTAGTACTAATTCACTATTCACCAACCATTACAAAATCAAAATGTTTGACATTAAGTTCCACACACAAACATGGTATTCAGATATTACTATTGATATATGTGGTACTTTGAATATTCGTTTGTTAGATTAGATACTTGGTATCAGGCGGTAAAATTCCAAGTGACAGCTAAGTACATAATTTATGGTCTATTAATTTACTATAGTAAGAAGTCTTGTAGATCTCGCAACATATTAGTGATCTATTTTTTCATTAAAATCCAATGGATTTATGTGAAAGAACATTTGGAGAATGGGACGATCTTTTCTATTCCATCAATCTGGATAAATCATAGGCAGTAGTCAGTTTTAAATAGTGTCGACAACGTAAAAAATGTGAGCCAATACAATATTCCAGGGTTACTACCAGTGCCATAATGGAAAAATAAGACTTATATGCCATCAAAGGATACTTATAATAAACAGCTTTTTGAACTCAGATCATGGTTGCTTTGATTTGCCAGCGAACGTCACCTTACTGAACTCCTGGTCAGTCTTTCTAACCTAATCATAAGGAAGAAACAACCGCAGTCGTAAAATTCAAAGCACTTCTTATAAAACCCAGTTATAACATTACTCTTTTTTTCTAAAATATGACTTTGAACTTCACTTCAAAGCTATAGCTGTTTCAGTTCGATATCAAATAGGACAGAGAAAATCAAGCGTGAACAAACCCAAATGTATGTGAACTGTTTTACACTATACAATAGTTGCCTAGCATGATCCATCCTAACCTGTTTGTCAGACATCACGAATCCATACGACACGTGAAAAGCAGATAATATATTATCAGCATCAAGGTACACATGTGGCTAGACGAACGAGAAAAAATAATTTACAACTGTCTTTAGCTGACCCGTGAGACAATCCACATCGTTCATCGATCGATTCGCATCAGTCGTCCTTGACTGTCAATGTTCACTGCACCACTCAAAATTTAGTGAGTAGTGCCCTGGTGTAGATATAAATCCCGTTTGACGGATGTTTTAGTCGGAGTTAAATGTTGCTTCGGTTAATCAACAGTACTACAGTAAAGGCTAAAGACCTTCATGATGCCGTAGATATTTGGAGTTTGACAATACCTTAACCAGTCATAATTTCTGTGATCGAAACGTGCCAACCCAGTGAAGTGAGAAGCGTAGAGGTTCCTAGATATATTTGATAGGCTATCGGTATTTGGAGAAATGGCTGATGAGAATTTGTAGGAGAAGTTGAGCACAGCAAACTCACTCGTGATTTGGTGCGGAAGTATGATCGAGCGCCTTAAGCAAAGTGAGTCCATTAAAACAAATAAGGTCAGCATCGAATGCCGAACACTTATAGATCTACTGATTTTGTGGATAAATTGATTTGTTTTTTGGGGAGAAGTCGAGACGAGACAAAGTGTCACGCTGTGTCTTGCGTGCAATAATCGTTTTGGTGCTCTCGAAACCTTACACTTCGTCCAGAGCGTGTTGTTGAGAGTATGCCGTCCGATACCACCAAAATGTCATCGTGATCGTTGACTATCGGACAAGATGTTGTAAATGCAGGACTCGTATCTTTTGATTGTACCGAAGGATACTCGATATGAGTAGCGTTTTCTCCTAAATACGCAGCTTGGATGCGATTAATACTGATGCAATCGTTAATTCCGTTCTTATCGATTGCATAGTGCTTGGGTTTACGCCGAAGAACTTTGAAGGGTCCTTCGTATGCTGATTCGAGGAGTCGTAGATGTGATTCTCGACATACAAAGACCTGTGTACTATATCGCAAGTCAGGTTGAACGAAAACATCAGTTGTTTGAGGTCGAGTGTGAGCAGGTTTAACTGAACGCATTGCGTTTGCAAGCCTGCTCGTGTAGGATTTTAGATCCATGTTCATTGAAGAAGACGAAGGATCCACGAATTCTCCTGGAAGTCGGAGTGTCGTTCCATAAACGAGTTGAGCTGCAATGTATCCAATGTCAGCTTTCACTGCATTGCGAATACCTAGCAAGACGAGTGGAAGAGCGTCGGTTCACTGTGAAACGTTTGCAGCTGATAGGGTAGCTTTTAGTTGTCGGGGAAAATGTTCTACTAACCCGTTTGCTTGTGGGTAGTAGGCGGTCTTTCGGAAGTGAGTGATTCCTAATAGTGTGGTCAGACAACGCGAAAGTCCAGATTTCAACTGGCGTCCGCGGTCTGTAGTGATGGTTGAAGGGCAGTCGAAATTCGCTACTCATCGTTCGACGAAGGCGCGAGCCACTGTTTCTGCAGTAGCGTCCTTGATGGGTACTACTTCTGGTCAACAAGTGAAATGGTGTACACATGTTATGAGATAAGAGTATCCATTTGAATCTGGTAAGGGTCCATCCCATGCCCAAAACGATCGTCGGGAATTGTGAAAGAGTACAATGGACAATTGTTGTGTCAAATGAACTTAGATTTCTGGCAAGTTACACAATGACGTACACACTCCCTTACGTCTTCGTTCAATCCAGGCCAGCAAAACCGTTTTGCTATGAGCTTGGTGGTTGCATGAACACCTGGATGAGAAAGTTTGTGCAACGTATTGAAGACGTTGCGTCAATAAAGTTTCAGCACGATTGGATGATCCCCATCTGAAGGTGTGTGGCATAGTAAGGTTTACTTACTTGTTACCATCTCTTTAATAATTAGTTTTAATGTTGTTGAAGGTAACTCGTTCCGAAGATCACTTCCTTGTATTTGAAGCCCGGCGAGCTTAGGAAGGTTGATTCCTTGTAAAATGTTCAAGGAAATCATTCGAGACAAAGCGTCTGCAACTGGATACCAGCAACAATCAGGGCTACCTGTCTTTTGTGATTTATAGACATTGTTTTTGTGAACTACTCCTTCTAGTAGTTTGGGAGCGTCTACGGTCATGACGAATATGAAGGTAACGTGTCAGAGTATGACAGAGCTACCTAACGTCATTTCGTGTCATTTGAGGTTTTCCCTTGACTTGAAAAACCTCGACTTTCGAAGTTCTGATGATCTTCACAATTCGGGCTGCAGACAGTCAGGATGTCCACAGCATTGTTTTGGTATGAGACAAATAATGCCTGAACCTGTTGAGAAAAATTAGACAAGTAAAGTTGTCTTAGCAGGCCACCGTCAAAGGTCCGTTGACCAATGGCCTCTCTAGTCGAATGTCGAACACTTACAGAGCTATTGATTTTGTGGATTTATTTACCGCTATATGCTTGTGCTGTATTATAACTGCATAGGCTGCAGGAAACGTCTCAATCTCTGACTAAAGTAAAGTATGAAACACTTAGAATAAATATTATCAACTGTGAATATAATTTGCGGAGACAATTTACACACAAAACCTGCCAGCCCCTGAAAAGATGTGAGTTAGAATTTTAGGTTGAAAAATTGTTCATGCATTTAAAATCAAATCATATTTTAGGTTTGTTTTACTTTGTTATGTAAAGAGTGTCAGTTTGAAATAGTTGGAGTTTCCTTGCTTTTTCGCTGCATATGAATGGTGAAGTGTTTTGTGTAACCCATAGATTTTTAACCACTTCTGACGTAAGTTTGTAACTACGTTTTCCTAAGTGTTCTGGTCACGACCAGTCAAGCAAATGTGGCAACTTTTCTCAAAAAACCCAACATCTCAATCTATATATTCCGGAAAATTTTGTGTTTTTGGAAAATTTTAGGAAAGCTGCTATAGAAAAATTTGGGAAAGTAGCACGAAAGTCTTGAAATTTCCCTAGATCTGGGAAAATCGCAAACGTTCGTTCAATAAAACGGACAAACATAGAGCTCCAAGTGACTTTTAAGATTTTTCAGCATTATTGGCTCTGTCTCTTCGTTACTTATAATATCTTTTCGACCACAGACTACAAAGAAATGATTTTTCACTCGCATCTTGTTATAAATATATTGGAGAATTGTGCTAGATCTTGCCAATTTCCATTGAGAAAAACTTGACGTGTCAGTTTCGGCAATCCTTAGTAGTTGAATTTTGAGGCACTTAAGGACGTTTTCCCCAAAAGTCAGGAGATGCTAACTATATTATTCTCACTGTCCTTTCAGTTCTCAGATCTATGAATCGAAAACAGTAGGTTGAGATCCTATCATGGTCATCTCTCGTGAGTGTCTAGTCTGATGTAAGTAATTGTAAACAACCAAAGTCGTTAATTGTACTTTTTGCTGCAATTTTTTTTGAATAGTTAACTTGCTTTCCCAACAGGACTCATGACTATCTTTACTCAGACCAGTTTCCGAAACTTATTAGGTGGTCTTCAACTTTGTTCTCAGCGATAGTAAACTTTATTGGATCTCACAAGTGTTAATTAAATAATCCGGTGATTTCTCTACTCAGTCTCTTCAACTTACTTCCAATTTAATAATTTCACATTGTTTGTCTCTTGTATTTGAGACAGACGTTCCAAATATGATGCATTGAGTACTTCACAAGCGCTGGACATCTCCGTCACAGTGTAATGGTGGCTACCCAAATTTTGATATAAATAATGAAGTTTTCAACTTTTTTTAACGGGCCGGAAATATGAATGTAAGTCAGATGCATCTCAGGAGACACTACTGTGGAAACAACTTCGAAACAAGATGGAAATCTTAAAAAAATGTATAGATCATTCTCTAGATATATACACTTTTTGATTTTTGGTAGAATCGCCATGTTGCTTTAGGTCATGAAATCTTCCACATCATTATCAAGAAGTGAGTAACATTTTAAGTTTTCTTAAACTCACTGGATTACTAAAACAGTAACAAAAATAAAATACCTTCATTTGTTAGAACTTATAAGATATGTTATAATTACACAGTTTAAAGTGGGTGTCATCAGAAACTTGGAAATTTTGATCTGTTACTCCATAAATTATTAGTATTGACTAATATTTTGTTGAAGTATGGTATGAAGTATAGAACATCCACCTATGGGACACTAGGTTTATGTAGGATCTACACATTTTCCATTATTGTCATATTTAGTTTTCACTACATCCATGTTCTTGTATTAATTGAAAATATTCCTTGATCGAGGATAATTGATCATAACTATTGAATGCTTAAAAATTTTTATAATATTGCTGTGATCTATGTTTATAAGTGATCAACATAGTACTTCACACATTTTATATTTATCTCATCTTGCTATTTGTTGTTTAGTTCTAGGAATACATGAAACCTTGTTTCATCTTTATATTCTGTAGTTAATATTTTCGACAGTGTTTGAAATTTTACCCAAGAGTGTGTCGATTACCTTCGTGAACTTTGAATTGTCTTGTGTTCAGTGTATAAATCTTACAGAGGTTCTTTGGAACTTTCAAGTTGTAGAGATTTGTTCTTCACTATTAGGAGCCAGAATAGTTTTAGATGAGACGTTTTGAATTTTAGAGTACATTTTCCAAGAAGGCTCCTAGTTAGTATGAATATTCTGAACTCCTTGAATTGATTGCCTATCCTACCACTAAACATTACTAGGAATTTCAACATTTAGTTAATTAACATAAAAAAACGTAGAAAACCAGTTTTAACAACATAACGATGAACATGTTCAAAAGTGTGATGAAAATATTGTGATGGAGTTACTCGAAATTGTTCAAGTTATTTCATATTACATTTCTTAAATTTTTTGATATAATAAAAAATTAATGTTTTGCAGAAAATGATTAACTTTTTAATTTTTTTTCACAGATAAATCGTATTGAACTGTGATCTTGTATCGACAAGTGAACACAAATACAACGTCCAGTGGAATAATTTCTATCATTTTAATCTTGATGATTTAGCCCTTTCAATCTAATATATGTTCTGTTCCATGGATTTATGTTGATCTCGATTTAAATCAAAAATCCTAAACAAGAACATATTCCAAGATGTGTGAAATAGAGTTATACAGAAAAACGAAAATAGATATTCCATTGCTGGCTGCTGGAATGATTTTGTGCATTTTAAGTTGTTTGATGATTTCTGTTGGAATAGCTAGAGTACGGGAAGATGTTTGGATAGCGGGAATTCTTGTAGCTATTGTGGGTTTACCGCTGTTCTTGTTTTCCTTGATAATCTTTTGTGTCATCAGAACAAACAATTACACGGAAGTGTTACCAAAACAGTATGTGCTCGGTAAAATACCACCACCTACTTTTACAAGCATACCTTCAGCACTTGGATCTATTTATCATGCGTAAACTTTTTTTCATGAAAATACTTCATAACTCATTTGCACATCTTTTATTTTTCCCTTTTCATTGATATAATTAAATTTTGGTCTCATTTCATAACATTATGTTTAGAACAGTTGAAATATTTCAATGAGTTACTACTTTTTATTACTTTTTGACGATTTTCAACGAGTAACGATTGCTCTTAGTTATACCATTTCTTAATTTTAATCCAATTACTTTGAAATATATAAACTAAGTAGTTTTAATAATTTATGACTAAATATTTTAGTTTCTAAAAGTCCTAATGGTTCTTTCATAATAATTTTTGAACACTTTTCGTATTGTTTGTATGGTTTGTGGGCTTGTATAAATGATAAATTCATATCTGTTGACAAAGTGTTATATCGAGTACCTGTCTGGATGCCCTGTTAATATATGAACATGATGATTCCCACCAATCAGAGAGGAGTGAACTATCGATCAGAGCAATGATACACGAAAAGCCGTATGAGCAGTCTTGAGTACTTATCAGTCCTGCTATCTGCCTAGCTCAGTCAGTTAAGTCCAGAACACCAATAACAGCCTCTGCAATATGAATCATTATTCGCAAACATACTGGGTTTATATACCAAACAAACTGACTACACCTTACCATAAAATAAAAAATAACATTTGTACAAGATTTGGCCAAATGTGGCTGTGAATAAGGGGAACAGTAATTACTGGACTAGGGATAACTCAAGAATGATAAATCGTGTAATAATAGTCTGTAGAGTAAAATAAAGCTAATAACAAGAGGGACCCAAATATGAATAGTTTAGTTACTTCACAATTATACAATAGGAAATATATCATATTGGTCCATAAACAGTTCTCAAAGTTACCATTCATAAATCTCCACGGGACATAACAAAGTAGACGAGAATAAAAGGAAACCCCATATCAAGTTCGTTTCGAATTAACCTCTTTTTGATGGTATGTATTCTAATATGTTGATTACAATGTTGAATCACGGTTATTTACCACTTTGAAAGTTTTGGTCTTAATTTTTGACATATCTCGTATTATATTGTGTCTTCTGAATTAAGTGGTTCATTCACAAAGTTTTGATTGTTTCTGTGGACAAAATCACCGGCGGTTACTCTATATAAATTGTGAGACTAACCACATTTGCATACATTGTGTGGGATTTTTCTCCCTAAATTTTCGTGGTCAAACTGCACTCAGTAGAATTCGTTAGTCAACTAACTATTTGATTTTCTGTCATTATTACCATACTTCTAGTTTCTTCTTGATGGAGGTTTGCTAAACTGAAACAGTAACAAAGAGAACTGGCAATGCTAGGTTATGCAATATCATCCATTCTTGTTCTAACTTGTCAAGAGAATATTTTCTTTATACGAAGCTTGTCAATATTTGAATGAACGAAGTTGAGCTCCAACTGTATAAAAAAAACTGGATAGAACCATTTTCTCAAAAACTTTTACAGAATAAAGTTAAATATCTTGAATCCGTTGACTGAAGGAAGTATTGGAATAACTTAATTTCAGTTGATAAGATCTTTAAAAATCAAGCATTTCTTTTAGATGTCTAAATATTTTAGCTAATTGAACTTTTAATGAGATTCAAGTTGAAATAAGCCATGATTTCTGAAATAAAGCAAGGTAAAATCAAATGACATCTAGAACGTCCAAATTTAAAATAAATGATAATGAATCTTACTCATTGAATGGTCATGGAAATGGCTCTGGCGCATTTATTTGACTAATCGCATTTAGTTAGCATTACCGCCAGGAGACTGAACAATCAAATCATATGTATTACTGGACAAATGTTATACTTCTTATGCTAATATTAATACACTGGTTTATGTTTGATCAAGCCAACCCATTAGTAGGCATAACGATACGCTGATGAACAAGTAAATCGTTTGGTACTTTCACAAGCTGTCATTACATATTCCAATTTTGACTTGTATACTTACGTAAGCAGTGCTATAAACTGTTTGAATTACTTATTACTCTCAACTAAGCTTTATGCAATGTGTTTCAACTTTCCAAGTTACATTGTAACTGACTTTAAAATGTCTATGTTAGTCTATAATGATGAACACCTAACTAAAAAACTATTCCTCCATATAAATATATATATATATAATTCTGGTGGGAATGCAGTTTTCGGTAAGTGAATGTAATGTGCACTCCTAATCAATAGTTCATTGATGTAGTCATGATGAAGTGCAAAATATTACATGTACTTGAAATTGAAAAATTTGATTATTCTTTTAATTTTTCAGTTTTAACTTGACCTTGTCTGTATAAGTGATGCTAAATAAAAAATTTATTTTCATTTTTATCAGCTTATTTTTGTTAAATGAAATTAGTTACGGATATATTTTGGTCTGTCGAAAAATGAAAAAAGACAATAAAAGAAGCTATCATGGATATGGTGGTCATTGCCCTGACTGTCCACTCATCTGTCGTGTTTTTACAAATGATATGAAACGACCGGAATCATTTCAACCTAGAAAACTCCGTCCAAAAAATGCAGATGAAATATTAAAAGAAAAACTTCAAAGAAGTTCAACACCTAGAGGTATCTATGATAATCCGTATAATCCTGGTTTGTGGCGTCGTTCGACAGTAATAACTGCACCATACACTTAGTTAATACAATTATGGTAAATACAAATAAATGGAAATTATTCTGTATACTACTCGCCATCCAATATTTCTATTTAGTTTTCAAATCGTTTAATAAGCATGAACAAATGATAAATACTTTTCCACCAAGTAAAATGTTGTTTTTATATCTTTTGCTGGTTTCTCATAAACGCTATTGGAAATATATCTCTAATAGGTACATTCTGTATTGTCATGTACTTTAGTTAATTCATTAAAAGTTAGGTATTTTTACAACTAAAACGTTTAGCAATTTATCTGCGTATTTTTGACAGCTTCAACTAGTCTGTAGTTAGTTTTAAATTATGATTTGCCGTCGATTAAAATATTGTAAGAAAGTATAATCAGTAGATATTTAAAACCTTTGGTCATTTCTATATTTTTTCAAGTCACATGTCAAGATTCTTCGTTATTTTTGACTGATTGGGGTTGTAAGTGAGTCGCTAAGAATAAATCTTTTACCATTTAATATGCTAATTATGACCGAGTAAATGGAAAGCATTTTTGAATAAATAAATGCTAGTAGACATATTTGAAACAATCGAATCAATGGATCTGGCCCAAGATTTTATTTTATCACAATCACTTACAGGTGTTAAATAACTCCCTTTAATTTTGTTTTCTTAAATGACTTTGGCTGGAGGTGAATCTTTTCAATGACTGGCTGGCTAATAACCGAAAAGGCCGGGACAGCTGTTTTGTTCTTGTTTGAAATTATTAATTATTTCGTATACTTATAGGTAAATAGGGAATCAAACCTATATGCATACCTTTTGTCAAGGTCCAGTAATTTTTCGATAAATGATAATGTGATGATCACTTCACTGGAAGCAATTATTTTTAATTGGTATCTTAAGTTAACGTAAAGCGTAGGAAAAGCATAATGTGAACTTTCGTATCTGAACACATTTTCCGTTGTGGATTATTTAGTGTGGTGCTGTGGTAGACTGATATTTCAGTGGGGCTTTATTAACGATTTCACGGTGGTTAGTTTTTCAGTTCTTTCATACTCCACATAGTAAGAAAATATCTTTGAACAAAATTTAGCTTGCAACTAGTTGATAGTGTCACTGCTGCATATTTATCTAGGATAGGGATTTACTTAAATGATTGATTATCTTAAGAATTTATTTTGCTGAACCAAATACTAGATATCCGCCAGAGGAGGTATGGCATAAACACCAACTGTATACGTAGTAGATTTCCTTCCCACGACAAAAAATACCCAGGCTGATAATACATCAAATATTAGGTTACTACGAAAGATAGTCACCAATTGTGATAGATAACCATGCACTCTAAAGTGTTTGTAATTATTCCTACTATATTACTCCAGTCTTTGATACGATATACAGTTTTGTTCATTCAGGACAAGCTTTTGATTGTCATATGAATGAAACCGCACTCAATTGTAGATATGACGTTGTCAATGATATCAACTTTGTTTGGTAATGAACCGTGTCCATTACGGACGACGATGGATGAACCATGAGATATAAATCCTACGCTTAATTACACATGTTATATTTTAGCAACCGCGTTGTGCAGCGATGGTAATAAAAGTCTACATGAACAAGCATGGAAAAATTTATTCCCATTGTATGTCATCTTTCATATCAGATTAGGAATATACCGAATGTATGAGAATAAATAGGCAACCTCTCAGGTCGTAGATAAAAGTAAAAATACTCACATACACACTGAGATATTAAAATTGCTCAAGATTAACGTGGAAATACTTGCGAAGGATCAGCATAAGAGTACGGATTAAGTTCTTATAGTCGTTACAATGATTCTCTACCGACCAATCTAGTAAACGTATTGAAATTACTTGTCCATATGTAGTTTTTTATCGCCAATAATCAAACCAGTAAAACTTTGTTATGTTTGACATACCATAACCAAAATGCAGTGGATTTTTGTTTTTCCTCTTGCTCTTGGTCGTAAAAATCAATGGTCATATCTGAAATGGACAAAAGGCATAACAATCAGAATCTGTTAACAAGATATTACTCGAAAATCACGTTTCTGGGAAAATGCTGGCTTAGCTAATGGTCATCTGTCACATATTTACTTACATGGAACGAATCTGTTTCCTCTTAAACGGTCAGTTTATTGGAGTATGCGTTGTTCAGTTTAAATGAGTTTTTTTCGGTACAAACTTCCATTTAGCAGTTCATGGCTATGTGCTAAAGTTGGTCAATCACTCGAGTAGCATACTTTACAGTGGTCTCGTCATAGAATTTAAAACTGATCATCTATGTTTTTTTATTACACTTCCTGTCATGTCATTTGTAATTTGAGGAACCACGCAATCAAAGTGATGGTAAGCTTGATTATTCCACATATATAGAATTCGGCTTCTTAAAGGTACTTGAATGTATTCTTGAAGTGCTTCAAGTTATTGTTCACATGATTGACTTCAATTTTATAGTATGATACTGTTAACGAGATATACATCCTCCCAATCCCCGTATCTGATTGTTGACTTAATTCGCGTTAGTAAATACTAAAATAAAAGATCTCGAACTCGAGAATGTTTTTTGAGTACATATATTTCATTTTCTCGTCACTGCAGATGATCAATCAGAGAAACGAAGCAGATCAGAGAAAGCATGATTGCCAACTTTAATTGATATAGCGTGATTCATTACTTATAGTCAGACATAAAAATAAGCTGAAGACACGCGGCGATTTAATAAACCGATACAAATACAATTGCCCAAATAAGAACCGTTTAGTTTACAAGTGAATAACTTAAGAGATCAGGAAATGACCACGTAATGACTGGATATCAATAAGTTAGATGATTTGTCTGAAGGCTAAAATATTCAGTCCAGGCATAGCATGGAATCAGACGCTCTAAAGTGCTGTTGAAGATTAAAATGTGCAGTGCTAGCGTATGCTTCCTGACTTTTCTTTCGGGAGGGACACTAAAAGATAAATTATAGTTTTTTATTTGCCTTTGCTTTGTACGGTTTTTTAACGTTAATAATGTAACTCATTCACCAAAGGCATACTAATATCGTTGATTTTAAGTCACACTTTGTGTGAAGGTTAATAAATGCTATCCGGATGCTCGGACTAACATAAGGAATTCAATTTAAAATTACTGGGAATTATTAGAATGCGAAATCTTATGCATTTCATTTAATATTACTGTATTGTACCAAGGTTTAAACTATAATTCGAAATCTACATTTTTACTCTTATTACTTACACCTGTTACCCCTCGTGGAAGAGCATAGGCCGCCCACCTGCATTCTCCATCCAACCCTGTCTTGGGCAATCCTTTCCATTTGTTATTCATCCTTTTCATATCTGCTTCTATTTCCCGGCTTAATATGTTATCTGGTGATGGTGTATCCTGTTGCTGATGGTATCCGGCATACGGACATTCAGTATTTTGCGTAGACAACTGTTCATAAATACTTGTACCTTTTTGGTGATGGTTGTAGTAGTTCTCCACTTTTCAGCTCCGTACAGTAGAACTGTTTTGACGTTCGTATTGAAGATAGTGTAACTGTAAATAATTCCCCAAAATCAATAGCTTTCTAAGTGTTCGACATTGGATACTGACCACGTTGTTTAAGTGGACTTGTTTAACTGAAGGCTTTCGGTCATGTATCCGTACCAGATCACGTTTCAACTCGGCGTGGGACACTGCTCCTACGTTTCTATAGCCAGCTTATAGTAAAGGTTCCTCGATATATTGGTAACGTATCAAATATATCTTTCCTACTTCTTCTCGTCTGATTTCCTCTAGCCGGGAACAATCGATTATAGAAGATACTACTGATTGCTAGTTTTAAAACTAGGATATCCGTTGTATCCTCAATAGTGACTTTCATCTTGGTTGACAGCTGTTTTCGGTTTGATATGTTCATCAGTGTAGGAATGCTGTCCTTGCTTTGCCAAACCTCGTCTTTACTCCCGGAAGTTGAGGGTCTACTGGATCCTTCAGTTTCCTATTCTTTGAGTAAGTTTTTTATGCTTGGAACTTGTTACTGATATCTATCATGAGTCCAATGAGTTTGTCAGTATCTCGAAGAAGAACTGTGGTAAACACTTTATTTGCCATTCCATCATACAGCCTTGGCTGTAGTTCCTTCATGACCACCACTTAGTGGTAATTTGAAGCTATGTCTCTTCCTCTCTTGGTTCTAACGCCTTCTGAATTTTTAGTGATGTGAATGTGTTAGATCTGGTTCTCTGTAGTGTGATCCAGTGAGACTCATGTTACTTCATGTGTGCGTTTGTGATGGTATAAAGTGCCACCTATAATCATTTTGTTGAATGCACATAAATTTGCAAACCTGTTACCACTCTTGTTGATTTCTCCCAGTCCATGTTGTCCCAGAATATCTTCATATCCGGTGTTGTCTATTCCGACTTTCGCGTTCAAGTTTCCCATCAGGATGGGTGGGTTCTTTCCTTGAGCACTTTATAATCGATTGCAGCTCATCGTAGAACAGATCTTTATCTTCGTAATTGCTATCGTTGGCTAGTGCACAACACTGGATAACATTCATTATGAGCCCCCCATTTTTGTTTCAAAGAATGTTTTGATAGTTCTGAATACATGAGATTCCAATCCTATAAGTGCATTTCTTGCTTGTTTAGACAGCATCAGAAAAACTCTGAGTGTGTGGAGCAATTTTCTCTTCGTGGTCAGAGTACAGCATCGTCTTTTCTCCTGTAACTAACCTTTACTGTCCAGCTTGGGTCCAATATGTTTCACTAATTTCCAGCACTGCTAAGTTGTATCTCCTTGTTTCCGTTGCTATTTGACTGGTCCTCCCGGTATCCCAGTTTGTCTACACATTCTATGTACCTATATTATTTGTTGCTCTGGGGGCATCGGCCCTGTGACTTCAGAAGAATATCAGCTTCATCATGAGGTTTCCTAATTTGTCTGGATGAAAATCGTTCAACTTGGACGGCAGAGTTTAAATGGTTCAAATTGTTTATTCTGGTTAGCGTAT